AGTGGACAGCTTCCTAGGTTGCGTCTTAACCCCTTGTGCCACCAGGGAGACCCTGTTGGTTTAGATTTTTTTGTTGTTGTTTTGGTTTTTTTTTAAGATTTATTTATTTATACAAGCACTGGGTACAGGCAGAAACGCGGGAGGGTGAGAGAATTTGCCAGAGCGGGGAGCAGAACAGGCAGACAGATGGAGGACACTGCTGAGGGGAGCAGCGGGCGCGGCAGGAGAGGTCTGCGCACCATGTGGGACCCTTGCCGGTGGATCGAACCGGCGCTGCAGAGGCTGCGGGCAGCTTCTCAGCCCAGCGCTCAACCGGGGAGGCCCTGTTGGTTTAGATTTTAAGGCTTCTTGTAGTCGTTCTTGGAGTGGGGGTTAGTAAAACCAAATTTCTGAAGATTTTGTTTGTCTGACAAGGTCCTTATTTTTTCCTCATATAGAAAGGATAACTTTGCTGAATTAAAGTATTCTTGGCTGGCATTTTTTGTCTTGGAGTTTTTTTTAATACATCATTCCATTCTCTTCTTGTCTGTAGTGTTTCCTTAGAGAAGTCTGATGTTAGCTTCATCGTTTTCCTTTATCAGCTGTCTATTTCTTCCCCCATGTCAGCATCATTATTTTTTCATTGTCCTGGGCTCTTGAAAACTTTACTATGTATCTGGATGTAATTTTCCTTTCATTATGATTGTTTGATGTCCTTCTAGCTTCCTATATGTCTATTTTCATTTTGTTCAAGTTTGGGACGTTTTCTTTAATCATTTCCTTGAATATATTTTCAGCGCTCTTGTCTCTCTCCTGGGATTCCTTTAACTCTTATATTTCCTTTCCTGCTGGCGTCAGCTAATTCTCACTGTTTCTTCATTATTTTTCCTTTGTATCTCTTTTTCTTTCTTTCTTCTTTTCATATCTGTTTCTGATATCATTCTTCCGTATTGTCTGTCTTCATGGATTTTTTTCCCAGAATTTTTTAGTTCAGTTGATTTTTTACATCTTGCATTCCTTTTTTTTTTTAAAAAGATTTATTTCTTTATGCATACAAGAACGGGGGTGTAAGCCAGAGGTGTAGGGGGGTGAGAGGATTCACCAGAGAGAATGAGGAGCAGAACAGGCAGATCTATTGAAACACACTGCTGAGGGGAGCAGTGGGCGAGACAGGAGAGGTCTGCTGTGCTGTGTGGGTTGCTCCCTGGCCCACTGGGAGCAAACTGGTACTTCAGTGGCTGGCAATACCTTGATAGCGCTGTCTTTAACCCCTGCACCACCAGGGAGGCCCCATTCCTTTATTTTCTTATTTAAAGTTTCAGTTTATTTTCTTTTAAAGATTTATTTATGTGTGTATCGAGCTGGGGTGCAGGCCAGAGGTGCAGGGGGTAAGAGGATTCACTAGAGATAGTGTGGGGAGCAGAATAGGCAGATTTTCTGAAATACACTGCTGAGGGGAGCAGCAGTCGAGACAGGAGAGGTCTGCTGTGCCATGTGGGTCAGATCCCTGGCCGGGGATCAAACTTGTGCTGCAGTGGCTGCTGATAGCTTCATAGTGCTGAGATTTAACTCCTTGCACCACCAGGGAGACCCCTAAAGTTTCAGTTCTGTTTGTTGATTGTTTCGCGTAGCATTTGTTTTCTGCATCTTCTCATACATCTCTGATTTGATTTTCAGAGTTTTAAGTTCTTAGACTTTCTTAATTATGCAATTTTGAATTCTTCATTTGACAGGGTATGGAATTATTATGTGTCAGTGTTGTTGGGTCCTGGAATTTGATTTTTATTTCTGATATATTTGTCCCCCTGAGGTTGTCCTTGGCCATTTGTAGTTTTCCTTCTCCCTGTTGTTTGCTTTGGGTATGGTATGTTGTAGTTGGGGCTTTTGTTGTGTATGGGTCCCCCCACCACCACCACCACTGTTATAGGTGTTTATTTGATGCTGCATACAGCAACTGGGGTCTTGAAGGGTCTAGAATGGTGCTAGAACTTCCACCAGTGCTCTTCAGGCCTTGTTCTGGTGGCTAGGGAGAGCAAGTGCTGAGTCTAGAGACTGAGTTGTTAGGACCTCTCCTCTCTGAGGAGCGGTGACTAGGGGCCCTACAGGTGCATTTTGAAAGGTTTGGTGAAATGCAGTTGGCTGACTGGTTCAAGTATGGTTGGATACGATAAGCCAGATGAAAACCATATGGTGTGTATTCTACTTCTTACTGGCAAGAATCTTGTCTTACTCATCTTTCTATCTTCAACACTTTTTCTTCATGTTGACCACATACAAAGCTACATTTTATATGGATTAAATGAATTGAAACTCTTAGTTGAGTTTACAGAAATGTACTCTGGGTTAAGTGGAGGATAGTTTTGAGATAGACTGCAGTCTTACAGTGTGGTAATAACAGGAATTAGGCTTCTTATTAGGTATATGATGAGAAAAAGATATTTGAAAGGGAAACATGACCTAATTGTTGATAAGGAAGCTAAGAAGACCAAGAAGAAAGGGGCAGAAGAGGCCAAGCAAGTCTGGTAGGAAAAGAGCAAAATCAAAATACAAGTCAAGGTAAAGGCTGTCATGTCAGCCTCCTCCCATGTCTCTCACTCACCTCTCTTAACTCTTTCGAGTATCTCCTTCCATGTCCCTGGTATAAGCCCATGGCCAAGGAGCAGTCATGGCTTCTTCACAAGTGTCTCTGCTCCAAGTGCCTCCCAGCCCTTCTGGGCTTCTCAGTCTTTACTTCTTCCTTCCTCTCCCAAGTCCTTCTCCCAGTCTGTTCTAGCTTCTCCTCAATGTTCGGCTTCATCTTTCACAAGTGGGGCAGGGAACCTGGAACACTGTTACAAGATTATAAGAGGTAAAATGAGAAAGTATATATTTTCTTTGCTACCTGAAGCCTTCAGCAATAATTTTTTAAGATGGTAAAATGATGGTAAGATCCAACAGAAAAGGGCCTCCCTGGTGGCGCTGGGGGTTAAGACGCAACCTATGAGGCAATCCGCAGCTACTGCAGCACGAGTTCCATCCCCGGCCAGGGAGCAATTCACATGGCACAGCAGACCTCTCCTGACTCGCCCGCTGCACCCCTCAGCAGTGTGTTTTGGTTGATCTGCCTGTTCTATTCTCCACTCTGTCTCTGGTGGATCTTCCCACCCCACCCCTGTGCCTGTGGCCTGTACCACAATTCTTGTATGCATAAATAAATCTGGGGCCTCCCTGGTGGCTCAAGGGGTTAAGACTCAATCTATGAAGCTATCCATAGCCACTGCGGCACAAGTTCAATCCCTGGCCAGGAAGCTACCCACATGGCGCAGCAGACCTCTCTCGCCTTGCCCGTTGCTCCCCTCAGTAGTGTTTTCAGTCAATCTGCCTGTTCTGTTCCCCACTTTTCTCTGGTGAATCCTCTCACCCTCCACATCTCTGGCCTCTATCCCAGTTCTTGTATGCATAAATAAATCTTTTTTAAAAAGAAAGGGAAAAAAATCTTTTTAAAAAATCCAACAGAAGAGAAATGATGCAGCAGAAAGCAGAGAATTGTCAGTGATAATCCTTTATGGGAATGTGTATAGAATAAGAGGAGGGCAAGAGTTTGTATGAGTACAGTTGCTGGTACAGATTTGGTGGTAGAAATTTGAAGTTTTTTTCTGAAGGTTTTAAAACCTCTAAGATTTTCAATGAAATATTAAGGTCTTCAGCTGAGAATAAGTTTGAGAAAGTGTTTGTGTTTTAGAAAAGAGGAAAAAACTGAAATTTTGTTGCTAAAAGAAATTATTTACTAATAGAGGGAGTAAATAAATGGACTTGGGAAATGTGTGACTGCCAGGTAGCATAAAGAGCCCATTTATTGCTAACTATGAATTTAAGATGAAACCAAATAGTGTGGGCTGTGTATTTTTCTTGTTGAGTGCAGCAAGCCAAGAATGGTGAAGATTTAGGTTTTTTTCAAGTTTGAAATTTTCTAAGCATACTTGACAAAGAGTGAGGAGTTGAGAATGGAAGACAGTGACCGTTTGGTTGATTGTGGAATTGAAAATTGGTAATGAGGGAAGTAAGGACAAGAGGAATCTGTGGTCAACAAATTGTAGATCTCAACAGAATTAACTGTTGGAATTGGATATGAGAGGAAGTGAACTGTAAAAAAAAATAGGTAGTGGTCATTGTGCAGGGACTGAAATTGAGATTATGAAGGGATTACAATTTTGTGTAATTACAAAGACAATATATAAGATAACATGGGAGACTATAGGAGTAGAATAATTGCCTGTGGTGGTGAAAAAATTATGTGAATATGAAAGCATCAATAATTAAGACAGAAGTTAGGTTAGAATGGTGATGGTCCATGACCTAAATTGTGCAAGGAATAATGACTAATAATTGTGCAAATCTGTATAGATAAATACAAAGATATAGTGTAGGTAGTATTTATATGACATGAAATTCAAAACAGGAGTAAAATAAAGATGTCCTGTCCTGTAACAACTAGAATAAAAGTTCTGTATTTTTTTAACTTTTTTTTTTTTTTTTTAAGATTTATTTATTTTTATACAAGCACTGGGTACAGTCAGAAGCGCAGGAGGGTGAGAGAATTCACCAGAGCCAGAGCGGGGAGCAGAGCAGGCAGAAGGACTGAAGTACACTGCGAAGGGGAGCAGTGGGCGGCAGGCGAGGTCTGCACCCCATGTGGGACCCTCGCCTGGTGGCCGGGGAGCAGCCGGGGATTGAACCGGCGCTGCAGAGGCTGCGGGCAGCTTTGCAACCCAGTGCTCAACTGCTGCGCCACCGGGGAGGCCCAAAAGTTCTGTATTCTGTATTCATTATCCTGAAGTAAAATAATAGTTTTTAATTGTTGATGAAGATTTCAGGTGAAGATTTGCAAAGTCTAATAAATACTAGCTTTTTATGGATACACCTAAAAAGAAATCTAGCAAAATGGAAAAATGTTTAGAAACTTATCACTCGATATGTAACTAAAGATAATTATTGTTTTTTCATGATCTGTTATAAAGAATAAATTTCTGATGTTTTAACAGATGGGAAATAAGACCAAGATTGCAAAATGTCCTTTGAGAACTAAACAAAATGGACACATTCTAAAGTCAACACAAAATACTTGTATCAAGAGTGAAAAACTTTTGCAAAAGAAGAGAATTGGTTCAGAAACATCACTGGCAAAAGGTGAAAAAGATAGTATGACTTTTTCACCCACTAAGGATTTATGCAAGCAGTATGCAGATAAAGACTGTCTTCATATCCATATTCAGAAAGAGACTTCACTTGCAGCCCCTAATATACAGAATTCTAGAAACGCCATAAATACAACAGTAGTAACTACACAGAAGCCTTGCAAAAAACATATAGCTGAAAATATGAAGAGCAATTTGGTATGTCTAACACAAGACCAACTACAACAGATTTTGATGACTGTAAACCAAGAAAATAGATCAAGTTCCCTGACTGAGAATGGAAAGAAGGAAGAAACAAGTAAGATTTTCTAAAGCTTTAGTCAATATTAATTTTACCAGTATGTTTTAGAATTATAGTTTCATTGAATTTTTTTTTTTTTTTTTTTTTAAAGATTTATTTATTTATTTATACAAGCAGTGGGTACAGTCAGAAGCGCGGGAGGGTGAGAGAATTCACCAGAGCCAGAGCGGGGAGCAGAGCAGGCAGAAGGACCGAAGTACACTGCTGAGGGGAGCAGCGGGCGGCAGGAGAGGTCTGCGCGCCATGTGGGACCCTCCTCCGGTGGCCGGGGAGCAGCCGGGGATCGAACCGGCGCTGCAAGGCTGCGGGCAGCTTGGCAACCCCGCGCTCAACCGCTGCGCCACCAGGGAGGCCCTCATTGAATTTTTATGTTGCTGTGCCTTTTAGTTTCTAGCATACAACAATCTTTGAAAATATTTTATTAAAGATCATGTTTTCATATTCAGAATTGCTTCTGTAATTATACCATATTTCAAACTTAATGCTCAGACTATTTCATGTAACATAGGCTTAAAAAATGTAGCTTAAGTGGATTCTAGAAAAGATGTTAATACTATAAGCTGTTATACCCATTTTAAAATGTAAAAGACTTTCATTTACAGTAATTATATAAAATGTTCTAAAAATCACTATAGTATTTCTAGTGAAAATTGAAGGAACCTTACTATGACAAATTGAGGTGCTGAAATAGTTGTTTTCCTTTCCCTCAATTTTTGCTCTTTCTGACACTGAGTTCATGTGAAAGATTAACACCACTATCTTTTTTTTTTTTTAAAGATTTATTTATGCATACAAGAACTGGGTACAAGCCAGAGGTGTGGGGGGATGAGAGGATTCACCAGAGACAGAGTGGGGAACAGAACAGGCAGACTGACTGAAATACACTGCTGAGGGGAGTAGCAGGCGAGTCAGGAGAGGTCTGCTGCGCCATGTGGGTTGCTCCCTGGCAGGCAGGGAATCGAACTTGTAATGCAGTGGCTGGTGATAACTTGGTAGCACTGTGTTTAACTCCTGTGCCACCAGGGAGGCCCAACAGCACTATCTTTTTAACAGCCAGGAAGAGGCCCCTCAACTGATTTGAGTACCAGCTTATGCCTATGTACTCTCAGAGAGGGAGCTCAAGATGGAGTCATTTACCTTTGCATAGTATAGATTATTCTTTGTAAAGTGAGTGAGTTAGATTTCATATTTAAAACTAGAATTATAGTACAAAGAAAAGCAACAAAAACGTTAGGCGTAATAACAAGGAAAGTTAATTAATCATGTACCAACATGCATATTAAATATGCTTTCTTTTCATTGGGAGATCTGGCACATAAAGGAGGATTCAAAACAATCTGAGAATGAGTCCTGTATAAAATGTCAAATACATATGGCTGTGACATGGTAAAGTTTTCCACTGGTGTCATAGCTAAATGAGAAAAATAAGAACAAGATAATGAATTTTTCATGAACCTATTTGCATCTACTTTTTTTAAAGTTGTGATTTGTGTTATTTATACTATTTGTAACAATATTGTTGGCATAGTACACAGAAGTTTATTTTTTACTTATTTTCTTATTTGATAGAAGTTAGGTTACTATGACGATAGCTCCGAGTCATTTAACCTGAGGTTAAGTTTCTTTTTTTCATGAAAGGGGAATCATAATACCCACCTCAAAGATTTTTGTGAGAGGTAATTAGTTAGGTAACATGTAAGACAGTGTTTAATCTGTAACAATATGTTGAGACAAGGTATTATGTGTAATTTAGTGTTAATTTAAAAACATTAATTCTTACCTCCTAGGTCAATACAGTCTACATTTGAACAATATTCCTGATCAATCAAAGGATGAAAATATCTTGGGACTACTCCAAAAAATTGAAGCTATTTCATCTGACCAGAGTGAAAATAAAGCTGTTTTAAATAAAAATGAAGAGATATGTAAGCACTATGAGCAGAAAATTGCCACGTATGTAACTTATGTATGTTATTGTGGGGTCATCTTGGGAGTATGGTTTACCTTGACTTGCATGTGAAGTACTTATATTGAAGATTAAGCTATTTAAAAGTTTATTAGTTGTTTATGAAATAAGTTGTGTAGACATGTATGATAAGCTTTCTGTTACATTTTGTGTTTTGTCTTAGAGAGAATGTATGGAAACCAGCGGACATATTCAGTACTCTTGGGGAAAGAGAACGTGATAGAAGTTTGTTGGAAGCAAAAAAAGCCCAGTGGAAGAAAGAGCTTGGTGGGTAATTATTTAATTTTAATTCTAATTTTGTTGACTTAAGAAAAATATATTGAGAATGAAGTATTTATTTCAATATATTATTAGTAATCTTGTTTTATAACATTTCCCTTCTAGTTCTCTGCAAATCCTTAAGAAGCTCTGTTATTTCACATTGCCTTAGGTTGTGTTGTTTTGTTTGAATACTCCTGTGCACCAAAAGGCAGAAAGGGGCATCGTCATCAATATCATTCTGGAACATTTATAGCTCAAAGATTCCTAAATTTTTCTCATTTCATGAGAATCCAGTTTCATAATTTTCCATTTTAGAAAGCTCTGTGTTAAAATATGGTTTTACTTAAAACTAATTGAGCTCAAATCGTTCTAATCAGGAATAGTCAATATTATGTCAGTCCACAATATTTTTTTTTTAAGATTTATTTATGCATACAAGAGCTAGGGTACAGGCCAGAGATGTGGGGGGTGAGAGGATTCACCAGAGACAGAATAGGGAACAGAACAGGCAGACTGACTGAAATATACCACTGAGGGGAGCAGCAGGTGAACAGGAGAGGTCTGCTTGCCATGTGGGTTAGCTCCCTGGCCGGCTAGGGATAGAACTTGTGCTGCAGAGGCTGTGGATTGCTTCATAGTGCGGTGCTTAACCCCTTGCACCACCAGGGAGGCCCGTTAGTCCATATATTTCATGCAAAAACAGTCTTACTGCTTTTTAGCAGCCTGTGGACCTTATAACAGAAAAATTGTAAGATTTTAAAACATGGATAATAAAGAAACTCCAGTTGCTTCTCAGACTATACAAGTATCAGAGTTTGGAAAATACATGAAGTAACAGTTATACTTCTTAGGAATGACTGTACTAATGACTTTCACCCTCTACTCAACTGAGCAGTCCTATAAGGCAATCATAACTCTAGGACAGGTTATCTGGAAAAAAGAGATTGCAGAAGTAGGAATAAATTGCTCTTGAAAGTAAAGGTGACAGAGCAATGAGGAAATTAAAGGTGTGGTAGCAGTTTCAAAAGGCTTGAAGTCTGATGGGTGTATCTATCACAATTTCAGCTTTAAATATATATATTTTTTATTAATAATAAATTTTATTTTTATATTCCCCATACAATTGCAACCCTCTTATTTTGACCCCAATCCCTCCCCTCCCGCCCTTTACCCCCCATAGAGTGTCTCTGGTTCATAGTTTTTTGTTGATTTTAATTTTCACTTTCTTATAGTTATTCATTTTCCTAGTCCCTTATTTAAGTTTTCTAGATTCCTGCTATGAGTGAGACCATCCGGTATTTTTCTTTTTCTTTCTGGCTTATTTCGCTGAGCATGATCCCTTCCAGTGCCATCCATGTTGCTGCAAATTGCATGTGTTTATCTTTTTTGAATGCTGAGTAATATTCCATGGTATATATGTACCACATCTTCTTGATCCAGTCATCCATTTTTGGGCATTTGGGTTGTTTCCAAAGCTTAGCTATTGTAAATAGTGCTGCTATAAACATAGGGGTGCAGGTGCTCTTTGGAATTGATGTTTCTGTGTCCTTTGGGTAAATACCTAGGAGTGGAATTGCTGGATCATATGGAAGCTCTGTGTTTAGTAGGTCCAGAAATCTCCACACAGCTCTCCATAGTGGTTGAACCAGTTTGCACTCCCAACAGTGCAGAAGAGTTCCTTTTTCTCCACACCCTCGCCAACATTTGTTGTTGCTAGTTTTTTTAATATGTGCCATTCTCACTGGTGTGAGATGGTATCTCATGGTAGTTTTGATTTGCATTTCCCTGATTACAAGTGATGTTGAACATTTTTTCATATGCCTGTTGGCCATTTGCATTTCTTCTTCAGAGAAGTTTCTTTTTAGCTCTTCTGCCCATTTTTTGACTGGATTATTTTCTTTGTTGTTGTTGAGTCTCATCAGCTCTTTGCAGATTTTTGTGATCAGTCCTTTATCATTAGTGTTGTGTGCAAAAATGTTCTCCCAGTTGGTGGGGTTTCTCTTTGTTTTTGTTATTGTCTCTTTTGTTGTGCAGAAGCTCTTTAATTTGATGTAGTCCCAGCTGTTTATCTTTGCCTTCACTATCACTGCTTTGGGTGATGTGTCTGTAAAGATGTCTTTGATGTGCATATCATGTAGTGTTTCGCCTATATTTCCTTCTGTGTATTTTATGGTTTCAGGTCTTATGTCTCGTTCTTTAATCCATTTTGAGTTGATTTTTGTGTATGGTGTGAGGTAGCGGTCAAGCTTCATTCTTTTGCATGTAGCGACCCAGTTTTCCCAGCACCATTTATTGAACAAACTCTCTTTGCTCCAATGCATAGTCTTTGCTCCTTTGTCAAAGATTAGTTGACCATAAATCTGTGGATTTATTTCTGGATTTTCTATTCAGTTCCATTGGTCTGTATGTCTGTTCTTGTTCCAATACCATGCAGTTTTGATGATTATGGCTTTGTAGTATAGCTTGAAGTCTGGGAGTGTGATGCCTCCATTCCCTTCTTTTTTTTTCAGGAGAGCTTTGGCTATTTGGGGTTTTTGGTGCTTCCATATGAATTTCATCAATAATTGTTCTATTTCTTTGAAGAATGACATTGAAATTTTGATTGGAATAGCATTGAATCTGTAGATTGCTTTTGGTAGGATGGCCATTTTAATGATGTTTATTCTTCCAATCCGTGAGCAGGGGATGTCTTTCCATTTCTTTGTGTCTTCTTCTATTTCTTTTAACAGTGTTTTATAGTTTTCTTTGTATAGGTCCTTTACCTCTTTTGTTAGATTTATTCCCAAATATTTGATTTTTTTTTTTTGTTTCGATAATAAAAGGGATGTTTTTTTTTATTTCTTCTTCAGATTTATTGTTTGTGTATAGGAAGGCTACTGACTTTTGCGTGTTGATTTTGTATCCTGCCACTTTACTGAACTGATTGATGAGTTGAATTAGTTTTTCTGTGGAGTTTTTGGGGTTCTCTATGTATATTATCATATCATCTGCAAATAGTGATAGTTTGACTTCTTCTTTTCCTATTTGGATTCCTTGGATGTCTTTCTCTTGTCTTATTGCTCTGGCTAGGACTTCCGGTATTATATTGAAGAGCAGTGGTGAAAGTGGACATCCTTGTCTTGTTCCCGATCTTAATGGAATTGCTTTCAGCTTTTCGCCACTGAGAATGATACTGGCTGTTGGCTTGTCATATATGGCCTTTATGATGTTGAGGTATGCTCCTTGTATCCCAAGAATTTCAAGGGCTTTTATCATGAATGGGTGTTGCACTTTGTCGAAAGCGTTCTCAGCATCTATTGATATTATCATATGGTTTTTATATTTTTTTTTGTTGATGTGTTGGATAACGTTGATTGATTTTCGGATGTTGAACCATCCTTGTGTCCCTGGAATGAATCCTACTTGGTTGTGGTGAATTATCTTATGGATACATCGTTGAATTCTGATAGCTAAAATTTTATTGAGGATTTTTGCATCAGTGTTCATTAGGGAACTTGGTCTGTAGTTTTCCTTTTTGTGTTGTCCTTGTTCGGTTTTTGGTATTAGTGTAATATTGGCTTCATAGAACGTGTTTGATATTGACCCTTCCTTCTCAATTTTTTGGAAGAGTTTGTGAAGGATAGGCACTAATTCATCTCTGAATGTTTGGTAGAATTCATTTGTAAATCCATCAGGTCCTGGGCTTTTGTTTTTGGGGAGGTTTTTGATTACCATTTCAATTTCGCTGCTTGTAATTGGTCTGTTTAGGTGTTCTATTTCTTCTTTATCTAGCTTTGGGTGATTGTAGAGTTGTAGGAATTTGTCCATCTCCTCTAGATTGTTGAACTTGTTTCCATATAACTGTTCATAGTAGTTTCTGATTATTCTTTTGATTTCTGCTATGTCCGTTGTGATTTCTCCTCTTTCATTAATGATCCTGTTTATTTGTGCTTTCTCCCTTTTTTCCTTTGTGAGCCTGGCTCGGGGTTTGTCTATTTTATTGATTTTTTCGAAGAACCAGCTCTTGGTTTCATCGATCTTTTGGATTGTTTTTTTAGTTTCAATTTCATTTATTTCTGCTTTGGTTTTTATTATTTCTTCTACTGGTTTTGGGGTTTTTTTGTTGTTCTTTTTCTAGATCTTTGAGCTTCGAGATTAGGTTGTTTCTTTGAGTTCTTTCTTGTTTCTTGATGTGAGCTTCTATTGCTATATATTTTCCCCTTATTACTGCTTTTGCTGCATCCCATACATTTAGGATATTGGTGTCCTCCTTGTTCAATTCAAAGAATTTTTTAATTTCTTCTTTGATCTCCTCATTAGTCCAGTGGTCTTCCAGTAGGGTGGTTTTTAATCTCCATGAGGTAGGAGAGTTCCTTGCCTTCTTTTTATGGTTTATTTCTAGTTTGATGCCTTCATGGTCCAAAAAGATGGTTGGTATGATTTCAATCTTGGTGTATCTGTTGATGTTTGTCTTGTGCCCCAGTATGTGATCGATCCTGGAGAATGATCCGTGTGCACTTGAGAAAAATGTGTACTCCGTTTTTTTGGGGTTTAGTGTTCTATAGATGTCTGTTAAGCCCAAATGCTCTAGGTCCTTATTTAGAGCTTTAGTTTCTCTGCTTATTTTTTGTCTTGTTGATCTATCCATTGTTGATAGTGGTGTGTTGAAGTCTCCCACTACGTATGTGTTTTCTCTGATGTCTGTTTTCAGAGAGGACAACAGTTGTCTGATATATTTTGGTGCTCCTTCGTTTGGTGAGTATATGTTAATGAGTGTTATTTCTTCTTGAAGTATTGTCCCCTTGATCATAATGTAGTGACCATTGGGGTCTCTTTTCATTTTTTTGAGTTTGAAGTCTGTTTTATCTGATATAAGTATAGCTGTTCCTGCTTTCTTTTTTGGCCCATTTGCTTGTAGGATTGTTTTCCATCCTTTAACTTTGAGCATGTTTTTATCTTTTGTAGCTAAATGTGTTTCCTGGAGACAGCAAAAGGTTGGGTTTTGTTTCTTAATCCAGGCTGCAACTCTGTGTCTTTTTATTGAAGAGTTTAGTCCATTTACATTTAGAGTTAATATTGATATGTTAGCATCTGTATTTGCCATTGTGTTTGTCTTTCCTTTGATTTTATTTTTATTCTTTTAATAACTTTTTTTTTGTTTGTTTGTTTGTTTTTTTTTTTCGGCCTTCTTTCGTTGTTATTCGTTCCTCTGAGGTTCTGGCTTTAGGATTCCTTGTAGTATTTTTTTGGAGTAGGGGTTTAGTTGTAATGAAATTCTGGAGTTTCTGTTTGTCTGGGAAGGTCCTTATTCTTCATAGAGGAAGGAGAGCTTTGCGGGATAGAGTATTCTTGGTTGGCATCTGTTTTCTTGGAGTCTGTTGACTATGTCCCTCCACTCTCTCCTTGCCCGTAGTGTTTCTTCGGAGAAGTCTGATGTCAGCCTGATTGGCTTTCCTTTGAATGTTATCTGTTTCTTCCCTCTTATCAGCTTCATTATTTTTTCCTTGTCCTGGATTCTTGGGAGCTTTACTATTGTGTGTCTTGCTGTATTTTTCCTTTCATCGTGGAAGTTTGGTGTTCTTGCTTCTTGTATATCAATTTTCAGCTCCTTCTTCACATTTGGGAAGTTCTCTTCAATTATCTCTTTGAATATTTTCTCTGTTCCTACATCTCTCTCCTCTCCTTCTGGTATTCCTATAACTCTTATATTTCCTTTCCTCATGGAGTCAGAAGTTCCCGAAGTCTTTCTTCGTTCCTTTTCCTTCGTACTTCTCTTTCCTTTTCTGTTTTGGTTCTTTTTATTTCTGTGTCTTCAAGAGTACTTATTTGTTCTTCCATTTCATCTATTCTGCTTTCATTGCTTTTCCCAGAATTCTTTAGTGCCTCCATTAATTCTTTAATCTCCTGCATTTCTTTTACTTCCCTCTTTAGGGACTCAATTTCATTCTTCTGATCGTTGATTATTTTTCCCTTATCATTGTTTTCCTTTATGACTTCTGTCAATTTTTTAATCATGGCAATTTTAAATTCTCTTTCTGGAAGGCTCAGAAGTTCTTCCAAGTTAGTGTTGTTGCAATCTGGGGGGTGGTTTTCTTTTTGTGGTGTGCTTTTTTTCCTGAGGAGTTGTTAGGTTGCGTGTGGTTCTTCTACTCCCTACTGTCTGTTTTCTAATTTGCCGTATGCATTGGGACACTGTGTTGCTGGGACTGGCCGGCATCTTGGGTGAGCTTCTCTGCTCCCCTCTGGGTCCTCCGGGAGCCATCTGTCAGTTTCAAGCAGTCTTTACTGAAGAAAGGTCCCTGTTCTAAAATGCCGATGTGGGGACACACTCCTCTGTGTGCCTGGTCTGCCCCGGCGGTGGGTTCCCGCTCCCCCTCTGGGCTTGGACTGCAGGCCAGAAGGGTCTGGCATGGGTGAACTTCCCCCGCTCACCTCTGGCTCCTGAGGGAGCCTTCTGCAGGCAGTTTTTACTGAAGAAATGTCCCTGTTCTAAAATGGCGATGCGGGACACACTCCCTGCGCGTCCGGTCTCAGGCACACTTTTCTGCGTGCCTGGTCTGCCCCGGCCGTGGGTGCCCGCTGCCCCTATGGGCTCAGACTACTGGTCGGAAGGGGCCTGGCGTGGGCTAACTTCCCAGCTGGCCACTGGCTCCTCCAGGAGCCTTCTGCTGGGTTCAAGTTGCTATGTGGCGCCAGAGATCTCTTCTAGAGCCCTTGGGGAGCGGTTTTTTTTTTTTTTTTTTTTTTCCACCCCGTGGGACAGGGAACAGAGCGGGAATGGTAGGGTAAACCTCAACAGCTTTGGGTTGCTATGTCTGCCTTCTGCCCCACTGTCGTGGAGAACCCACGCCCCGAAATTCATGGCCCGGGTCTCAGTTCCAAAGCCCTTAGGTCCAGGACGGGGGCTGTAGCCCAGTTCAGTGTCCGCAAAATGGCATCTTTTGCACCCCGCTCCCGTGCCTGGGTGCCTGGTTCCTGGTTACTCAGTGAGGGACTTTCACCTCAGTGAGGGTCCCCGCGCGTCTCCCCGCACGCCTAAGTCGCAGGCGCGGGGACCTGGGCAGCCGTGATCCCGATCCCCGTTTGCTTTTCAAGAGCACCGCTTTTCCGCACAAGCTTACCGGCCGGCCCGGGGCTGTGTGCAGGTCTCCTCCGGGGGTCTCTTTTGTTCTCTAATGGCGCCTGGAGCTCACCACCTTGGCGAATCCTGCAGGGTTCTCCACAGCTCCCGTTCACGGGGTGTAGTGGCTGAAATAGTTCCTTTCCACTCCTAAATATATTTTTTAAGATTTTTATAGAAGAACTGGGGTGCAGGCCAGAAGTACAGGGAGTGAGAGGATTCACCAGGGACAGAGTGGGAAGCAGAACAGGCGATCTACTGAAATACACTACTGAGGGGAGCAGATTGACTGAAATACACTGCTAAGGGGAGCAGCAGGCAAGACAGGAGAGGTCTGCTGCACTATATGTGGATTAGCTCCCTGGTCAAAGATCGAGGCAGTGATAGTGCTGAGACTTAACCCCTACACCACCAGGGAGGCTCTGAATATTTTTCAATACAGATTTAGTTTACCAAAATACACAACACCAAACTTCTGAAGTAAGTTGGATTACTTGGAAATGACTGAAGCATTTTTTTTTTTTTTTTAAGATTTTATTTATTTATACAAGCACTGGGTACAGTCAGAAGCACGGGAGGGTGAGAGAATTCACCAGAGCCAGAGCTGGGAACAGTACAGGCAAACTGATAAAATGCATTGCTGAGGGGACCAGCGGGCGCAACAGGAGAGGTCTGCGCGCCATGTAGGACCCTCGCCTGTGGCCGGGGATCGAACCAGCGCTGCAGAGGCTGTGGGTAACTTCACAGCCCAGCGCCAGGGGAGGCCCTGATTGAAGTGTTTTAATTACTATATTGAAAAGCAATTTCTTTTACCTGATTGTGTTAGAAAAGCACATCTCTTTTTGTTGAAGTTATGCTTTCATTAATCTTCTTGGAATTTAAATTCATATATATCTGAATTTTTAAGTTCTAGTGATGATTTAGGGCCTAGTTGCCTTTAAAAAAAAAAAAAAGATTTATTTATGCACACAAGAGCTGGAGTGTAGGCCAGAGATGCAGAGAGGTGGGAGGATTCACCAGAGACAAAGTGGGGAGAGAACAGGCAGACTGAATGAAATACACTGCCGAGGGGAGCAGTGGGCAACACAGGAAAGGTCTGCTGTGCCATGTGGGTCAGCTCCCTATCTGGGGATGGAACTCGTGCTTCAGTGGCTGCAGATTGCTTCATAGTGCTGAGACTTAACCCCTTGTGCCACCAGGGAGGCCCTAGGACCTAGTTGTTTTTTTATCAATCTATTAGACACACAAAGTACTGGTTTTTACTGTTCACCAGTTGTAAACAATAATGGTTGATAATTATTTGCTTTGTGGTGGGTCCTATACTGAAATAGGCACTATTATTATGTTATTTTACACAAGAAAAAACTGAGGTATAGAGAGGTGAATAGCAGTTTGCCCACAGTCACGTAGCTAGTAAGTGATGAACTTGGATTTGACCTCAGGGTTCTCTGATTCCATAGTTGTAGCTTTTTAAATCTCTTCTGGATAGCTGAGTGAACATTAGTGGAAAGTAGCACCTCAGAATAAACAGCATAACATAAAATAGATTATTTTGATAAAATTGCTTCTTATGGAATATTGAGGCAATAAAACAAACATTTTTATATCTTTTTTTGCCATACCTAAGTCTGATTCTAGTAAATCTTTTATTATACATTAAAATTCTTCCCTGTCCTATGACTCAATCTCCTTTCTAAAAAAAATAATTTTGAGTAGATCTGTGTTGGAATCTGCACTCCTTAAGGTCATTATTTGTTTACGTGATTTTTTTTTACAGTTTTTGTGCATTTTTTTAAAAAGGACATTATTTGCAGATGAACAGGTTGCTTTAAAGAAGAAAGAAAAAGAAGCTTCTGAAAAATGGAATAATGCCTGGAAAAAACCTGAAAGTGATAAAATAGTATGGGAAAAGCTACACATTTTTGACCAATCTAAGGTAAGAGTATCAAAATCAAACGTTTATGGAGTGTTAGACCTCTTAATTGTACTTTTGTAATGTATTGTAATGCTAAGTCATGTTCAAATCATAGAGTATTTTAAAAACTGAATTACTTTAAAAAAAAACCTTTTCATGTTATTTCAAAACAGTGTTATTTTGAATTTAAGTATGACTTCAACTAGTCTCTGTTTGCATTCTTTAAATTGTCTTACTCTGTTAATAGGTGAGTGCAGAAATCCCCTGACACTTTCTTTAGGCTTCCATAAAGTGTTCTGCAGTTTTTTGAATGAGCACAAAGCTCTACCACTAACCATGTCTACTACAAGGTTATCAAATCAAATATAAGTAACTGCTTGTCAAACATAAGTATGTACTAGGTATCTCTCAAGTAATGCTTCAGTGATCTTTAAATTTTGCCTTGGTTTAATCTTAGACAAAGTGCCATTGTTTTTCTGTTTTCAGACTTCTGCTAGCTCCTCCAGCATTCTGTCACAGTCTCCCCTTCAGGTAACACTGATCCAGGCTGATGGGCATTCGTTGCCTAGTGTTGGTCATATTTTAGAGGTAAGTCCATTTTAATTAAAAATAATTCAGTACTTTGAATATGTAAGCCCTTTAGTACTTGATTGCAATATAATCTATTTTGTTTGAAGGCACATATTCTTATTTTTAATCACCAGTTAACTTTTATTGAGTACATTGTGTTCCCTTAAACTTAATGTTATTAACAATTTCTCTTTTATATGTCTAGTTCTTTTTCCTAGTAAACATTTATGTCTTAACAAATGTATTCTGAAACCAGTGCAGTAATCTAAAAGGTATGATCCTGGTGGTAGAATTTTTCAATACTGTAGAGTTCTAATAGAACTCAAGAGTGTTTACATGGCTGCTTGTTCTGATGCATAAAAGGGTGACTTGCATACATTATTACTACGTTAGTTTTGTAGTCTGTTGATAAGTTTACATTAACAAAAAGAATAATATCCAGATTGTATTTTTCTATAGTCTCAAAAGCGCTTTTTCTTCTCTTTTTTTTTTTTTAGACATTTATTTATTTATGCATATAAAGACTGGGGCACAGGCCAGAGGTGGGGGGGGGGGCAGTGGGTGAGAAGTTTCACCAGAGACAGAGTGGGAAACAAAACAGGCAGACATTGAAATACACTGCTGAGGGGACCTCCCCGGTGGCTCAGTGGTTTGAGCACAGTGCTGTGAATTTGTCCGCAGACTCTGCAGTGCGGGTTCAATTCCCAGCCGGCCAGGGAGATTCCCACATGGCGTGTCAGACCTCTCCTGTGGTGCCTGCTGCTCCCCTCAGCAGTGTATTTCAGTCGTCTGCCTGTTCTGCTCCCGGCTCTGTCTCTGGTGAATCCTCTTACCCTCCCGCGCCTCTAGCCTGTGTACCCCGGGTCTTGTATAAAAAAATCTTTAAAAAAAAAAAAAAAAAAAAAAGACTGCTGAGGGGTGCAGCGGGCGAGACAGGAGAGGTCTGGTTTGCCATATGGGTAGCTCCCTGGCTGGCTGGGGATTGAACTTATGCTGCAGAGGCTGCGGATAGCCTCATAGCGCTGCTCTTAACCCTTTGCGCCACCAGGGAGGCCCAAAAGCACTTTTTAAAAAAAGATTTATTGTGTATATAAGAACTGGGGTCTAAGGCAGAAGTTCAGGGGGTGAAGAGGATTCACCAGAGACAGAATGGAAGCAGTAGAACAGGTGAAATATATTGAAATATATTGCTGAGGGGAGCAATGGGCAAAGCAGGAGAGGTCTGCTGCGCCTGGCCAGGGATCAAACTCATGCCGTAGTGGCTGGTGATAGCTTGACAGTGCAGAAACATAACCTTTGTGCCACCAGGGAGGCCCTAGTCTCTCAAAAGCACTTTTAACTGACTGAAAGGCAATATGAGGGCCTCTCCTGTGGCGCAGTAGCTGAGCGCTGGGCTGCGACGCTGCTCACAGCCTCTGCAGCACCGGTTCGATCCCCGGCTGCTGGCGAGGGTCCCACATGGCACAGAGACCTCTCCTGCTGCGCCCGCTGCTCCCCTCGGCAGTGTACTTCGTCAGTCTGCCTGTTCTGTTCCCCGCTCTTGGTCTGGTAAATTCTCTCACCCTCCCACACTTCTGACTGTACCCAGTGCTTGTATAAATAAATCTTTAAAAAAAAAAAAAATTTAAAAAAAAGCAATACGACCTTGATACAGGTCATATTGGGAAAATCTATAGTTATTAGATGATAATCTTAAGTGTGCAAAGTTTATAAATTGGTGCATACAGATACTACTAAAAATTACAACTAATAATGAAGTGGCTGAGAATCCATTTTTCACTTTTCAAAATTAGGATTAAAGAGTCTTTAATGCTAAAGATAGTATTTTCAGTTAGCAAAATTTAGGTTGACAGTATATCATAATTTGCCTGGGCCTTATGTCTTTTACTATTAGGGAGTATAATCTATACTATGATTTTTATTTTTTGCATAGAACTGTGGTGTAGGCCAGAGATGTGGGGCTTATGAGAGGATTCACTGGAGACAACAGTAGGGAGCAGAACAGGCAGATTTACTGATACACACTGCTAAGGGGAGTGGGCAAGATAGATGTCTGCAGTGCCATATGTATGAATATGGTCAAATACTGGAGAGATGCTATGGAGGGAAAATAAACTGTAACAAAAAAAATCCCTTTGTTATATGTGTGAAACATAGTTGGTTTTAAAAGTCTCAGCCATCGCCACAAATGTTTTATTGTTTTTAAATGTTAAACTCACATTAGGTATTAGGAGGGGAAATTTAGTTGAAACAGCACCTCCAAGGCCAGTTTTGTTAAAGCATGAGGTAATGTATAGGAAGTGCTTAGAAAAGTAGCCAAGATGTAGCAAGTACTTATTTGAGAGTTTATTCTTCTTACACAATAGATCCCCCCTATTTGAGATTTTGCTTTCTATGGTTTCACTTACCAGTGGTCAGCCATGGTTCAGAAACATGTACAGTAAGATATTTTGAGACAGACCATATTTACATAATTTTCATGACATCATATTGGAATAGTTGTTTTATTATTACTTATTGTTCATCTCTTACTGTGCTTAATATATATGAAATTCAGGCATCAACTGGCAGACTTGTTGTGTATCCCCTGAGGATAAGGGGAGATGCCACTGTAATTACATAACTGGTCCATTTCAATCCCTGCAGCTGTTTTAGGCCAGTCCTCTTCACCAGCATCCTTTTCTCCTCTTCTTGATTCTCAGTCTTACTCCCCCTTTTCACTTAAATACTCCTGACGTTCATCTCTGTATTGCATACTCCAAACATTCTTGTCCATTGTGCAGAGATTTATGTATGCCTCGGTCTTATTGAGAATGACTCAAAACCTTCACCTTAGTAAACATTTGGATTTCCTTAATAAGTATCCCTTCCTGAGTGCAAACTGGTCCAACCACTATGGAGAGCTGTGTGGAGATTTCTGGACCTACTAAACATAGAGCTTCCATATGATCCAGCAATTCCACTCCTAGGTATTTACCCAAAGGACACAGAAACATCAATTCCAAAGAACACCTGCACCCCTATGTTTATAGCAGCACTGTTTACAATAGCTAAGCTTTGGAAACAACCCAAATGCCCAAAAATAGATGACTGGATCAAGAAGATGTGGTACATATACACCATGGAATATTACTCAGCGTTCAAAAAAGATAAACACATGCAATTTGCAGCAACATGGATGGCGCTGGAAGGGATCATGCTCAGCAAAATATGCCAAAAAGAAAAAGAAAAATACCGGATGGTCTCACTCATAGCAGGAATCTAGAAAACTTAAATAAGGGACCAGGAAAATGAATAACTATAAGAAAGTGAAAATCAGAATCAACAAAAAACTATGAAACAGAGACACTTTTGGGGGGGTGGGGGGCGGGAGGGGAGGGATTGGGATCAGAGTGGGGGGGTTGCAATTGTATGGGGAATATAAAAATAAAATTTATTATTAAAAAAAAAAAAGTACCCCTTCCTGGGAAGCCTCTTAAGTGGAGGGATATACTCTAATGTGCGGTAGAGAGTGATGTCATTCTGCTAGCTTCTTTTGGGAGTGGGGGGTATTGTTTTAATCAGTTATTTTTTGGTGACCCTTTTTTTTTTTTTTTTTTTCCTGTGGTAGCATTGATCATTGGTTTACAATGTATGATTTAGGGGAGAGACGAGGTTCACACCTCTTCAGGTATATGTTAACACCACCACCACCCAAGCACTCATAATCCTCTACCATAGACTATTGAGCCTCCTCCCCTTTGTGTCTCATTTTTCACCCTCCAGGTCTAAGAGTCTCAGTTTTGTAGTAATATTTCTAGGGTTTGCTTGGGTTTCATTTTTTCCTCTTCATTTTTTTTCTCTTTATATTCCACATATAATTGCAATCATCCACTGTTTGTCTTCTTCCCTCTGACTTATTTCACATAGGATAACCCCTTCCAGTTCCATCCATGTTGCCATAAATAGCAAAATTTTATTACTTTTTATAGCTCAGTAGTGGTTTTTTACATATAGCACATCTTTATTCACTCATCTGTTGCTAGGCACTTAGGTTGTTTCTATAAACTGGCTATTTTAAATAGTGCTATAATGAATATGAGTACATGTATCCCTTTGAATCAGTGTGCTTTCATTCTTTGGATTAAAAACCTGGGAGTGTATTTGCTGGATCATATGCTAGATCTACTTTTAATATTTGAGAAAGCTCCATATTGTTATCCCTAGGGACTGGACCAGTCTACATTTCCGTCAACAGTATACAAGGGTTTCTTTTTCTCCACATCTTTCCAATATTCGTTGTTTTGGTCTTTTTCATATGAGCTGTTTTCACAGGTCTGATGTGGTATCTCACTGTAGTTTTGATTTCACTTTCCTGATGATATGTGATGAACATCTTTTCAAATACCTGTTGGCCATCTGTATGTCTTCTTTGGAAAAGTGTCTATTTAACCCTCTGCCCATTTTTTTATTTTTTTTGTTGTGTGAGTTCTTTGTAGATCATGAATATTAGTCCTACTGTCAGATGTATGATGTGCACATACCTTCTCTGATTTGGCAGGGGTTTTTTGGTTTGTTTTTAGTTTTGCTCTGCAGAAGCTTTTTAGTGTGATGTAGTCCCATTTGTTTATTTTTGCTTCTGTTTCCTTTGCTGCTGGAGTTGAATCCCAAAGACATCATTAAAATCACTGCTGTGGAATCTTTGGCTTATGTTTTCTTCAGTGTATTTTTATTGTATCAGGTCTCATGTCCAAGTCTTTTATCTATTTTTGTGTATAGTATAGGAGAGTAATCTAGTTTCATTTTTTTCCATATGACTGTCCAGTTTTCCCAATACCATTTTTTGAAGAGACTTTTTTTTCTCCATTGTATACCTTTAGCTCCTTTGTCATAGATTAACTGTCCGTATAAGTGTGTATTTATTCTGGGCTCTCAATTCTATATGTCTATATGTCTTTGTCAGAATTTTGAGTACTATAGCCTCGTAAAGTTTGAAGTTGGGGAATGTGATACTTATATTTCTCTTCTGTCTAAATTACTTTGGTGATTCAGCCTCCATTGTGGTTCCGTATAAATTTCAGTGATATTTGCTCTATTTCTTTGAAGAATTCATTGAAATTTTGATAGGGATTGCATTGGGTAAGATGTCCATTATAGCAATGTTAAAACTCTTCCAATCCATAAGCAGGGATATTTTTCCATTTTTGTCTTTTTATTTTATTTTAAATAATGTCTTAACAGTTTTCACCAAATAGGCCTTTCACTTCCTTTGTTAGGTTTATTTCTAGGTACTTAATTCTTTTTTATGCTACTGTAAATGGGTTGTTTTCTTGATATCATTCTCATTTAGTTTGTTGTTTGCATATAGAAATGCAAGAGATTATATGTTGGTTTTGTGGCCTGCCACTTTTCTGTGGGGATTTCTTTCTTTTTTTTAAACTGAAAGTTTTCAGTTTCTCACCATTGAATTTGATGCTTACTGTGGTTTTGGCATACACAGCCTTTATTATGTTGAGGTATGTTCCTTCTATCCCCATCTTTATCATAAATGGATGATGAATTTTATCAAATGCCTTTTCTGCATCTATTGGTATGATTATAAGATTTTTTTTTTTAATTTTAGCAGAGAACTAGGGTGTAGGCTGGAGGTATGGAGTGGGGGTGGTGAGTGGATTCACCAGAGACATTGGGGAACAGAATAGGCAGATTTACTGAAATACACTGCTAAGGGGAGCAGTGGGTGAGACAGGTGAGGTCTGCTGTGCCATGTGGATTAGCTCCTTGGCTGAGGATTGAACTCAGGTAGTAGTGGTGATAGTGCTGAGATTTAACTTCTAGGCCACCAGGGAGACCCTGATCATATGATTTTTGTCTTTCATTTGTTGATACAGTGTATTACATTGGTTGATTTGGGTATGTTGGTAAATCCCACTTGGTTGTGATGTATGATCCTTTTACTGTATTGTTGAATTCAATTTGCTTAGATTTTATTGAGGATTTTTACATGTATGTTTATTAGGGCCATTGGTCTATAGTTTTCTTTTTTTTTTTTTTTTTTTTATAGAGGCATGTTTTTATTTATTTATTTGTTTGTTTGATACATGCACTGGGTACAGTCAGAAGCACGGGAGGGTGAGAGAATTCACCACAGCCAGAGTGGGGAGCAGAGCAGGCAGAAGGACTGAAGTACACTGCTGAGGGGAGTAGCGAGCGGCAGGAGAGGTCTGCGCGCCATGTGGGACCCTCCTCTGGTGGCCGGGGAGCAGCCGGGGATCGAACCGGCGCTGCAGAGGTCGCCGGCAGCTTCGCAACCCAGCACTCAACCGCTGCGCCACCGGGGAGGCCCTATAGTTTTCTTTTTTTGTGTGATATCCTCATCTGCTTTTGCTATCACTGGTAAAACCATCAGGTTCTGGGCTTTGTTTTTTGGGTGACTTTTGTTTATGGTTTGTTTCCTTGCTTGTTGTTGGTCTGTTCAGGTTTCCTATTTCTTCCTGATGTCGTCTTGGGAAGTATATGCTTTTAAGAATTTGTCCATTTCTTTTTTTTTGTTTTTTTTTTTTTATATTTGAAAGAGCAGATTTTTTTTTTAAAAAACGATTATTTAAACAAGCACTGGGTACAGTCAGAAGCGCAGGAGGGTGAGAGAATTCGCCAGAGCCAGAGGGGAGAGCAGAGCAGGCTGACTGACGAAACACACTGTTGAGGGGAGCCGCGGGTGGCAGGAGAGGTCTGTGTGCCATGTGGGACCCTCACCCAGTGGCCGGGGATCGAACCGGCACTGCAGAGGCTGAGGGCAGCTTCGCAGCCCAGAGCTCAACCGCTGTGCCACCAGCGGAGGCCCTGAAAGAGCAGATTTATTAAGGAAAGGGACAGAAGAGTAAAAGACACTTGCATAGACACAAGCAGACAGAAAGAGCTGCCCCCAAAGGGGTAGCTTTGCTGAGAGAGGCCTGCGTCGTTGCAGGCAGGCAGCCTTGAGGAGAGCTGCTTCCACTAAGGGAGGTCAGTGAAGAGCTTGTACAGGTCACGGCTGCTGCCCTGTGGAGGGAGAAAGTTGGTGAAAGGAAGCACCTGCATAGTCACAGGTAGGCAGAAGGATTGCTGCCCATTCTGTATTTTCCAATTTGATGGCATAAAGATGATCATAGTGGTCTCTTTCAATTTTCTATAGTTCTGAGATGTCTATTGTAACTCATTTCTGAATCTGTTTTGTGTTTTCTCCCTTTTTTCCTTGGTGAGTCTAGGTAGAGATTTATCTATTTTGTAATTTTTCAAAGAACCTGCTTTAGGTTTCATTGATCTTTTGTATTTCATTTTGTTTCATTGATTTCTACTCATGTATATTATTTCTCTCCTATGGTCTTAAGGTTTCATTTGTTCTTTTTTTCTAGTTCTTTAAGGTATAATGTTAGATTATTTGAACTCTTTCTGGTTTCTTCATGTGTGTATTTATTGCTGTGTCCCATAATTTCTGGTAGCTTAACTTTTCATTTTTGTTTATCTCCAGGTTGTTTTTTGAAATTTCTCTCATTAATCCATTTCTCTCATTAATCCATTCTTTGATTTCTCCTCATTAATCCAATAGCATTCAGTAGTATGTTGTTCAGTCATATTAGAGGTTTTTCCTCCTTTTATTTTATGATTGATTTCTAGTTTGGTACCATTGTGATAATAGAAGACACTTGATATGATTTCAGTCTTCATGAATTTATAGACACTAGCTTTGTGACTCACATATGGTCTGTCCTGGAGAATGTTCCGTGTGCCCTTGAGAAGAATATATATGTTCAGCTTTTTGGGAGGGTCTAGTGCTCTACAAATATTTAGTAGGCCCATCTGGTCTGTTTTCCTTATTTAAGGCTATTGTTTCTTTGTTGATTTTCTGTCTGACTTATCTGTTCATTGATGTAAGGGGGTGTTGGAATCTCCCACTACTCTTGTGTTGCGGCTAATGTCTTTTTATGGGTTTGTTAATGGTTGTCTTAAATATTTTGGTGCTTTCATTTAGTGCATATATATTGATGAGAGTTATGTCTTCCTTTATCTTTTTTATTTTTTCAAAAGATTTATTTATGCATACAAGAACTGGGGTACAGGCCGGAGGTGCGGGGGGTGAGAGGATTTACCAGAGAGAGTAGGGAGCAGTAGAACAGGTGGGTCTACTGAAATATATTGCTGAGGGGAGCAGCGGATGAGAAAGAAGAGGTCTGCTGCACCATGTGGGTATCTCTCTGACTGGCTGGGGATCAACGTTGTGCTATAGTTCCTGTCAATAGCTTGATAGTGCTGTGTCTTTAACCCTTGTGCCACCAGGGAGGCCCCTGAAATGGTTATTTTAGGCTAAAATAAACATAATGAATTTTATCTGTTTAAAAGATACAGAAGCACTTGATGGAGACATTAAAATTTTTCCTTTTTGTATAATACTCCTTTGATCAAAGCATACGTTTACAAACTGAACTTTCCCATTCATTGTTTCTGATAACAGCAGAAAATAACATTGAGAGGTACTATATTTATTATGCATACAAGAACTGGGGTACAGGTCAGGGGTGTGGGGAGGCAGTGAGAGGATTCACCAGAGACACAGTGGGGAGCAGAACAGGCAGACTGACTGAAATACACTGAGGGGAGCAGCAGGCGAGTCAGGAGAGGTCTGCTGCGCCATGTGGGCAGCTCCTTGGTCGAAGACAGAACTTGTGCTGCAGTGGCTGCAGATAGCTTCTTAGGTTGCATCTTAACACCTTGCACAACCAGGGAGGACCCTGTCAAACTATTTTCTTAATTATGTTCTGCAGTTACTTCACACAACAAAATGTTACTTAACTATTTTGTGTTTCAGAATATATTCTTTCATTGTTTTTAGTGGATACTAAACAATCAAAATAAAGCAACAGAATTTTAATGTTACTCCTTTATTTTTCCCTCCCTAAAGATTCATAGAGTTAATCTGAACACACAGTATACTTTTCTTATTGAAATGTCAGAGATTATGATAGAGCCATAGCTGTAGAAACAGAAAAGGATGTCCTAGAGGCAGACGTTGTGGTTCAATAAGGAAAGTTTGGCACTCATATCCTCCCACTTCTTGGTCCAGCTGCAATATTTTTTGTATTCTGAAGCCAAATGTAATACAGTACTCAATCTATTTTAAATTATCAATAATACCTTTGAGTAAATGAGAGTATGTTAGAATAATATTTTGAAAGTCTTACTGTCTTGAAGAAAGAACTTTCTAATTTTCTTTAGAAAATTTCCTTATGTTCAGTAGTTATTTAAGAGGAATGTGTATTACAAATTATTCTGAAGATCAGGATGTTGACTTTTATATATGAATTATTCATGTTCTAGAGAGAAATTTCTAACTACATTAAATCTGTATAAGTTGTTTGGCAAGGTTTGTAAATACAAAGTGGTTAGGAAAAGAGACTGAATTTTAGATGATGTTGCTGCCTGTTGTATAGGAAGCAGCACCACTGGAGCACCCTTTCAGTGCTGTGAAACAAGAGCAGCAGAGAAAATGGATTGAAGAGTTAAACAAGCAAATAGAAGATGACCGGCAAAGAAAAGTAGAGGAAAAAATTATATTGTCTAAGGTAACTTAAAAAATTTTAAGGTCATAAAGGAAAAAATGAGTTTCACAGTGTTTAATTGTAAACTTGAAAGTATCTTGAAACTATTAGACTAAAACATTAGAGTATTCATATAAGCAAATGTGGAATAATTTGAACCTTTCATTGCATGCCATAAGTGATTTTGCATAGCTTCTTGTAAGTAACTTTTTAGAAATTTCATATTTTTTTGAATTTTTCATTCTTCAGTTGGTTATCTAAATTTATATGAAATCAGGATAGAATAGTTTTATTAATTTTTATGATGCTTATTTTACTGCTGTATAGTAACTTTTAGAAATCATATCTGTCATTGGATTTTATATGAGAACAGTTGGAAAAATTCTTAGTAATTCTTTTTTTGTCATGATTAGGGTGAGGAACATGACAGATGGGCAATGCATTTTGATTCATTAAAGAACTATCCTGATTCTCAGTCTCAAATGTCCTCTCGGTCAACACACAAACAACCAGAGTACTTCTGTGTCTCTCCAGACACTCAGGAGCTGGCTGATATTAGCAGTGTTTATACTCCTACAACGGCAAGCCAAGTTGAACCTTCAGAGGAGGAGTATATAGAAAAACCTGTTAGGGATGTGGTTATGACAAATAGTCAAAAAACAAGGTAAGTTCATTCTTCACTATTTATTGATGTTAAAGAAAATCTGTGTTTGGTTAGGATTGTTGTTATATATACACATCTTAATAAGACTTCAGGTTTATATATATATATATATTTTATAGAAATCAGTATACCCCAAACAAAAATTATTTAATACCTAGTTATATTCATCTTTTGGGGGTTTTAAATAGCCATGTATCTATCTTGTCAGCTTTCTCCGTTCTATGACTGCTCTCTTGGACCCAGCTCAGCTTGAGGAGAGAGACAGACGGCGGCAAAAACAGTTAGAACATCAGGTACTGCATTGTAAAAAATTGTTCTCTGCCTTAGTAATTCAATATTCATAGCTAACAGATAACCTAATAAATGGAGATTAAAATTCCAGTATAAAATTACTGGGATTTTGCTGTGATGAATCTAATCCTGACTCTAGCTGACATTATATTAAAAGTATGCTTATGCTGAGTACCAGATAGAATCACAAAGGACAGCCACCTGCCTTCCAAGAGAGGTGTTTATTTAATACATAGGTTGTGTATCTAAAATTGCACAAAATCTCAAGTTTTGGTATTGGAAATTTTATTAATTCAGTTTAGTTCTCCTAAATTCTGTTTAAGATGACAATTAGTTCTTTGAAAAAGAACTATATAGGGGTTTCAAGTAAAATTATGATTAAGAAATCTAGTAGAGATAAAAAGAAGAAATAGAACATCTAAACAGACCAATTACAAGCAGTGAAATTGAAACAGTAATCAAAGACCTCCCCCAGAATAAAAGCCCAGGACCAGGTGGATTTACAAATGAATTCTACCGAATGTTCAGAAACACACTAGTGCCTATCTTACACAAACTCTTTCAAAAAATTGAGAAGGAAGGGATAATACCAAACATGTTTTATGAAGCCAGCATTACACTAATACCAAAACTGAACAAGGACATCACAAAAAAAGAAAACGACAGGCCAATACCTAATGAACACTGATGCAAAAATCCTCTGTAAAATCTTAGACAACAGACATGCATCAATAAGATAATTCACCACAACCAAGTAGGATTTATTCCAGTAGGATTTCAACATCTGAAATCAACTGATGTAATCCAATACACGTCAACAAAAAGAAAAATAGCCATATGATCATATCAGTTGATGCTAAGGAAGCATTTGACAAAGTTCAACATCCATTTATGATAAAGGCCCTTGAAATTCTCGGGCAGAAGGAACATACCTTAACATTATAAAGGCCATATATGACAAACCCATAGCCAATATTATAGCCATAGGCAGGTGAAAAACTGAAGTCCTTTTCCTTAAGATGTGGAACAAGACAAGGATGTCCGCTCTCTCCACTGCTTTTTAATATAATACTGGAAGTCCTAGTCAGGCAATAAGATGAGAAAGACAGGCAAAGAATCCAAATAGGGAAAGAAGTAAAACTATCACTATTCACAGATGATATGATACTATACATAGAGAACCCCAAAAACTCCACAGAAAAACTAATCAAAATAACCACTTTATAGTAAAGTAATAGGATACAAAATCAGCACACAAAAATCAGTAGCTTTCCTATATGCAAACAATAAATCTGAAGAAGAAATAATCAAGAAAACCATCCCTTTTATAATTGAAACAACAACCAAATACTTGGGAATAGACCTAACCAAAGAGGTAAAGGATCTATACTAAGAAAAGTATAAAACATTGTTAAAAGAAATAAAATAAGACTGAAAGAATTAAAAGTCATCCCCTGCTCATGAATTGGAGGAATTAACATTATCAAAATGGCCATCCTACCAAGGGTAATTTACAGAATCAGTGCTATTCTAATAAAAATTTCAATGACATTCTTCAAAGAAATAGAACAAATATTTATGAAATTCATATGGAACCACAAAAAGCCCCTAATAGCCATAGTTCTCCTGACTAAAAAGGAAGGGAATGGAGGTATCACAATCCTGGACTTCAAACTATACTACAAAGCCATTATAATCACAACTGCATGGCACTGGAACAAGAACAGGCACACAGATCAATGGAATTGAATAGAAAAGCCAGAAATCCACAGATTTACGGACAACTAATCTTCAACAATGGAGCAAAAAATATGCAATGGAACAAAGAAAGTTGGTTCAGTAAATGGTGCTGAGAAAACTGGGCTGCTACATGCAAAAAAAAATGAAGCTTGTCAACTACCTCACACCGTGCACAAAAATCAACTCAAAATGGATTAAAGAACTAGACATAAAACCTGAAACCATAAAATACATAGAGAAAAATATAGGGGAAACACTACATGGCATACACCTTGGTAACATCTTTAAAGACACATCACCTAAAGCAAAGATAGTGAAAGACATTAACCAAAACAAAGAGACACCCCACTGATTGGGAGAAAATTTTTGCACACAATGCTAAAGGACTAATCAATCACAAAGATCTACAGGAGCTGACCAAACCTAATAAAAACAAAGTAAACAACCCAGTCAAAAAATGGGCAGAAGAGCTAAAAAGACTTTTCTCCAAAGCTGCAGTTGGCCCACAGGCATATGAAAAATTGTTCAACATCACTTGTAATCAGGGAAATGCAAATCAAAACCATAGTGAGATACCATCTCACACCAGTAAGAATGGCACATATTTAAAAAACTAGCAACAACAATTGTTGGTGAGGATGTGGAGAAATAGGAACTCTCCTACGCTGCTGGTGGGAGTGCAAATAGGTTCAAGCACTATGGAAAGCTGTTTGGAGGTTCCTCAAACTGCTAAAAATGGAGCTTCCATATGATCCAGCAGTTCCACCTTTAGGTATTTACCCAAAGGACACAAAAACATTAATTCAAAAGGGCTCCTGCACCCCTAATTTTATTGCAGCACTATTTACAATAGGAAAGCTTTGGAAACAACCCAAATGCCTGAAAATAGATGACTGGATCAAGAAGATGTATATATAGACAATGGGATATTACTCGGCAATCAAAAAAGATAAACTCATACAATTCACAGCAACGTGGATGGAGCTGGAAGGGATTATGCTCAGTGAAATAGCCAGAAAGAAAAAGGAAAATATTGGGTGGTTTCACTTTTAGGAGGAATGTAGAGGATCCAAATAAGGGATCAGGAAAAATAGTAATTATAAATAAAGTAAATACCAAAATCAACAGGCAGCTATAAACCAGAAATATTCTACATGGGGGTAGAGGGAACTAGGATCAAAACAGGAATGGGAAGAGCACTATGGTGTTGGCATATGGGTAAATTGGTGGTGGGAATTTCGCAGGGACTGTAACTGAGATGAGAACGCATTCATTGTACAAAAATGAAAAATGGTGTAAAAATACATAAAATAAGGACCTCCCTGGTGGCGCAAGGGATTAATACACAAGCTATGAAGTTATCTGCAGCCACTGCAGCACAAATTCAATCCCCCTGCCAGCCAGGGAGCTACCCACATGGCACAGCAGACCTCTCCTGACTCACCCGCTACTCCCCTCAGCAGTGAATTTCAGTCAATCTGCCTGTTCTGTTCTCCACTCTCTCTGGTGAATCATCTCACCCTCCACACCTCTGGCCTATACCCCAGTTCTTGTATGCATAAAATAAATGTTGGACCTCCCTAGTGGCGCAGGCGGTTGAGCGCAGCACCGTGAAGCTGTCCAGAGCCTCTGCAGTGCCAGTTCGATCCCTGCCGGCCACAGAGCAGCCCACATGGCGAACAGACCTCTCCTGTCTTGCCCGCTGTTCCCCTCAGCAGTGTATTTCGTCAGTCTGCCTGTTTTCTTCCCTACTCTGTCTCTGGTGAATCCTCTCACCCTCCCACGCATCTGGCCTGTACCCTGGCTCTTGTATAAATAAAATAAATGTTTAAAAAAATAAATGTTTAAAAAAAAGATGATTTAAAAATATATATATATAAAATTAAAAAATCTAGCAGTTTATATGAAGAGACTTACGGATAGGTTTTCCTTTTAATCTAATATTTAAGGGTTATAATTGCCGCAATAATTCTTTTTTTTAAAAAAGATTTATTTATTTTTGCATACAAGAACTGGGGTAGAGGCCAGAGATGTGGGGGGTGAGAGGATTCACCAGAGACAGAGTGGAAAGTAGAACAGGTGGATTGACCGAAGTACATGGCTGTGGGGTGCAGCAGGCAAGACAGGAGAGGTCTGCTGTGCCATGTGGGTCACCTCCCTGGCCAGGGATCAAATTTGTGCTGCATTGGCTGCAGATAGTTTCACAGTGTTGTGTCTTAACCCCTTGCACCACTAGGGATGCCCCCTGAATAATTCTTTAAAACTTTTAATGTGTGAAAAATTTGACTATCCTGATTCTCAGACTCATATAAACTGAATCTAAGATTGTCTCTTAAGTCTCTTATTATAACTAACCCTTTGCACTCCGCTGTCCCCTCTCAGGGGACATTGGAATTCTAGCATATCACTCGGATGTCCCCTCTCAGGGGACATTGCAATTTATTAGTGATTACGGGGAATTGAGGTTATTTCAACGCAGCTTTTTGAGACATGCATGTTTCCCTGAAGTTTTATCTTGAAATGGCACAAGAAATTAAATCAAAATATCGTAAAATGGTTCGGAGTGCAAAGGGCTAATATTACCCTTAATCAGTTCAGTGAGCATTTAGTTGTTTTTAACTACTTCTAATTTTAAGCCTTGAGGGCTTAAAGCAAAAGCATGTAAAATAATAGTGGAAGGTGGAATAAATACATTGGAAATTTGACATTTTAGCTTTACTCATACATGTGATACTTTTGTTTACAGATTAACTTATTTTAGAAAACACCATATAATTGCTTCGTGAATTTCTCTATTTGTGACAATGATTTATGTGATTATGACTAGAAAGCCATCACTGCTCAGGTAGAAGAGAAGCGCAGGAAGAAGCAGCTGGAAGAAGAACAAAGAAAGAAAGATGAGCAAGAAGAGGAACATCGCTTAGCACGGGAACGAGAAGAGATGCAGAAACAGTATGAAGAAGATATACTTAAGCAAAAACAAAAGGAAGTGGGTATTTATAACTATATCATTTAAGAGTAGAAAATACGTTTTAAAGGAAAAATTATTTCTTGGACCTTTTCTCTCTAAAGAGGAGATTAAGATTAGCTAATACACAAAGCAAAATATGCTTGATTTGAAATGATTATTAATAAATATTGTAGATATGTTAAAAGATTGGTCTTTCTATCCTTCTCTACTGGTGAGTAGGAGCATATATTTGCTGAGTGATTGACTGGAATACAGTTGGTTGCTGTGTTAGAGGTTTGCTCTGCACTAAATAAGGATCTTTTTAAAAAGAGTAGCTATCTGGTTGGCTAGGAGAACCCCCATGTTAAGTGATATGGATAATGTTTGGTGGTATCAAGACCCATGTTTGAGCTAACCTGACAGCAAATCATACAATGACCTTTGATTGCCATAGATTCATGAAGTTTGCAGAGTAGAGCATAGAGCATTTCCCCTGGTGTGGTGAGATTGGGCTGAGAGCCTGCATTTTCTTGACCTTTCCCACTTGTAACTTCACTCCAAAATTAGTTGATAAAAGGACACATGATCCTGGGTTCCAATTTTATTATGTTTACTAGATTAAGCCAATTGTGTATGTGAAATAATCAGGTGCATGGGGAAAAAAGCAAAATATCCTTTACTAAATTGCAAGAAATGACCATAAACTTTGTTTTACCTCTTAATAATCTTTTTAATGTGATAGAATTCTAATAGAATTGACCATAGTTTTAGAAACTTTGAAAATTTATTAGTGTAAACTTGGATGGATAAGAGTTCTTGTATTTGTGGTCTAATATGCCAGTGGAAAAAGATACTAAAATGTAAGGTTGAAAAGGGAAGGAGCTTTGCCCTATTGACTACTTGGGAGTATTTTGAATAGTTGCCTGGCATATAATTGGAGCTTAGAAAATACTGAGAGAGTAGTTCTGTATGTATTTAATAATTACATTTACACATTCTGTGCTGTAATATTGGTAGGAAATTATGACTCTCAAAACAAATGAGCTGTTCCAGACAATGCAGAAAGCGCAGGAGCTGGCACAGAGACTGAAACAGGAACAGAGAATTCGAGAACTCTCTCAAAAGGGACATGACACATCTAGATTGATGAAAAATCTTGGCGGTAAGCACTTGACTAGAATTTTACTTTCAATATTTTTTAAAGATGGGTTTAATTGTCACATGCAAGTGAAATCATACAGTATTTGTCTTTCGGACTTACTTCACTTAGTATAATGTCCTCAAGGTCCAGTCATGTTGTTGCAGATGGCAAAATTTTCTTTTTTATGAAACAAATATATTCCATTATGTATATACACACGTCCACTAATACACACACACACACACACACACACAACATTTTCCTTATCCATTCATCCACAGTGGACATTTAGTTTACTTCCATATCTTGGCTATTATGAATAAATGCTGAAGTGAACACATAGAGGTGCATATATTTTAAAGTTAGTGTTTGTTTTATTTTTTAAAGATTTATTTTTATCCATACATACAAAAACTTGGGTGTAGACTAAAGGTATGGGGGGAGGGTGGTGAGCAGATTCACCAGACAGTGGGGAGCAGAACAGGCAGATTGACTGAAATATACTGCTGAGGGGAGCAGCGGGCGAGACGGGAGAGGTCTGCGCCATGTGGGTAGCTCCCTGGCCCGTGATGAAACTTGGGCTGCAGTGGTTTCTGATAGCTTCATAGTACTGAGACTTAACCCCTTGTGCCACCAGGGAGGCACTGTTTTTGTTTTCTCAAGATAAATACCCACAGGTGGACTTGCTGGATCATGTAGTTTCTTAGGAACCTCCATATTTTCCATAGTGGCTGTACCAAGTTATATTCCCAGTAGTGCACAAGGGTTCCCTTTTCTCCCTATCTTGTCAACAGTTGTTATCTCTTTTTTATAATAGCCAGTATTAGGGGTTAGGGTGATGGCTTGTTGTGGTTTTGATTTACATTTCCCCAGTGATTAATGTTGTTGAGTACCTTTTTCATGTGGCTGTTGGCCATCTAGTTATCTTTGGAAAACAGGGAAACATGTCTGTTCAAATCCTCTGCCCATTTTTAACTCAATTTTTTTTTCCTATTAAGTTGTGTATAAGCTCTTCATATTTTGGGGTTATTAACCCCTTACCAGATTTGCAAATACTATCTATTAGTCCATGAGTTGACTTTTCATTTTGTTGGTTTCCTTTGCTGTGCAGAAACTTTTTATTTTGATATGGTCCCACTTGTTGATTTTTGCTTGTATTTCCTTTGCTATTGTTGACAAATCCAAAAATTCCAGTACCAATATCTAAGAGCTTCCTGTTTTAGTTTTATGGTTTAAAGTCCTAATTGTTCAAGTCTTTGATCCATTTTGAGTTAATTTTTTGTGGATGGTGTGTGGTAGTGGTCTTGTTTCACTCTTTTGCATATGGCTGTTCTTGTGATTGTTCTTAGCAGCACATACACATGTATACATATACTGTCCTCGTTGTATATTTCGGGGCTCTATTTTGTTCCATTGATCTATGTGTCTGATTTTATGCTAATACTGTATTGATTAGTGTAACTGTAATTTAGTTTGAAATCGGGATACATTATTGTTCTTTCTCAAGATTGCTTTGGCTATTTGGGATCTTTTGTAGTGTAATTCACCTTTTAGGATTGTTTGTTCTATTTTTGTGAAAATGGCAGTGGGATTTTGATAGGGGTTGCACTGAACCTGTAGATTGTTTTGGGTAGTAAGGGCATTTTAACAATATTCATCCAACCCATGATCACAGACTATCTTTCCTTTTATTTATGTCCTCTTTGATTCTTTTAAAATAACTTCCTTTGGGGGCCTCCCTGATGGTACAAGGGGTTAAAGTCTCAGCATTATCAAGTATCAGGCTATTGCAAGCCAATGAGACAAGAGTTCGATCCCCGGCCAAGGAGCTGACCTAAGGCATGGCAGACTTCTCCTGTCTTGCCCACTGCTCCCCTCAGCAGTATATTTCAGTGCAACTGCCTGTTGTGTTCCCCACTCACTCTGGTGAATCTGCTCACCCCCCACATCTCTAGCCTGCACCCCAGTTCTTGTATGCATAAATAAATCCTTTAAAAATTAATTTCCTGTTTTTAAATACCCTCAGCACATCTGTTAACTTTTTTTTTATAGACAGATCTGTACTAATGCATAAAGATACTTTATTTGAAAAATTGCTTTAAAACTAATGTTAAGGGCCTCCCCTGGTGGCGTAGTGGTTAAGTGCTGGGTTGCGAAGCTGCCCCGCAGCCTCTGCAGCGCCAGTTCAATCCCCGGCCGCTGGGCGAGGGTCCCACATGGCGCGCAGACCTTACCTGCCGCGCCCGCTGCTCCCCTCAGCAGTATATTTCGCCTGTCTGTCTGTTCTGCTCCCTGCTCTGGCTCTGGTGAATTCTCTCACCCTCCCGCACTTCTGACTGTACCCAGTGCTTGTATAAATAAATAAATCTTTAAAAAAATAAAAAAAATAAAACTAATGTTAAACTTTTCAGTATCCTCACGTAAATTTTCTTGCATTTTACTCACAATTGGTAAAATTTGTACTTTTATAACCATTTCTACAGAGAAATCTTAAGTGATCTCCTAAATTCAGTGAAATAATTGTGCAGATAACTTTTTGCAAAATGATTTAATTAGCCCTTGTAAACCTTCATTGCAATGTTCATAATGTTTGACTCAGAAGTCTTTACGTGTATTTTTTTGCGCTATACATAATTTCTATTAATGTTCCTGAACTGTCATTTTATCAGATATTTTACTAGTTGATACAAGTGGAGTATAATGTATCCATTAACAACATTTCAAATTCAAAACAGGCTTGGATGAAATCAGTGGTAAAATCAATTCTACGACCTCGCCCAAGAAGGATACTGGTGTGCAAACAGGTATTCATTTAGAAATTGTGATTTGATTTAAAATTTACTTAGTTACTGTTTAGTTCAATTTAAAATTAAAGTAATTATTGACTTGGTAAGAGTTAGAAAATAAAGGGATTTCTTGGTTTTGGTAAGGGGTTCCTCCCATTATAACTTTATCGAGAAATAATTCATACAGCAAAATTAAAATCCTTTTGAAGGATGCAATTCATTTTTTTATACAATTCAGTTTTTATTTCTCTGTATTTGTGTATTAGGGATAGTTCATATAATTAGAATACCGTATGTTCTCTTTCGTGTCTTGAATCTTGTGTGGTTTTTTTTTTTAAAGATTTGTGCATAATAAGAACTGGGGTGCAGGCCAGAGATGCGGGGGGCGGTGAGAGGGTTCAGCAGAGACAGTGGGGAACAGAACAGGCAGATCGACCGAAATCCACTGCTGAGGGGAGCAGCGGGTGAGTCAGGAGAGGTCTGCCATGCCATGTGGGTAGCTCCCTGGCTAGGGATCAAACTCGTGTTGCAGAGGCTGCGGATTGCTTCATAGTGCGGTGCTTAACCCATTGTGCCACCAGGGAGGCCCTTGAATCTTGTGTTTTAAGGTTCATTCATGTTATAGCATGTCAATACTTCATTCCTTTGTATCATGGATTATTTTATGGGTATATCCATATTTTGTTTATTCATCAGTAGACATTTGGGTTACTTCTGCTTTTGGCTATTATCATTATGCTGTCTGATCATTCAGGTACGTACAGGTTTTTGTGTGGACATGTTTTTCACGTCTCTAGGGAGAGAAGGGTAGCTTTATTGAGTCATGCAGTAACTCTGTATGTTTCGCATCTTCACAACTACAAAACTCTCTTCAAAACAACCACACCATTTGGCATTCCCACCAGCAAGGTATGAGGGTTCTTTTCTCTACATCCTCACCCATACTACTACTCATGGTGGTGTAGTATTGTGGTTTTGATTTGCATTTCCCCAGTGACTAATCATATTGAGCATCTTTTCATATACTCAAGTTTTACATAGATAGTATCCATGCTGAGTAACTTTAACATAGGTCTGCTTGCAATTAGTCCTTTCCGTCCTCCAAACCAGGCCAGAGGTGCAGGGTGGTGGTGAGAGGATTTACCAGAGACAGAGTGGGGAACAGAACAGGCGGATTGACTGAGGTACACTGCTGAGGGAAGCAGCAGGCAAATAAGGAGAGGTCTGCTGTGCCATGTGGGTTAGCTCCCTGGCCGGGATCGAACTCATGCTACTGTGGCTAGTGATTGCTTGATAGCACTGAGACTTTAACCCCTGAGCCACCAGGGAGGTGTTTTGGTTGTCTTTTTACTTTTAAAACTAATGGGACCCTCCGGTTGGTAATTTTTGGTCGTTGGGAATCCTCTGGTAACTTTAAGAGGCAAAAAGCAATTGAGTTAATAAGGAGTTAATACTCCTCTGAGTATTAGAGAAGCCATTGAATTTGGATAGTATAGATCTTCAACCCAAAATGTCTTAAATTAAGGCATCCATTCCTTAACATGTAGTCTGTTTTCTGCCAATTAATCTTAGACTGTCAGTGAAACACCAGATTACTCATATTAGAAAGAGACCTTGAAAAGGGAAGTGTGGGGTAAAGTAGCTTGCCAGTGCAACTGCTTACCTGAAATTACTCTTAAGCTTTAATAGTCTGGTTTAGTCCTTTTCCTATGTCTAGAAAATTAATCCTACACATCAGTTAAAGGGAAGTGAAATTAAATCTTTAAGATAGTCAAATTATGGTTATTACCATTGAATCACTAATTATGGAAATTTAATTAGAGTCTCAAAGGGGCCTTTTTTTTTTTTTTTTTAATTTATACAAGAACCAGGGTACAGGCCAGATGCTTGGGAGGGTGAGAGGATTCACCAGAGACAGAGTGGGGAGCAGAACAGGCAGACTAATGAAATACACTGCTGGAGGGGCATAGCGAGCCAGACAGGAGAGGTCTGCGGCGGCATGTTGGACCCTCTCGGGCCAGCCATGAATGAAGCAGCGCTTGCAGAGGCTGCAGACAGCTTCACAATGCTGCACTCAACAGCCTGCGCCACCAGGGAGGGAGGCCCTCAAACGGGACTCTAGTTTCTAAAGGAGTGGCTGTGAAAAAATCCCATAGCATGTGCATTTGCTTTGGTGGTAGCAGCAGTTGAACTGTTTGTTTGGTACTGAGACTAGAAGAATACGCATTGTGTAAAGGAAACCTTGAAAAGAACCCTTGTTAAAGGGACGGTCAGGGAATCAACCAGTAGAATGGAATATACATCCTGACTTAACTGTTATCCCTCCCTTTTAATCTGTGAATCCTATTGACAGAAACAGAAATCAGAGAATCCAGAAACCCCTTAACATGGTTCTTGCCAGGGCTGAGCGCTGGGTGGAGAAAGGTGTAAAATGGGTCTGAGTGGCAAAGGAAGAGATAGCCAGTATGACAATGACACAGGTTGGGCAGCCTTATTAATGTTTAGTGCAGCAGCAGCTTTAGCCTGAATAACACATCCAATTTGTAATTCGACTGTTAAAATATGCAACCTAGATCACCTTCTTTCATTAGGTAATGAATTTCAAATTGTAATATGTTAGTCTTTCCAAGGTTATTGCTCAGCTTTTTCACAACTGACAGCCAAGTGCATCAATGAACATTGAAAATCACATGAAACCTTTCATTGTTTTCTTAAAGATGGTCTGCAGGCACAGCATAATGGTATATGACATGACCTTAAAAGTATGTAATGCAGTATGATTTTACCACATTAGTAATGCTTCCCTAAAAACTTGATTCTACTCAGAGGGGAATTAGAGGCATTTTCCAGATCCTCTTGTTTATGTACTTTTGGTAATTTCAAAGAGCCAGAAAGCATCACGTGATTGTTTCAGTTGCTTGTGATGAAATTTTGTATCACTGTTGAGAAACTGAAACTTTCTCAGAAGAATTCTTATATATATATTAAGCTGACATTACATATGGGCTTTACATTTTCAGTGATAGCTAAGAGAGTCCTATGGAAAGCTTTGTTTTTTACAGGGGGTTATATTATGTGATGCTCAGAATGAACCATGGATGATCCTTGATGACATGCTGAGTGAAGTAAACTGAACATAGGAAGAGAGGGTTTGTGCAAGGAGACACAAAAATTGTTTAGTTCCTCTTGTGAGAAAATTCAGCTGTGGTTGGCAAATTCTTAGAGATGAAAAGTAGAGTGGAGCTTGACAGAGAAGTTGAAATAAGGAGTGGGCACAGGATTTCTGTAAGCTAAATGGAGGCTTAGAAAAAATTGGAACCCTTTTGGATTGCTGATGGGAACATAAATGGTGCAATCACTGTAGAAAACTGACAGATACTCAAAAAATTAAAAATAAGATTTTGACCCAGCAATCCCATCTCAGGGTAAATAGAACTAAAGTAAGGTCTTGAAAAGCTATTTGGATACCAGTGTTGATAGCAGCATGATTCACAGTAGCCAAAAGGTGGAAGCAACCCCAGTGTCCTTCTATAGTTACATAAAATGTAGCATACACACGCAGACACGGGGGTAATCAATAGTTCAACCTTAAAAAGGAATTTGTGGCAATAAGATGAATGAACTTTGAGGAAAGCAAAATAAGGAAGTCATAAATGGTAAATACTATATGACTCAACTTACAGAAAGTAAAATGGTAGTTTCCAGGGACTGGAGGAAGGAGAAAAGGAGTTGTTCGGTGGGTAGCAATGTCAAAATAAAACTAATGCCCCTGAAAAAAATGGCTTCAATGGCTAAGTTGTTATATTTTACCACAATTTAAAAAAAATCATCTAAACTTTTTTTTTTTCAAGATGATTTAAATATAGGAATATTCACCAATGCAGAATCACACTGTGGATCATTACTACAGAAGGACATTATATATTGTTCATCTCCAGAAATACCTGCAGATTTTAATGAACAGCTTAATGCAAAAAAAACCAAGCAAGAGCTAATAAGTCAAGATAAAGGAGCCAACTTAGAAAAAGAGAATAGTTGGTATAATGACCAGTATTATGATCCGTTCACAAGAACAGAGAAACAAATGAAACATATGAAGAAATGTTCTAAACGACCTGAATGGAATATAAACAAACCACTCAAAAGGTATATTCCAGCATCAGAAAAGTACCCCAAACAGCTGCAAAAGGAGAGAGAAGAAAAAAAAGTAAGGCGGCAAATGGAACTGCTTCATTTGTTAGAAAGAAACAATCCCGGACACCTCTCTCAAAATAGAGGCACTTCACCAGAAGTTCTTCACTTACCTCAAGACAGTGAGTCAAAGTTCAGGTGGCAACTAGTAAAAAAGGTAACATTCTATCTTTAAAAATGTATTTTAAAGCATTTGTCTCTAGATTAAAAACACAATTCCCTCTATGCATGCTTTTAATAAGACACTTCTGTGTGAATAACCATCCTCATTGTTTCATATACTATCTACTGCTGGCTTTGCAGTACAACAGCAGAGTTGTTCATAGTAGTTGGGTTAAAAACTGTATGGCCGGCCCACAAAGCGAAAACCATTCACCATCAGGTCCTTTGCAGAAAAAGTAATGCTTAAATCCTGTAATGATGACTGCTGCTTCCCAAATTCCCAGTCAAAACTCATTTATTATCTATATGGAGAATAACTTACAAGATTAGCAATTAGAGGGGTTCTCTCTGTGAAAATAAGTCTTTGTCCCATTACTCACTATACTCAAATATCCTTAGATATTTCAGTGTTGCCACTACAAATGTGGGGACATATGGAAATCATTATTCCTTTCCATATTTATCAATCTTTTAGGAAGAAGAGGCTGTGAATACCAATTCGTTCAGCAAGGAAAGGTATGTGGTACAAAGTATTTGTTCAAACACTAGGTGAGACCAAGCATATATGTATATGAAGAAGGTAACAATAACTTGCAGGTTTAAAGGCCCAAGTTGGACTGGACTTAAGCACCCTAGGCAGAAATGTGGTGTTTTGTTATATCCAGATGTAGCTCAACCGTTTTGATTTTTCCAGCTCCTTCAACGGTGGACTAGACATTTTACTTAGGCTGAAGGAGAAGAAATAGCTGGTAGGGGTTTGAGAGCCCTACCTCCTATGGGAGAATCGAATGTTTCAACTGTCTGCTTGAACAAGCTGGTATAGAGTTGTCTAGTTCAGTATTTTCTTTTTATATATAAAAAGAAACATTGGGATCCAGCATTTTGTTAGGAAAAGGAATTGTTACAGATGCATTTTAGCATAAGTTCAAATGTGATTAAAAACTAAATATGCTTAAAACCCTGTATTGAAGCTAATCCCTGATTGTTTTTTGGGAAAACTACAGGCCCCAGTCACCACCACTTCCAGCAGTGAAAAACAGAATACAACAAACTCAGAAAAACTGTTGTGAAGGAGAGAATCTAATTTCAGGAGACAGTCAAACAGAATTATCTGGGCTTTCTGAATCATCCCATTTTATTCCCTATGTCCGAACCAATGAGATCTATTACCTTGATCCAGATGCACCATTGTCTAGGCCTTCATCCCAGGATCTTCAGTACCAAAATCCACATGGTAAGTCAATATAAGTACCCCTCCATCCTGAATTCAGATTATTAGTATTCCTGTCCCCAATTCTAGAAAGCATCGCAACAAGGGTAAGTACAAAGATTACTCTCCCCAGGGAGGAAGTTTAATGAATTGTAGCACATAGGCTAGATAGGGGCCTCCCTGGTGGCGCAAGGGGTTAAGACACAACCTATGCAGCTATTATCCATAGCGAGCACGAGTTTGATCCCTGGCCAGGGAGTAGCAGACCTCTCCTGCCTTGCCTGCTCTGTCTCTGATGAATCCTCTTAGCCCCCCCCCCCACACCTCTGGTCTATACCCCAGTTCTTGTGTGCATAAATAAGTAAGTCTTTAAAAAAAAATCACATTAGACTTTTGTCATTTTCATTTCAGACTGTGACCACGAAAGACAGCTATTTGACCATGTCAGAGACCCGCTACTTAATCCCAACTTGGTGAAAAACAGAGATCGACAGCAAGCAATCCTTAGAGGGCTATCAGAATTGAGACAGGTATGAGATTTTCCACAAGTGTGGATGTGCTTATTCATGTATGGCTAGTAGAGGCTGAGTTAAGTGCCTTAAGTTCTTTACATGATTTATGTGATGCTTAAAAACTTGTATCTATTGAATAGAAATAAAACACGACTTTTCCAGTGTGAAAAGCATGACACAGATCAAATATTTAGACAATTTTATTGAACGAAAATCACATACATGATCAATAACGCCCTAAAAATGGGCAGAAAAATACACAATTATGCTTTAATAAGTTCTCACTAAAAGCAGTTCATGGTTTAAAAAAAAAAAATGGCAGTGTCTGAAACAAAACATTGACGCAAGTCCCAGAGAATAATTCACTGTAAATTTATAACCTTACCAGACCAATTATTGTGATTTGCTGAGGTAAACATTTCCTATTTTAAGGCTCTAACTTTTTTTTGCCAATTGCCTGGCTTGAGGAAAAAAAAAAATGGCTCGAAAATTGATCCTACAGGTATTTTTCTTTCACTGTGCTCTTATTTGCCAACTCCACTTTAGTTTTATCTAACTCAAAATCAAAGGTTTTTTTGTTTTGTTTTGTTTTTTTTTATACTTCTCGCTTAATGGAGATTACCCATGTTTGTCACAGCATTTAGGGTGCAGGGGGTTCTGAACCCCACATAGGGACTTGGCTTTAAGAAAAGTCATCCCAATTGGTGAATATGCAAAGTTGTGTGTGATTAAATTCAACAACATACATTTTAAGCTGTGAGCAAGTATCTGAGCTCTTAACATATCTTTAAAAAACAAGACAGGAATGTGAAAGGGGAATAATTTGCAAGTTTGTTGAAGATTACTAAACATATCAATATGATTTCAGGGCCTTCTCCAGAAGCAGAGAGAGTTGGAAACTAACCTCATGCCTTTAGCTGCAAATCAAGAGGAGAATTTTAGTCCTTCATTTTCAATGTAGAATATCAAATCGTTCACATTTGTCTTCCAAATTATAAAGTGTGCTTGTTGCTTAACTTTATATTTCAGACAGGCTAGATTTATTATTCAAAACTTGTACATTATGTAGTAAAACTTTTTTTTTTTTTTTTTGTATATTTATAATAAATCACTTTTGTAAAGGCTTAGTTGAAAAAACACATTCTACTTACTTACCTTTCAGTCTGGACTTTTTGCCCTGTTAACAGACAACATTCTTTCACTTTTTATGAAGCTTATAAATTAAAATACATAATGTTCTTTTGTTCCATAAAAACATTTGAAAGGGTAGAACTCTTCCAGGTCCCTTTTAAGCGCCACAAGTCTAACTTTATTTACACATCCCAACTTGTAACCCATAGGCTTATGTGAAAATTCCTATTCTCTAACTTTAGCACAGTTTTCGTTTACAAGTCAGTTATCTGAATGTTCTGTGAATTTTGTTTTAGTACATAACACATTGACATTTAAGTGCTTACGACCGTCACAAATACTTTGTCCCAAGTTGTCAAAAATCTCTTAAAATATCAAAGTGAATTTGGTTCAGTCAGAAATCATAATTATCAAATGCTTTCAAATAAAAGGTTGACCAAAATTTCAGCAACAGGTAATTTTTACATGGTTAATGCTAAGAGGATAAAAAATAATGCTGCTTGGCATTACGGTCTATATACATTTATCATCTAAATGAAACAGCACTGTTAGGTAACTCTTGAGGTACCAAACATTGCTGTCTTATACCTGTATAAAAACACTACAAAAGTGTAAATCAAAAATACAATAGTTGATAGTCATTTCAGCAAAAGTAGTTACTACCCAACATAGGAAAGAAAAAAGCCATTGCTATGTATTACCCTTTTGCAAATATCTAGACCTATATCTAAAAAACAGGCTTCCGTCTGCAGCCTAAGTGCAGGTGGCATATAAATGTAGAACTTCAAAGTGCCAACATGAGATAATTCAAGTACAATATATGTTAAAAATATATATATATTTATTTCAATTTTCAGATGCTTCAACTGTTACAGGCTATCATGATTTAAATAAAGAGGGAAAAAAACAAGGACAAGAAACCTTTTAAAGAATGAAATATAAATTGTTAATTCACGTTTAAGAAACAGAAAAAAGTCCATAACCTATTTCAAAAAAAAGTTATTTCTCTTTTGAATATGGCCTGGAAGAACCACTTTTCCAACTTAAGGGAGATGGAGATTTCTCTCTATCCAAGCTTTGAGTATAAGCAGATACAAAGTAATTTTCACTTTCTTGACACTGACTTGATGAAAGGGCATATGGTGTCCTCAGAAATGTCTGATGAGTGAGAACATTAAAATGACTAAACTGGTGGGACATATTTAATTGACTGTGATAAACCTGAAAGTTGCTATATGAATCTTGTTCAGATGAATTGCTGTTCTCTCCTCCAGAGCATACTTTATCGATAGAAGCTCTCTCTTCAAAATCAATTTGATAAGTCTTATCTTCTAATAAACTTTTTTGCACGTCAAGAGACGATTGCAATTCAATTTGAATATTCTTTTTTTGATCTGTTCCACGTGATCCTTTGGTCTCTTTCGCCAATATTTCTGAATGAAAATTGCTGCATACTTCTATATGTGAGATTTCATCCCCTGAATCCAGAGACATATCCTCTTCATCCTTTCCATCGTTTTCTAAAAGAGCTACATTTAAAAAACAAAAAGTCCTCCTCTATTGAAATACACAATTTGTTTAAGTTTTAAAATTATACACTACTCACACAATATAATGCGTCAGGGTCTGCAAGTCCACAATCCCTTAAAGCTTGGTCTTCTGCCACAAGTTCACTTAGTCACAACACTCACACTAGGTGTGAATGTCCAGATAATCCGATGCTAAAAGCTTCTGCGAAATGTGTTCACGTTTAATGTTGGGAAATCCCAACTCCCAGCTCCAAAGGGGTTAATGTCAATACAGCATCTAAAGTTATACGGTAATTCAGTATTTGACAAGACAAATATAAAATAAAAATTTTGACATCTGGCTTCACTGGATTACTACTTAACTATCAAATGTTTGGTCAGCTCTGCTTTACAAGAGAAACAAAAGTACATCCTTCACTTAGGCAAAACATGGAACCAAAGCAGAGGCCATCTTATACATGACTGAAGTTACGGCTCTCCCTGCTACTGTGTAATTAAAGTGCTTTATATTCCTGGGGAGATCTAGTAACCCAAAGTTATATCCCCATATCAGGTGTCATTCTTTTGAAAAACACAGTAACCCCTTTGCTAACAATAGAGTAATACACTTTTCATACTGAGGGAGAAGATGCCTACTCTATAATATGCAATATATTGTAACTTGTATTGATTATACAGTATAAAAATGAGTAATTTTGTGCAAGCTATGAACAATAAACACCATGACATACTTGCCCCTGAAGCTATTTTACACTGAGGTGAGTAGTTTCAAAATGACATTTATCTGGTAACAGATTAAAACCATTTCTTTTTCTCTCTGCCTTAAAGAAAGTAAGAACTACTGAAAAGTTACCTGACTGTGACTCAAGATTCTCATTAGCACCAAGCAGTGGAGGGTTTTCCTCTGTGAGTGAGTTGTGATAGCCCACAAGATTTTTAAAGTTTTGCATAAAGTCTTCTGCAGTTGCAACGACAATTCCATTATCTGTATAACTTGAAAGCGTCTTGATATTCTTTTCTAAATTATAAAAGTTGAGTATAAAATATTAAAAAAAATATATATGATGCCTTGCCTGGCCCTAACAAAAATACATTCCTCCATATTATCAGAATCAGGGCCTAACAGCCACACCACAGCCCCATAAAATCCCTTCATCCACATTCCTATAGTCAGAGTAGAAAGGTTAACAGTTCACTCTTTACCTGTTAAAAAGACTATGTGTCTCTGCTGTATGTTCTGAGCCTGCAGTCTGATAAGGCAGTCCAATTCTGGAGCATTTCTAGTTTGTGAGTCACAGTTGTGGTAGGACAGAATTTCAACTAGATGTTTCTTTTGATAGACATTCAAAAGCGTCAGCAGACTTAGTGCTTTAGCATTCAATCTGTGAAAATAAGTAGGTTGGTATGTAGATGTGCATTTCTGAAATTTAGTATGGAGATTTTTGCTTCAAATTAAAACCCTAATTTGTCAACTGGGACAAGTGAAGACAACTGCACTGCTTAGCTCACAGCCTGATGATGCAGGATTGCTTCTTGAGAGGGAGTATGGGGATTGTGCAGCTTACATATAAATGCAGGGTTTATATTTTCTGGATGCAACCCCTGATGATGGCCACCTACTATTCAGTTTAGTCTAACACCTCAACTACCCATTTTATTTAGTAAATAACAAAACCAGTTCTCTTTAAGCTATACTAACTCATGACTTTAGCGAAATGCATGAAAAGGGACCAAAAAAAAATACATGGCTATAAGCTATTTCTATACCTCAGGGCACAACAAAATTCAATAAATTACTGGCTACTGTAAGGAAGAAAAAAAGTGTCAAGATCTAACTGAAGAAATGCTGGTTGCTAGTGGGAAAGTAGACTGGTCCAAACCCTATGGAAAACAGTGTAGAGGTCTCGTAAATGACTAATGATAGATCTACCATATGAGCCAGCAATTCCATTCCTAAGTATCTACCTAAAAAACACAAAAACACTAATTTGAAAGGAAAATTGCACCCCTATGAGCTTGTGGCACTATATATATATATATATACACACACACACATATATATACACACACACAGAGACACAATGGCCAAGATATGAAAACAACCTAAAAGTCCCCAAACAGAAGAGTAGATAAATGTGGTGTGTATGTGTGTGTACATATATATATATGCAATGAAATATTAATTTGCAGCAACATGGATTGAGTCAGAAGAGACAATGCTGAAGTAAAATAAGTCAGAAAGAGAAATACTGGATGGTATTCTATATGTGGAATAAAGAGAAACCAATCTAAGAACCAGAGAAAGAAAACCTTAAAAACTAACTCTTGAAAACTGAATATAAAACTAAAGGATCCAAAAGGATTACGAGTAGGAAAAGAGGGAAGGAAAGCACAAAGGACTCAGTGATGGACTATGGTGATCTGGTGGCTGTACCCTGCAGTGGTAATAACATCAGGTTATCATGAGAAGAATTAAGCAATAAAAAACACTGGTTCACACAATTTAAAAAAAAAAAAAACAAACCAATTCCTAAACAGTATCTCAAACTCATCCAATTACGTTCTGTATATGGAGAATCAAGTGCCTAGTGTTCCAAGGATCACATCTTCGGAAGTGACTTCTGGGCACAACAGAAAAATCACCTAATGATATAAGCCTTAGTCACAAACCCCCTCACCATGTCGAGGTTATTCCTTGTCTTGGTAATGTGGTGTTAGTGGAGGAAACAGATTTTACCTAAATACATACAAAGAACTTCAAGTTTCTATCTGAACAAAAATACCACTTTTAAACAGGCTACAATAATTTACAATATACATTTCCTTCCAGATAGCTAAGGATACCTGTGAAAACTGGGCAGCATCCATAATCTATCAACAAAAAAATAGAAATTTTGGGAACATGTTAAAATCAACAAACATTGTATAATTATTTTTCCAATCTTACCTGCCCAGTTCCTTTAGTTTTTTTTGAAATTTACAATGGACTTTCCATTGCCATTTTCCTTCTGGAGTACTAAGTTCTTCAAGGAATGTCAAAAAATTTTTAAGGCTCTCTGTTATAAAAACAATAAATGTCATATAAAATTTAATAAATGCCACTCCACAACTGAATTATGGAACAAGTGTTTGTTGATATTTAGATCTAAGAACATAACATCCACACAAACAAATGAACATGTTGACAAAAACCAGATGTTGATCCAATCAAAACACAGGAAATAGAGCCTTGCTTTATATCAGACTAAGAGTATGGATGACAGAATGAGATAATAAAAGCTCAAGAAACTGATGGAACTATACTAGTTATTTTTGAGTGGCAGAATAGACAAAACAAGTATGAGTGAATCATTAGTGAGGAGACTTGTCCAAGAGTACAAAAATCTTACCAATTGTATAAACATCTGGATTTAGAATGGATTCATCAGACACAATAAAACCTCCAGATACAAACAATTCATTGTATGTATGATTTTTAACATCATCCAGGCTATCCACACCAGCAAAATTAACACAGGGGAGCTTCTTTAAAGTCACCAAGCCAGGTACCTATTTAAAAACCAAATAAAAACAGAAGGACATATGAAAGATTAAGCCAACAGACTCAAGTGTAAAGTAACTTAGATTAGAAATCTGACAACATACACTATGGTTCTACTGGCGTGTAGCTGCTGGAAAGCTAAACACAAAAATATTCCCAACATTATTTACAAATATATAAACCACTGTTAATACACCAGCACCTGTCATGAACAGAATACTATGGAAAAGATCTGGAAACACAGAACGGAGAAATCAGTCTGATCCTAAGTACAGTCAAATTCAGACGAGGGGAACAGCCTATGTATTGAAACAGTCAAGAAAGTCTTCAAAAGGTAAGAGAGCTTGAGATAGACTCTGTAAGATTGGATGGGGCACTTCCAAATCCAGGGGAAAAGGACAGCCTTCACATAGGGGTACACAAAGAGGTTGTGCCTATTTGGGACATACAAATGAATATGAGAAAAAAATAAATATTCAGCCAGACACACTGGCATTCAAGGAATCATTCTTGACTATTTGAGTGATATGATGTACTGCCATTTAAAAAAAAAAAAAAAAAAGACTTGGATGGGTCACATAAGACTTAAAACTCCCAACTTCAAAGTTTATTTTCTTTAAAATGAGGATATTTAAAATATCCCAAAGACAGTAAGATTTTAAAATAAGGGAGTGGGTTTGACTTAGTAGTCTACCTTGTGGATGAAACCTGCAATGTCTTCGTTTTGAATAATAATCAATAGTTTATCTAAGTTTGATCTTCTTTCCAAAAACTGTTCTGGATGACATTCTGTATTGCCTAATTTGATAAGATACTCCTGTGAAAGGGGAAAAAAAACATAAATCAACATTAAAAAGATTTTTTTGCAAACATCCATTTAACACTGGAAATGCAAGATAAGCTGACAGCTAACTACTAGAATACTAAGACCTCAGAGATCATCCAATCTTTGTATAGAACAATTTAAAGCTAGGTGCTTAAATGGCCATGATATTACAATGCTATGTAATCCAAGTCAAGTAAACGTCACCATGGGCTAACAAAGAATTTTAAGAATAAATTAGCCCAGGGCCTCCCCGGTGGCGCAGCGGTTGAGCGCTGGGTTGCGAAGCTGCCCGCGGCCTCTGTGGCGCCGGTTCGATCCCCGGCTGCTCCCCGGCCACCAGAGGAGGGTCCCACATGGCGCGCAGACCTCTCCTGCCGCCCGCTGCTCCCCTCAGCAGTGTACTTCGGTCCTTCTGCCTGCTCTGCTCCCCGCTCTGGCTCTGGTGAATTCTCTCACCCTCCCTCCCGCACTTCTGACTGTACCCAGTGCTTGTATAAACAAACAAACAAAACAAACCAGCAAACAAATAAATAAAGCATGCCTCTATAAAAAAAAAAAAAAAAAAAAAAAAAAGAATAAATTAGCCCAGGTTCTAAACACAGCTCCATTTCTTATTATGTGCAACTCAGAATCCAATTATTAACTACGACCTCACTCCCATTTACTTTCCACTAAGCTTGCCCAGGATTATCTGCAGCAATGTTACTTGCATACTACTTCCTCTACAGACCCCAAATCATTCATAGGGATCTTCAGTGTGTACAGATACACTCATGTTTGTCAAGTGTATACCTTCAGAAAAAATACTCTTCCATCTAACACGTCCCATACGGGTGACTTAGCATTACCTTTGAACGGACACGAGGAGTTCCCTTACTCTTTGCCTTCTGGTGGAACCCCCACTGAAGCAAACTACAGTATCCTAGAAATCACATTCCTCATTACAGGAGATTAATTTTCCAGATTGGCACTGCTAATGACAGCCATAAATCTAAACCCCGTTTGCTTAACCAGGAGTCTCCTGCTTTCAACAGCTGAATACAAATGTCACACCCCAAAAAGTGTTTTTCCACATAGCCCTGAACTAAAGCAGCATCTTCTACATTCTTTGGTTTTGCTCTAACTTCTGATGTTTCTGGGTAAATTTCAGGGCTGCTTGTAATTTCTCCTATGTCTTTTACATTAAGGAGCTTAACTAACTCATTCAAGAACAAATTAAATTGCAAAAATATTCAGGAAGCTTAAAATTTTTAGTTGTAGCATTTTATTCTACTGTAATAATTTTGCTGGAAATTTCCCAATGCATATTGATACAGTTCCAATCTGATTTCACATCAGATTTCTTATCCTATGTAATTAACAAATAATTTTATGCCAAAATGAGCTGAAGCATCATTTTTTCTGTTAACAAATGCATTTCCCGTGTGTTACAATCAGTTAATAAAAGGGGGAGGGGGACAGTGGAGTAATGCCCAACCTATTTTCTCACCTAGCTCCACACCAACCTGCATCTATAACCCAAGAGTGCTATGCTTGGAAAAATAATGTTGGGGGTAGAAAAAATCTGAGCAGCTCTACAATTTAATCATAAAGGGCAAAAAATGCAACCAAAGATACCCAGTAAGTCTTGTTTCATTCTTCCAAGGAACCACAGAGAATTTAGTGGAGAAGACACACTGAGGACTCTTTCGCTTCCTCCATTCTACTTTCTCATGGGAACATAACATGAAACACGCTGTCATCCGTAGTGCCCAAACTGACAAAAGGCTCAGGGTATGTCAGCAGCATTTGAGTTTCTGGGCCACACTGGTGTTAAGTCACTTATTTAATAGTCCCTTCTACTTCTAACGAAAGAAGTAGACTCTAGTCATGGTAAGTAAAGTCCATCAATGGGAGCGGCCAATTATTTTAAAACCTAAGGCCATTATAAAACCTATTCCATTATAGAATTAAAATTTCATAGTTTAAGGAACACTAATTGGTAATATTAAACTTTTAATTGCTCCAAATATAATTTTATCTCTTGTCCAAATGTTACCTATGTCTATACCTGTACACACACATAAAATATATTTGTTTTATAAAATCAAATACCTATACAGGGCTTTTCTGGTGGCACAAGGGGTTAAGCACCGCACTATGAAGCAATCCACAGCCTCTGCAGCACGAGTTCGATCCCTGGCCAGCCAGAGAGAAACCCACATGGCGAGGCAAACTTTGCCTGTCTCGCCTGCTGCTCCCCTCGGCAGTGTATTTCAGTCAATTCGCCTGTTCTGTTCCCCACTCTGTCTCTGGTGAATCCTCTCACCCCCTGCATGTCTGGCCTGTACCCCAGCTCTTGTATGCATACATAAATCTTTTAAAACAATAAAAAAATTTTAAAAGACAGTATAAAATAGATTCTAAATTCTAAAATATTTAGACCCTAGGTTCTGAACTTTGTTGAGTTTACTGATCTTTTAATTCTGCATTAAATTATTAAAAATATCTGATCATTTAAATACAAAACCTTCAGTGTTACAGACAGCGTACTCAAGATAATTTTATGTAGCATTACCATTACCTTTTCATTTTAGTTACCTTTATTTCTTTACAGAGCTCACTCTCCTCTTCTTCATGAATGTAAAATTTCACAGTATTTTTCTGGACATCTTTCATGATTTTAACCAAGCTGTTAAATACTTCAGGTTCTAGCTGGCTTATAAAATTTGAAAGAGCTGGTTGGGCAGAAATATTTACATCACTGGGCGATTTTGTTGTTTCCTTTTCTACTGGTTCCCGGGCAATATCACCAGGTACAGTGTGATCGGAAGTCACCATCAGCTCTGTGACATGCTGTGGCTGGTTCAATTCTTCTTCAGTTAAACCCAAAGTCGAAGAGGAATGTTGCTCATTAGAGATGGTGTCTTTCAAAGTATCGCTACAAAGTGGCTCAAGGAAGTGTTTATGGTTGAAGTCACTTGAAGACACCGGTAGGACATGCCTCGCCAGAGGAGTCAATGCTATCTTAGTTTCAGAATCATTAGGACTGACTGGTGGCAAATTCCCACCCTTAGTTGATGCTTTGATAATAATAGTATTTAGTTTCTCATGCAAGCCATCTACAAACTCCTGTACACCAGCTTTGGAAGTCTTAGAATATATGAACTCAGAGAGCCGTTTCATCTTCTCTTGTGTTGAAAATACAGGTGTAGAAATCTTACTGACATATGAAACATTCTTTTGCTTCAAAATCTCTTCTATCTTCCTAGAAAAGAGATTATACTCTCCTAAAACTGTCCTCTCTGTGGTTTCGCTCACTGCAGGCGGTTCTGATGCTGGCACACACTGCTCCTCCACTGCCACCACCTGACCTGTCAACACATCATCCTCAGTGGTGCCCTTTAGTGTGTCTGTAAATGGAGAGGATGGAAACTGGTAATCAGAACTTCTCTGCCTACTTATTACCCGGGGGTCGTTAGGAAAGGCCTCCTGTGGTGGCAGACACACCAGTTGTTCTTCTGGTGATTTCATACCTATATAGAAAGAGTGCATCATTATAAAGGCAATTGAAAAAGATAACATCTAAAAACACAAAACTTATTAAGAAAGCGTCAAATAATGCTGTGAACTTTATTTCCTATGTGCCCGACTTTTATGGCTGGTCACTGGATTTTAGTAGCCGGAGTAACAAGTTCGTTATTTCTTTTGAAATATTCAAAGCACCAATTTGGCATAAGTAGAGAGCAAATCAATTTGTTTATTTCTGCTTATCTACCTCTTTATAGCTGACTTTAACAGAAATGTTTTAATCAGGATGGTCAGTTGCAACACCTTGCTCAACTCATATTCTTTGCCAAGTCATGTCTACTATAAGACCCTCTAATTATTAAAACCTTCAGTGTAAGTCAACTGAAGGAACACCGAACTGAAATGCTAGAAGAATGATGCCAACTTAATATTTGTATTCAGGATCTAGCATAATTAACTTTATCTAATATCAGATTTTCATATGCTCTCCTATATGGGGGGAGGGGGGATTGCTCAGTGGATTTTTTTCTACAATGCTAGGGACTTTATCAAGGGAAAAAAGCTCACTAATACAGGAAAAAGACATTTCATAGCTGCATTAACAGTAAGTTTTGCTAGTGCTTTCCTATGTATTTTTGTTTTATTTAGAAATAATTCCAAGCGGAATCATGACAGCTATTACCCTACCCCCATCTGAGATGAAAAGGTCATTCAGCTAGATGATGCTAATGTAAGTGTTTAACTCTTGACAACTAGCTCAATCCATAAGATCATGCTTTATCCCCTCCCCACACAAATCCTAAATTCAATTCAAACACAATGTTTTTTTTTTAATGGAATGGTTTACATTTTTTTCAGTTTTTATTATTTTAAGTTTTTATTTTGTTAAGTTTTATTATTTTTTGTGTAGAACTGAGATAAGGGCCAGAGGTGTGGGGGTTGAAAGAATTCACCAGAGACAGAGTAGGGTGCAGAACAGGAGGTTGACTGAAATACACTGCAAGCTCCAGGATGTACACAGTATAGCAACATTTCCTCTCTATTCAAAATTAAGTTTTGATTTTTCCTTTCTAAAGGAAAAATACTCACACCTTTCTAAGGGTTTAAACAACCTCAGCAGAGTCAGCTTGTGATATGTCTCTACCAACCCCAGTGGTTACCATAAATCACTGCCCTTTTAACTACTGCATAGGCACCTGTCAGCAGGGTAAGACCATAGCAGGTCTGATAGTAGGAGAGAGAAGAAAGGCACAAAATAGACAATGTGCCAAGGTAAGAGTTACAACTGCATGAAACTGATAAACCAGAAAATTCATGCTCCAAAATGTTACTCAGAAATACTGAATGCCCTCCTTAAATCTACAACATGGGGTTTTTAGTACACACATTAAATGTCTGGAAATGTACATAAGAACTTTGTAACACAGGCTGATCACAGGAGAAAACTAAATGTCAGGATTAGGGGTGGAAAACACCTTTTCAAGTTATTTATGTACTTAATTGTGTACATTAATGTCTGATTTTAGTAAAAAATTTTAATTGTATCTTATAAAACAAATGATTGAGGAGGATACCCTATAATTTTGAAAGTTCTGAATTACGTATTTAAAAAAATACTTGCTCTCAAAACAATAACTATGGTTCAGACCAATAAGCTCATTTCTTAAGTGTTATGGATAACAGGAATTTTTGTAAGCTGAAATACAATTTGAACTATCCATAAGGGAAATTTGCTGTATGAAAAAACTCTAAACCTAATCTGTTTTAAAATATAAATGATCACCACCTAATCTTATATTGTACAAATTTCCACTATATGACTTTAGGACTGACAACTTTGTTAGTTAAAAAATGTACTTTACAACAAGTATATTAAAATAATGTACTTTTAAACATACAAGTACTTTTAAAATATATACATCAATGTCCATAATAGTGCCTGTTTTCAACTGATTCCACTCGAGCATAGCAGTACTTTGACTTCTAAGTGAAAAAGGAATGGTGAGTTCCCTAAAACTAGCATCATTCAGACATCTATACTTTCGGTCACAAGCTACATAGATGGTATCCTAAGTAAGAACTTCAGGTGCAAACGGGACATTTAGAAGCATAAAAAAGATACCTACTACTCCTAAGAATGAATTACTGACAGCAAAATATGATGAAACATAGTGTTGCGTGAAAGCCCAAAACATGTATAGGTTTCATTTAGGTTAAATTCAAGGACAGGTGAACTAATCTTTGGTGAAAGAAGTCAGCTTATTGGGTTACTTACTGGAGGCAGACAGAATACTGACTGGGAGGATATGGGATACTGGAAATAGTTTACATTTTGATTTCAGTGGTGATCATTTAAGTTGGATACATATATAAAAATTCACACAGACTTAAAGATTTCCTATGCCATGTATCTGCTGTTCCTGAGTGTGTGTGTTTTAAACAGCTTATCCCAGGAGGCATGAATATTTTCTTGAAGAAAATTATTATAACTCACATTCTCTTATTCTTTAAAGAAGGGAATAACTGTAAAGGTTTATTAGAGTCATTTAGCTTCCTTCCAAATTACAAAAAAAAAAAAAAAAACCTTCAAGATTTGTGAAAAAGATACAACAAAACTGAAATGAAAGACCCAGCATGCACCAAACTCTAACCAAGAAAATAATGCCTATGCCCATCTACAGAGATGTTGAATTCACTGTGGCTCAGACAAAAGAAATCGTCTCCACTGTAACTAACCAATCAGTAAGATCTATAAATATTTCTGGAATCTGAAATTATCTTAATCTTTTTATTCTCTGGAGGTCTGCTGGAAATGGGACTAGTAAAATATGGCTGGGTGAAGGCTGTGGTCCATGACCATTTTTGCTGGCTATAAGCCAGGTCTCTAAAACCAGAGGGAGTACACAACTTTTCTTAAAATTGAAGGTACTTATGCTTGAGATGAAAATGAATCCTGTCTATGCAAGAGATGTGCTCAAGTATACAAAGCGAAGTACAGTGACTTCTGGTGACAAACCAAATAAAATGAGTATTCTGGGGAACGTAATGTGTGCCCATGGAAACTGGCAATTTGCACCAAATTCTGAAGCAACCTTCCTGCTAAGACCATAGGACACAGACTCTACGTGATACTACACCCCTCAAGGATTTAAACTTACTGAAAAGCCAACGAATAAATGTAGATTTCTTAAAAATGAAGTATCTGCTGAATTTTGCTTTACAGTTAGAAGAACTGGGTCAAAAAATTCAAAATTAGGAATAATATACCTAAAGATAAATGGCCTCTCCCCTCACACCTTTTTAAATTTTTTTTACACCTTTCAAAATTTTTTTAAAGATTTATTTATGCATACAAGAACTGGGGTATAAGCCAGAGGTGTGGGGGGTGAGAGGATTCACCAGAGACAGAGCAGGTTGCCGAACAGGCGTACTGAAATACACTGCTGAGGGGAGCAGTGGGCGAGTCAGGAGAGGTTTGCTGCGCCATGTGGGCTAGCTCCCAGGCCGGGGATCGAACTTGTGCTGTAGTGGCTGGCAATAGCTTGACAGCGCAGTCTTTAACCCCTACCCCTGTGCCACTGGGGAGCCCTACATCTTTTTAATTTTAAAAGAAATCTGGAAGACTATTTCTGATGAGATAAATCTGCAGAAATAGATTATGAAAAATATTCTGGTATTCCAGGTGAAGAAAACAATCTATATGAATATTCAGTGACTTTTCTGAACAGTCTTTTGTATAAGAATAATTGATAAAAATCAATAATTTAAATACAATATATTGTCCAAATGCCCAGTAATTAACAGAGCTTAAAATGATGCCCTATTAACAAGGTCCAGAAATACAAAGTAGCAATTGTGAAGAAGGACACATTGGGAAGGAAAAGCAAAGCAAACCTTCTCACCTGGTGCTTGTTTCTCACCATGTTTCCCCAGCTGGTCTTCCGGGCTTCTTCCATTTCCTCCTGAGGGAAAGTATCTGTTAGACTTGTAGACTCTTCAGATATTGGTGATACCTATTAACCCCCTTTCCAATAACCCCAAATGTTAATGAATGCAAGCATATTCTTTCTGTTGCCTAAAATAATCCCAAAGTGTCATTTAGAAATGGGAGGTTGCTTTCCTTTCAAGTGATGCTGGAATGCCGACACCTAGATGTGCCTCCACATGGCTCTGAACATTAACAATGAAGGTGTTTAAATGAGACAGGTTAAGATAACCACCTGCTACTTCCTTATTCTCTTGCTCTCACTCAACCCCATGTCTCCAGATCATAGGTAACAGCTGCCTCTGTACCATCACCTCCAGACCTCTTGCCCTCTCTGGTAAGATACGAAGCAAAGAATGGTGCTGAAGCCCATGGGAACTCATCTTCTGAGATTCACTCAGTAGCTCTAAGTCATAAGCCAGTCTATCTTTTTTTTTTTTTTTTAGCAAAAATTTGTTTGTTCTTTGTCTAAGAAATGTAAAGATGTTTTCTGGAAATATTTTCAAAAATGCTTAGCCAATACAATAAAGATGACTAAGAACTTGGGGTCTTAAGATGTATGTGTGTAGACATGTTTTCATAGAAAAATCACAATACTATAAAATGACCTTTCAACATTTGCTCAACTATCCTTGTCCTATGGTTCAGTAAGCACTCTGAAGATATTTGATCATTTTAAGTCATTCTCCACAATGATTTAATTTCTCTAAGAAAATCCAATATTAGAAAAATGAACCTCAACATGACAACCTCAGATGACCACTGGTTTAGTCAAGTTTACTCTATTAATTTGAGATGACAGCATTTAATTGGCTGCCCGAAAGACCATTTCATCTGTATAGCTACCTTACCTTGTTAGAAAGTCAATTTCTGCGAGCCAACAATTTTCATTTGAAATCTGCATCCTATACTCCATAAGGAGAGTATGTACACTTTAAATTCCTGTTTCTATTAGACTCTTTTTCAAATATTTACTCATGCTGATCAAGAACAGCAAAAACCACTGAAGAACAGTTACATTGCTCAAAATAAGAGTTAAGATGTCAGAACCAAGTGAGATAAGGGTTCTTCAGGAAACTGACTGTTAGTAAACAAAGCAAACCTAACTTGCTCTTACCTGTAATTGGAATCAGTTTCCAGTGTATCTCAGTCTCTTCAACATCTGACTTAGATTGTCTATGGAATCCATAGTCAATGGGATTAATGGGACATAAACTGCAATCTTCAAAATTATTCATACTAATTAAATTTGGGTCCTAAAAATTAAAAGTTAATATTCAATAAATTGCGACTAATTTTAATGTCAAAAATAAACAACTATTTTTCCACAGCAAATTTACAAATTTCAATTTAAACATTGAAAGTACGTAAAACCAGAGTGGTAAAGTATGATAGTTACATCTCAAAATAAAACAATTTTCTTCCTCAAAACATAATTTGATGCTGATTTAGACTAAAGGTTGGTAAACAATTTTGGTGAAGAAGCAAATATTATTTCTATGCTTCCAGGCCAGGTACCAAGTTCTGCCACTGTAGCACCAAAGCAGCCAATAAGCAATACTTAAACTCACGGACATCATTGTGTTTCAGTAACACTTTAGTTACAACAGGCAGTGGGCTGGCTTGGCCCATGTTCCACTGATGTGATTTAAAACATTAATCACATAGGATGTATGAACAGTTGTTAACTTAGTAGTGCCTCCATTACAAATCTCCCCCTAAGTGAGCTTCCTGCCATCATCTTCACCATAAATACATATCTAAAAATTACTTGGAGAATGGCTGGGAATATGCATGACATTACTTTATTCAAATACAGGGAAGGGGGGCCTCCATGGTGGCGCAAGGGGTTAATATGCAACCTATGAAGCTATCCACAGCCACTGCAGCACAAGTTCAATCCCTGGCCAGGGAGCTACCCACATGGCGCAGCAGACCTCTCCTGACTCGCCCGCTGCTCCCCTCAGCAGTGTATTTCAGTCGATCTGCCTGTTCTGTTCCCCGCTCTGTCTCTGGTGAATTCAGCCCCCACACCTCTGGCCTGTACCCCAGTTTTTATATGCATAAATAATCTTTAAAAAAAAAAAGACAGGGAAGGAGGCCTCCCTGGTGGCGCAAGAGGTTAAGTCTCAGCATCGTGAAGCTATCCACAGCCACTGTAGCATGAGTTCGATCCCTGGCCAGGTAGTAACCACCCCTGCTACACCACTTAGCATTTATTTCAGTCAATCTGCCTGTTCTGCTCCCCACTCTATCTCTGGTGAATTTTCTCTATGCCCCAGACCCCCCACCTCTGGTCCACACCCCAGCTCTTATATGCATAAATAAATAAATCTTCAGAAAAAAGAGAAGGTAGGGGAGGAAAAAATGGAGAAAAGAATAAGTTAGAAATACACTTTTACAAATATGGTACCACACTGGTATTATTCCCCAGTTATATACACCACTTCCTAGGGGAGATAAAGATACTTCTCAGCTAGATATCAGTGCTCTAAACACATATCACAAATAAAGTGAATGTCCCTGTCAATCAAGGCTAACAATCTCAGATTTCCTCAGAGGAAATCTTAAAGATCATCCATTTCCATTCCTATTTGCATAAGAATAAAAAGTAGTTTAAACAATGGTAGAGTGACCTCAGTTACTGCATTTGCCTCATTTTTGGGTTCTTGTACTACCATCAGAAAGTCAATGTTTTGAGGATTCCATTTTATTATGAAATGATACACAGTCAACTCCAGAAAAGGACAATTCTGAACTTATCCAGCCTTAACTTAGGCATGTCTACTTTTATCTTTATTTTTTGCCCACAGAAGAGCTGGGGTGTAAGCCAGAGGTGCGGGTTGAGGTGAGAGGATTCCCCCAAAACAGAGAGAGTGTGGAGCAGGAGTCTGACTGACATACACTGCTAAGGGGAGCACTGGGAAAGACAGGAGGGTCTGCTCTGCCATATGTGGGTCAGCTCCCTGGACGGGGATCAAACTCAGGCCACAGCAGTGATAGCACCTAGACTTAATCTCTAGGCCACCAGGGAGGCCCTCTACCTCTGTAACAAGAAATCATTTAAAAATACTATACTAGACAGATACATTTACTGTATTTTATTTTTTCTTAAAAAAGGAAAAAGCTCACATAAGTACAACCACACCTCCCTTCCACACATTCACAAAAAAATAATCAGACTTGCTTACTTCTTTCAAATGTAGTTTGTGGTCACTGCCTACTTCACTGATAGAAACAGCAACAGGATACTTTAAAGATGATATAGCAACGTCTAACAATGGGCTCTGAGTACCCTTAAAATGTGTGTTTTCAATTTTTGCACAAGTAGACTGTTCATATTCTTTTTTGTCCAGGGTGGAGTTCAACTCAAAGTCATGCTTTTGTCTCAGTTCTTCATAGGCCTCATCAGAGGTCAATCCTAAGGCTTTGTTCACTGTGTCTGTCAGGGACGCATCAGAATGACGTGCATTTGCTAGTGTTTCTGACAGCCAATTAAACAGCCTGTGGATGTCAGTAGAGCCAGAATTAGAGGTATCCTGCTGCTGCTGTCTCAAATCAGCATCATGCCCAAGTGAGCCAACATGCTGCGGAGACTCTAAAGAAAAAAGAAAGAAAAGTCATCTCTAAGTTTTGATTATTATCCTAAAAATTAATTTTAAATTAATTATCCTAAGACATATTTAGGTACAGAAACTAAAACTACTGGCTTATCTTTTACTAGTACATCCATCTTTACTTTACAAATATAGCTGGACCTAAAATTTTGCAAAAATTCCCCTTACATAAGTTTACTTTCCTAATGTGAAACTGCTGTTAATGGAAAAATGAGCTCACATATGTTGGTAATACGGATGTATATTAATAATCATATTATTAAATTCTACTACTAAAATCCTTATTAACCAGGATCTTGACAACAAACATCTGCAATTGCTCTTTTGCAAAATGATAGGAGGAAATGCAGAATACACTAAAATGTACTAGAGCTACCCACATGGCTCAGCCGACCTCTCCCGACTCGCCTGATGCTCTCCTTAGCAGTGTATTTCAGTCGATCTGCCTGTTCTGTTCCCCACCATCTCTGGTGAATCCTCTCACCACCCACACCTCTGGCCTGTATCCCAGTTCTTCTATACATAAATAAATAAATCTTTAAAAAAAAAAGTTTAAAGAACTATTTAGTAAGGACAATGATCTGGCTAATCTAGTCAATTCTGAGACTTATTGAATTTGAAAACATACAACATGAGTTCGATTCCCGGCCGGCCAGGGAGAAACCCACATGGCGGGATAGACCTCTCCTGTCTCGCCCACTGCTCCCCTCAACAGTGGACTTCGGTCCGTCCGTCTGCCTGTTCTGTTCCCTGCTCTGTCTCTGGTGAATCCTCTCATCCTCCCGCAAATCTGGCCTGTACCCCAATTCTTGTATAAAAATAAATAAATCTTAAAAAAATAAAATAATAAAATAAAATAAAATCCCTGAATGCAATGGAACACATGTTTAGAGAATAGTGTAAAAATCTTTAAAATCTCGATGAAAAAATTACTTAAATTACTTGTGATAGTGAAACATACATGCAAGACAATAGTCTCCCATTTATGTCAACTAAAACAAAACAAATAAAAAGAGAAATATATTACTGGAGCCTTAGGGTGGAAAAAATTTTGTTGCAGGCTCTTAATGATCAGAAGATTCCTTTCACTGAGCAAAATCCTAAAATTCAACATTTTATGTTGTATTTTTCCAATTATAAAATTAAAGGACTAGAAAGGGACAGGAACTCTGATTAGTAGCATAACTTAAGTCACACAATTCAGAAATTTGATGTGCAGTAGTTGGTCATTATCTTCTGTAAAAGATCAGGTAGTCAATTACTTTATCTTTGTGGGCTATACAGTCAATCTGTCCCAACTGTGCTTTTGTAGCATGAAATCAGCCATGTACGCAAAAGTAAATAGGCACAGCAATACTCCAATAAAACTTTCTTTACAAAAACAGGGCAGACAGAATTGGCTCTCAGGCTGTAATTTGCAGCATGAAGGGAAAAGGACAGAAGTACTTTACTAAGTTTTTGGTTGTTATTTTAATAATATGTGAGGAGCAATCATATTTTACCTTCATAGAGATGGCAATTTTCAGAAAAACTACTGGTTTTCGCAAGTTTCCTCATATTTTCAGGTAGATCCTCAAGCTTCCTCTTCAAGACAGTTTTGCTTCTCATATCTTCGATGTCTGAGTCCCCACCCACATTTTTTTTCCTACACTGAATTAAATTAATCAATTCTTTGACTCTATCCTTATCATAATCCAAAGAGTGAGATGACTTCTGTTTTCCAGGTATAACAGTTTTAATCCTTGAGTTATTTCGTTTTCCAAATTTCCCTTTTGTGCCATTCATTTCTTCTTCTTGACCTTCATAATCTGAAAGTGGACTGAACTGCTGAAGTTTCCTATTTTCCTCAAATAGTTCTTTTAATTTACAAATAGGTAACTGATACATTTCAGGCCGAAAAATATAGGCATGCAAACAATTATCAATATGGGATTTATTTTTGGGAGCTGAGTATACAAATTTTCTGTCATCTAATCGTGAGTCATATGAAAACATGGTAAACTCTCGTTTACCTGAACCAAAACCTCGTTTAAAAAATTCACTTACATACTTCTCAACAACAGAATGAAAATTTATAGTATTTATATTTTTAAATTCCTTTCGACACTGAATCAAAGCATATTGTAAAAACTGAGTTATTTTTAATACATCTGGCATGTTCTCATGTCTTTCCTGTGGTGCTGCATTGGTTGAACCTCTTTGTGCTATAAACAAAAAAAGCAAATCATGTTAGCAATCAAGAAACTGAATACACATCTACATATTGTTAAGAAATATAACAACGTTCATACAGTATGAACCAAATTAATATGTACCCTAATACATGTATAATATAGAAATATATGAAAAGCAAGCTTCTAAGTCCAGGAGCCTAAAACAGGCCGATAAGAAACTAAAACAAATGCAACTGCTAGAATGTATTTTTCAAGGGAGAAATATCTACCCATTACAAATCTTCATTTCTTACTGCCACTAGGCAATTCAAGCATACTGTAAGAAATAAAGAGGTAGGGCAAGATCTGAGGCTTATAGCAAGATAGTTCTGCAGATGACAACAATGTTATTCTTTCCTATTATAACAACTTTTAACTTCACTAAGTAGATATGAAGGTGCCAAGTAGCCACAACTGAGACGCTCATTCTTAAATAACAATGAAACCAATTTGTATATTGAAAAATGAACTAAAAAATATAATAATCAAATAAAAATTGAAAAATAAGCCTTAGGTATTGTACCAATTGCAATCAATAATTATTTCTTAAAAGTACAATCCAAAAACATTCTCAGGACTTAAAAAAACATCATGAGTTTTATACTAATACCTCCTAATACTCCCAATATTTCTCAAAACATGATGTAAGAAAGATAAAATGCTTAGTGAGTCATCTGAAAAATTTCAATAAAATGTAGGTATCCATAAGTAAGTGGATTTAGTTATTCAAAGAACTTACGAGTAACTATGCCTCTAGATTCTTGAAATAGAAACAAAGCATGTAGGACTCGAGGCCTGGCAGTTTGATGGTCTAAAAAAAAAAAAAAGAAGCCACGTTCATTAGCACTGTGTTTTAAACTAAAAAGAAAAAATTACAGTAATTAAGGTATCACCTACCATATGGAGAAACCATTTGACAAAGAGGGAGAAGAAAAAGGTATCCTCGGTCTCCCAAAGGTTTAACAAGAACCTGCATTTTTGGAAGAGAGAGAAGAAGTTGAATCTGCTTTATTATTTCTCACCATATGGCAGACACATAGCACAGACAAAGATAAAAAACCGACAACCTTTTTATGATAAATACTGCTAATGAATTAGTTTAAAACTCTTTCTACCAGACCTCCCTGGTGATGCAAGGGGTTAAGACATAGCACTATGAAGCTATTCGCAGCCACTGCAGCACGAGTTCAATCCCAGGCCAGGGAGGAGACCCACATGGCACAGCAGACCTCTCCTGACTCCCCCACTGCTCCCCTCAGCAGTGTATTTCACTCAATCCGCCTATTCTGTTCCCCACTCTGTCTCTGGAGAATCCTCTCACCCTCCCCAATACCTCTGGTCTGTACCCCCGTTCTTGTATGCATAAATAAAATCTTAAAAAAAAAAAAAAAAAAAACCTCTACCAACTCTACCAAGGCACGGGATCCCAATCACATACATCCTTTAGTTTTTTTTTTTTTTAATTAAGGATTTATTTATTTATTTATACAAGCACTGGATACAGTCAGAAGCGTGGGAGGGTGAAAGAATTCACCAGAGCCAGAGCGGGGAACAGAACAGGCAGACTGATGAAGTACACTGCTGAGGGGAGCAGCAGGTGCGGCAGGAGAGGTCTGTCGCGCCATGTGGGACCCTCGCCGGCGGCCAGGGATCGAACCAGCACTGCAGAGGCTGTGGGCAGCTTCGCAGACCAGCGCTCAACAGCTGCGCCACCGGGGAGGCCCCATCCTTTAGTTTTCATGAGAGAATATTATTGAAAACCAACTTGCTGATTTTTCCATGAAGCTAAAATAAAAGAACCAAACTAAAGACTTGAGATAATTTCCTCAACAATTCAAAAGGCATGTTATATTCAGGATACTGAATATATAAAACTAGCATGACACAAACACTGCTCTGAACTAGAGTTCAGGTTAATCAGGCAAATGAAATGTGCTTCTATAATCTAATTCTGAACATACTTAGTGTGACCTATTTCACATGTAAGGCAATTTGCCTTGCCAGAGACAACTTCAGAGACAAGCAACACAAGATCCCTAATCAGAAGTCTGAAAGTGGGTGGACTGAAAAACAAAAGAAATATCACTTATTATATAAGACAGAAAGCTTGTCAAATAGATTTGCAAGGCAACAGGGGAAAAATACATTTGTTTATGGTTGGAAAATATACTGAGAGTATACTAAAGATGGATTTTGAAAGATGGAAACATCAAGAGCCCGAGATTATGAAGACATTTCAACAGAGGTGAGCTCATTAGCAAATCAGAATTATAATGATGGGCAGTTTGCAGACATCACAAACTTATGCTAGCAGGAGGGTGATGACAGATGACTGACAACATTTCAGAAATGTCAATATAAATATACAAATATGAAAGTCAGATATCAGGCTGGACAAAAAGAAATCTATACCTAAATATATTTAATATAACTGCAAAACACCAAAAACAAAGATTAAAAAAGCAACCAGAAAAAGCAAGATCACCTACAAAGGAATAATAGATTAAAGCAGACCTCTCAGACAAAAATGCAAGCCTGAAGATACTGAGTGTAATCAAAGGACTAAGAGAAAATAATTGTCAACTCAGATATGGGCACGCAGGATCCGATAATCAATGAACATACATTTTTCTCAAATATAGTGGGGACATGTAATGACAAGAAAATGGGTTTTAAACGAAGCCTCAATAAGTTTCAAATAATCACCCCCCCCTTTTTTTTTTTTTTGGTGGGACCCTCGCTGGTGGCCGGGGATCAAACTGGCGCTGCAGAGGCTGCAACCCAGCGCTCAACTGCTGCGCCACCAGGGGAGGCCCCATAATCACCACTTATTTTGATGGTGATTTTATTACAATGGAATTTCATTAGAAAAAAGGAACAAAGTTTTCTCATATAGTTAGAAATTAAAAACTCTAACTCTAGGGCCTCCCCTGGTGGCGCAGCAGTTGAGCGCTGGGTTGCGAGGCTGCCCGCAGCCTCTGCAGCGCCGGTTCGATCCCCGGCTGCTCCCCGGCCACCTGAGGAGGGTCCCACATGGCGCGCAGACCTCTTCCTGCCGCCCACTGCTCCCCTCAGCAGTGTACTTCGGTCCTTCTGCCTGCTCTGCTCCCCGCTCTGGCTCTGGTGAATTCTCTCACCCTCCCACGCTTCTGACTGTACCCAGTGCTTGTATAAATAAATAAATAAATAAATCTAAAAAAAAAAAAAAAACTCTAACTCTACATCATGTCTCAAAATGGAAATCATAATGGAAACTAAAAAATAGGGGTGCAAGGGGTTAAGCACAGCACTGTGAAGCTATCCACAGCCACTGCAGCATCAGTTCAATCCCAAATGTTGCAGCAGACCTCTCCTGCCACGCCAGCTGCTCCCCTCAGCAGTGTGTTTCGTCAGTCTGCCTGTTCTGTTCCCCACCCTGTCTCTGGTGAATCCTCTCACCCTCCGCACTTCTGACTGTGCCCAGTGCTTGTATAAATAAATAAATCTTTAAAAAATAAAAAAAATTAAAAATGTAAAGCTAACAATAATGAAGAAAAAAAAAAAAAAGACTATCCTAAACAAGCAAAGACAGGCAGCTCTCCTGCCCTCCTGTGACTATGCAGGTGCCTTCTTTTTATCTTTTTCCTAATAAACCTGTCCTTTTAAAATGTATGAAAAAGAACCACTAATACTCCCATTCAGAACACCTGGTGTATTCAGGATTAAATTATTAAGAAGCAACAGTAATCAATGCACCTGCCATTATCATGGGAACTATGAGGAAAAGTTTCAGTGTGGGTAACTCCTACTGTTTTTTTTTTTTTTTTTGTGGGACCCTCGCCGGTGGCCGGGGAACGAACTGGCGCTGCAGAGGCTACGGGCAGCCTCGCAGCCCAGCGCTCAACCGCTGCGCCACCAGAGAAGGCCCCTCCTACTCAGTTTTGCAGGAAAGGGGGAACCTAAACAAAATTCCTAAAAAAAGAATGAAAGAAAAAAAAAACCTAAGTTCATTAGATTCAAACAGTCTAGGATCATCTCTTACCTCTTAATTCTCCATTAATCTAGTATTAGTTCAGTGAAGAACAAAATGCCATTATCCTTCCTATCTTGATTCTCACCATTAGGAAGTGAACAGTGTAATTTCCTCACGAACACTTCACTGTCAAGACTCTCAATACTCACTGTCTCGGAAACACAAGAACCAGATTTGGATAACTCTGTAACTCTCCATATCCAAACTCCTAAATTTCACTTTCTCAACTTAGGAAATGAACAATTTTGATTATGAGAATACTAGTCTCACAGATAGGACTTCAGATGAAAACAAGAAATGTAAATGTGTTTAAAATATTAATAAATGTTCATATGAACTGAGATATGAAACTATTACATCAATTTGATCACTTCATTTAATTACCTTGAAACTAAGGTTCAACAAAATGAGGAAGAAAAACATCAACTACTAAAAACTTGTATTAAACAGTGTGCCTGTGGGGAAAAAAACCCTCTCTACTAGAACATCTCAGCAACATTTAAACTAGAGTTCATGTTAACAAAACCCTTGGAATGGCCACTCTCCTTCTCTAAAACCATCCCCTGCCCCCTCCTCCTTCAACTAAACTGTAAGTATCAGCATCAAAAATTCATTTTCCGAATGGATTAAAAAACTAGACATAACACCTGAAACCATAAAATACGTAGAAGGAAATAGAAGCGAAACACTACGTGATATGCACATCAAAGACATCTTACAGACACATCACCCAAAGCAGTGATAGTGAAGGCAAAGATGAACAGCTGGGACTACATCAAATTAAAGAGCTTCTGCACAGCAAGAGAGACAATAACAAAAACAAAGAGAAACCCCACCAACTGGGAGAACATTTTTGCACACAACACTAATGATAAAGGACTGATGACAAAAATCTGCAATGAGCTGATGAGACTCAACAACAAAGAAAATAATCCTGTCAAAAAATGGGCAGAAGAGCTAAAAAGAAACTTCTCTGAAGAGGAAATGCAAATGGCCAACAGGCATATGAAAAAATGTTCAACATCACTTGTCATCAGGGAAATGCAAATCAAAACTACCATGAGATACCATCTTACACCAGTGAGAATGGCACATGTTAAAAAAACTAGCAACAACAAATGTTGGCGAGGATGTGGAGAAAAAGGAACTCTCCTGCACTGTTGGTGGGAGTGCAAACTGGTCCAACCACTATGGAGAGCTGTGTGGAGATTTCTGGACCTACTAAACATAGAGCTTCCATATGATCCAGCAATTCCACTCCTAGGTATTTACCTAAAGGACACAGAAACATCAATTTCAAAGAGCACCTGCACCCCTATGTTTATAGCAGCACTGTTTACAATAGCTAAGCTTTGGAAACAACCCAAATGCCCAAAAATAGATGACTGGATCAAGAAGATGTGGTACATATATACCATGGAATATTACTCAGCATTCAAAAAAGATAAACACATGCAATTTGCAGCAACATGGATGGCGCTGGAAGGAATGATGCTCAGCGAAATAAGCCAGAAAGAAAAAGAAAAATACCGGATGGTCTCACTCATCGCAGGAATCTAGAAAACTTAAATAAGGGACCAGGAAAATGAATAACTATAAGTGAAAATCAAAATCAACAAAAATCTATGAACCAGAGACTCTATGGGGGGTGAGGAGGGGAGGGATCAGAGTCAAAATAAGGGGGTTGCAATTGTATGGGGAATATAAAAATAAAATTTATTTAAATAAATAAATAAATAAAATGTTATGTGAACTTTATGTTCATGTTATTATAGCTTATTCCTATGCAATTGCTGATAGTTAAATATTTTACCACATTGACATATTTTATTTAAACCATTCCTATTATTATTAAATCACTGTTTGTTCAAAAAAAAAAAAAAAAATTCATTTTCCGTTCAGTCCTGAACCCCTCATACAACCTGATGCATAACCTAATCTTTCCACCCAAATTGATACATTCAATATCTATTTAACTGAATACTGCCTAGTAAATTCTTGTAAATTTATCTCTTCTATTATCGTTGTTAATTTCTGATCTAATCTACCACCTCCTCAAACATAACTTCTTACCACATCTACAGTCTTCAATTCATCCTCTGCAGAGTAGCCAAGACAAACTTTCAAAACACAAGACTGATCATGCTGCATACACATTCAAAATCTCATACTATTCCCTCTCATGCCCACTGCTCTTGACATCAAGTTCAAACTTCCAAACATTTGAACACTGCCTGTGTTCAATTACAATGCCTGAATTACAATGCAGGACATTGCTCCCTACATACTTTTCCAGCACTTCTTTTATCTCTTCCGCCTCAGAGGGCCTTATTCTTATTGAATATTCAAATATTCCACTATGCCCACTGCAATATTATCTAAGTAACACCATTTATTGCTCTACATAATCCAGGAGAACAGTCTCTGTCTCAATCTTCACTGAACTACACAAATTGTACAAGAAAAGAATAAGTATTTTGTTGAATATCTGCCTCAGTCACAATTACAAACCACACTAAAAATACTTTATGGGGAAAACAGGGCTATTAAAAGTCTCCTGTCATTGCTAAGAAAAACAGAGTAGCAGGAATCAGTTGTTAAATAAATGGTAGCAACAAAACAGAGACCATGTGGTAATTTCAGAAGCAAAAATGAAACAATGTGAAATATGACCGATTAATATGCATATTTCTAAGGAAGGATGAGAAACATTTTAAAACCTTTCACTCACAAGTTTTTCTTTTTCTAGTTTTTGCAGTAAATTCTCCATGTTACTTCCAATTCTTGTCTTCTCTACGACTTCATAGAGACTGCAATACATTCCATTCTTCAAAACTGACCAAAAAAAAAAATATATATATAGTAAATATTCAAATTAGACCTGTTTCTTATAAATTTTAGTAAAACTAAATTACTTTACCTTCATATGGACCAAAATAGGTTTCCTTATAAAACAGCGCCGGAGGGATTTTCTGTTTCAGATGATCAATACTCATAACTGTTTCAACATCTAACTTCTCGGGTCTGAAAGAAAATTAAAAAATCCTTTTTTCTTACCTGTAGCTTTAACTCTAGCAGTGTTTTCACACACCCCTCCACACACACACACACACATCTTGGTGAAAACCAGAAGGGCATATTTATAATTTTCATTTTATTCTAAAGAGGACTTGATACAGGAAGTCCAGATATATATGCAAGTAGAAAGTCTGGCAATACTATCAATCTGCAAACTTTACTTCATAAATATCCTACATGCCAGTTTTACTAATCAAAAATGACAAAAGGTTTTCATTTTATTAAAAACAACTCAAGTATGAACTGTTAAAATAATCTCTGGACATTTCTGAAGGCCCATAATGTTACTATACTTTATATTCCAATATATGTTACACAGCACTGAAAAAGCCTATAAACTAACTTAACACACTACCTCAAAGTTCTTTTCAGTAAAGAACTGATGATTTTTAAGTCTATCATTTCCAAATTGCTAAATAAAGAATGTATCTAATTAGGATAAAATTTTGAAGAATCTTTTCTAACATTTAAAATCACTGAGAAAAAGTTTTATGCCACAAATGTGTATGACTATTTAGCTCATACTCAAAGCAAGAGCAAAAAGCAGGAGGCATATTTTGCCAATTAATTACAAAGTTATCAAAACAATTTAAAAAAAATTTTTTTTTGTATCAATCTGCAACCTTTACACCAGAAACATCTTACATGCCAGTTTTACTAACCACAAAGGACAAAAGGTTATCATTTTATTAAAGACAACTCAAGTATGAACTTAAAATAATCTGTTATAATAAAATAATAAAACAATTAGCAAGCACTTATTTCCATTTCTTTGTAATACAACATACTTACAGTTTGATAGGCAAAAAAGCACGAGTGGCTGACCTCAGAGAGATATAACACAAAAGCTTTCCTTTATTTAAAAGCTGTCCTTTCCACAAGGTATAGTTAAATTTATCTATATATAAAGAAGAATGACATAATTCAGCCTCTCGGAAGCCCAGAAGCAAACACATTTTCACTAGAAATAATGGGGAAAACATCTAGAATCAAGGTTTAACTAGAACAACAAAAAACAAAGAGACTTGGTATTGCTGTTTATAGAGTTTATAAGAACTTTCGTTTTAGTCCTCTTTTCCCTTATATATTCCAGTTGCAAAGACTAAAAATTTACTTGTCTAGGGGGCCTCACTGGTGGCCCAGGGGTTAAAGTCTCAGTGCTATCAAGCTATCACCAGCCACTGCGGAACGAGTTCAATCCCTGGTAAGGGAGCTAACCCATATGGCGCAGCAGACCTCGCCTATCTTGCCCACTGCTCCCCTGAACAGTGTATTTCAGAAGATCCTCTCTCTCTACTCCCCACTTTGTCTCTGATGAATACTCTCTCTCTCCACACCTCTGGCCCACACCCCCGTTTGTCTACACAAAAATAAATAAAAAAATAAATCTTTTTTAAAAATGTACTTGTCTAAATGCCCTCATACAAGAAAGTTGTGGTGCAAAGAAAACACATTTACTGCTTTCTTACTTCCCCCAAAGGAGACAATATTGCACTGTGTTACAAGAATTCCCACAAAGTCTCCTACTTTCTACTCACTCTCTTTGCATGAAGAAACTAAAAGAATACATTGATACTGCTTTTTATCGTCTCTCTCTCTTATAAAACTTTTTTTAACTAAGTACTAATAACACCTTAGGACTATAAACAATAGCAGCTTCCTAAAGGAAACTTTATGCTTGGACAACTAAATGATGATGTACATAACATGGTCTCCCCTTTTTCATACTTTGTATATTCTCATAAAGAGACCCAAGCACTTATCTTATTCTTTTCTATATATACTTATTCTTTTGATGTAGAATACTAAAGGAAATAAACAAAAAAAAAACTTACCTGTGTTTCTATCTGCATTAAAGCTATTAGATCTACAAATGAATTTTTCAAAAGAAAAGACAGACATTACTGATAAGAAACAACAAAAAGAAAAATATTACTAATTGATAACTTGGATATAGTGCCATTTTTAATAGCATTCTGTACAAGAGAATTAAATTCTTCCTCCATGTAGGGAAAACAAATGTATTACTTACTAAAACTTTATAAATCAAGTCTACTTAACAGGACACAATTACTCGACTCAATTTACCATCATTTACCCAAATTTAAGGGATCCGTTTTTCCCAGAAATAGCCATCAGGAGAGAATATATTACAATCTCTGTCAATTATATATTACAATCTCTGTCAATAATCTCTGTGATGAGATTTGAAGAAACAGCCTCAATCTCTATTTCAATATAGTCATTCACTACTCAAATACTAAACTCCTATTACATGTCAAGCAGTTATAAGAAAGAGGATTACAAAGATAAACAAAGTCCCTGCCTCCATTGCTCATAATCCCACGAGGAAGCCAGGTAACAATCAAAAAGAAAACATACCGTTTATACCAGGAAATGATGGTTTTTATGTTTTATGCAAAAAGAGGCTTTACGGATACAGGGGTTTAAAAAAATCATGAAAGACCTCATAATAAGGTCATCTTTAAGGAGACACCTAATGGAAATGCAGTTGTAAACCATGCAGCTAGCTAGGGAAAGAAGAACCACAAATACAAGGAGAAGTGTGCAAGGTGACATTCAAGACATAGGAAAAATGTTCATCATTCAGTGCTTACTTTAAGTGATATGGAGATCAACAGAATCAAAGAGGAGGCAAATAAAATTAACAGTGTCATTATTCCTGGCGGTATGACCTTATAATTAAGAGATGAAATGTCTTTTAAAGAACACCAGTGAAAGGGTCCTACAGTAAATGCACCATGGGGATTCATATATACAGTGCCACACTAACAAGAAAAATACATCTGTTTGAACTACGGGATTTGCACATCAAAGACATCTTTACAGACACATCACCCAAAGCAGTGATAGTGAAGAGAAAGATAAACAGCTGGGACTACATCAAATTAAAGAGCTTCTGCACAGCAAAAGAGACAATAACAAAAACAAAGAGAAACCCCACCAACTGGGAGAACATTTTTGCACCCAACACTAATGATAAAGGACTGATCACAAAAATCTGCAAAGAGCTGATGAGACTCAGCAACAACAAAGAAAATAATCCAGTCAAAAAATGGGCAGAAGAGCTAAAAAGAAACTTCTCTGAAGAGGAAATGCAAATGGCCAACAGACATATGAAAAAATGTTCAACATCACTTGTAATCAGGGAAATGCAAATCAAAACTACCATGAGATACCATCTCACACCAGTGAGAATGGCACATATTAAAAAAACTAGCAACAACAAATGTTGGCGAGGATGTGGAGAAAAAGGAACTCTCCTGCACTGTTGGTGGGAGTGCAAACTGGTCCAACCACTATGGAGAGCTGTGTGGAGATTTCTGGACCTACTAAACATAGAGCTTCCATATGATCCAGCAATTCCACTCCTAGGTATTTACCCAAAGGACACAGAAACATCAATTCCAAAGAGCACCTGCACTCCTATGTTTATAGCAGCACTGTTTACAATAGCTAAGCTTTGGAAACAACCCAAATGCCCAAAAATAGATGACTGGATCAAGAAGATGTGGTACATATATACCATGGAATATTACTCAGCATTCAAAAAAGATAAACACATGCAATTTGCAGCAACATGGATGGCACTGGAAGGGATCATGCTCAGCGAAATAAGCCAAAAAGAAAAAGAAAAATACCGGATGGTCTCACTCATAGCAGGAATCTAGAAAACTTAAATAAGGGACCAGGAAAATGAATATAAGAAAGTGAAAATCAAAATCAACAAAAAACTATGAACCAGAGACACTTTTTGGGGGGCGGGGGGGAAAGGATTGGGGTCAGAATTGGGCGTTTGCAATTGTATGGGGGAATATAAAAATAAAATTTAATATTTAAAAAAAAAAAAAAAAAAAGGATAAAATGTGGGTCAAAATAAATCACTTATAGGAAAAAAAAAAAAAAAAAAAAAAAAAAAACATCTGTTTGAATGCTATGTGATCAGTATTTATGGCTGTGAATGGTTTCCAGGGCTGTTCACTGACATGAATAAAGTGCTGAATCTCACTCAGACAACTTGGGTACTCAAAAATAAATAATCACATGACCACTTCACCTACATCCCTATAAATTTACTTATTCAAATTTGCCCAAGTATTTTCTGGAATCACCACTTGGAGGGAGAAAAAAGAGACACTGCTTATATTTGCCAGTTTATAAGAAATCACCAATAATACTCAACTGACTGAAAATTAAACAATTTAAGTTTTTTAAAACCATCAATGCCTTAATAAATATTTTATTTAACTGGTTTAGATAGGGCTGGGAGATCTTTTATAGAAGCTCCTCATTTTCAGAAGAGCTAATACACAAATTTTGCTTTTAAAAACTACATTTACTGGGCCTCCCCGGTGGCGCAGCGGGTGAGCGCTGGGTTGCGAAGCTGCCCGCGGCCTCTGCGGCGCCCGCCTGCCCGCCCTTTTGATCCCCGGCTGCTCCCCAGCCACGGGAGGAGGGTCCCACATGGTGTGCAGACCTCTCCTGCGCCTGCTGCTCCCCTCAGCAGTGTACTTCGGTCCTTCTGCCTGCTCTGCTCCCCGCTCTGGCTCTGGTGAATTCTCTCACCCTCCCTCGCTTCTGACTGTACCCAGTGCATGTATAAACAAAACAAACAAACAAATAAATAAATAAAACATGCCTCTTGAAAAAAAAATAAAAACTACATTTACTCAGCTATGCAAATCCACAATATCAAGGGGAAAAAAGCTTCCTAGTGAAGTTTAAATAAACTTTCGGTTTGTATTTCCACAAACTTTTAAGTATCTGTCCTTCACAATGACCTTTTAAAAGTCATTAACACTCATGTACCTAATTTCAAGGGAAGAAAAAAGGGAAAAACAAAGTACCTCATCTAACTCAGCAATGCAGGAAATTTAATATATATAATACCATTCTAGATAATGTCTAAAACTCGTAAGTCTTACCTTGATGAAGATGCAAACTTGGGAGTTTGTATATTATCTTTGTAAGTAAAAGACACAACTGCATATGGACACACATGTCTTGGTCTTCGCCTTAGCTCATCAAAGCCATACTCATAAAAATAATACTAAAAATAAGAAAACACAAAATTAACCTCTTTAAGAATGCAGAAAGTACTGAGTGGAACCTTCCATTTATCTGCCTGATTTCTGAGAAGTACAGTAACATTTAAGTGCCTGTAACAAAAGTATCCTTAAAAGCACTGCTTGTCAATCAAAAGTAAGAGACATTGGCAGGTATTTATTTTTTCTTTAAAAAAAAAGTACAAATTTCTAGACCTTACATTTTGCGATATAAAATATTCTGTGTGTGTATGTGTGTATATATAAAATCAGAATAGGTATTCTAAAAGCTTATTTTGGAAGAGTTGGTCAGTGACAATATTTGGCAAATTTCCTCATAAAAATGTTATAAATGGTGACTAAGCTCCCAGGTTAGTCCAGATAAGCCAATTTGATACTAAAAGTAAAACACTAAGGATACAGTATCAACCAGATTCACCATTTTGGTTATTATTTCAAAGGAAAAACACATTCTTGGCCTCAACTGCAGACAAAGTAACAAAAGACAGAAGAGATTATAAACATGAAGAGATTACAAATATGGGTGACACATCTGTCTCTCCCCCTCAGCTATTCACAACCATCCATTAGATTAGGCTTTTGTGACTTGCAGACCAGCAATTTTCATTTTAAAAAGTACAGAGTTAGCAAAACACTATCTTTCAAAGCCCATTCTCTTGAGAAACCACTGACTTCAATGAACTTGTTGTTCCTCTAAAAATGCCTGTAAATTATTTGGAAGCATCAAGCCAGTTTACAAGTCCTGCTAGAAAAACCAATTATTACTATTTACCAAAACTACTAGTGTCCAGAAGATAATCAAGAGAATAATCTTCCATCCAGCATTCTTTACAATAGCTAAGATATGGAAGCAACCTAAGTACATACCGATAGTTTATATAATAATGTGGTATTTATAAACATGGAATACTGTTCAGCTATTAGGAAAGTGAAATTTTTCCCATTTGTAGCAAAATGGAAAAAACTTAAAGTGACTATGCAAAATAAGCCAGAAAGACAAATGCTGGATGATTTTCACAGCACATTACATATCTAAGTAATATAACAAAACAAAGGTGGTGAACTTACAAAAGCAAAAAAATAAATAAATAAATAAACTCAACCAAAATGAGGCCAAAGAGCTTGACAGGTGAAGAGGGTGGAAAGTAAGAGAGAGGTTGAAGGGGCTGTAAGGGACACTGGTAGGTATTTTTGTTTTCTTTAAAAAAAAAAATAAATTGACCTTACAAATTTCTAGCAAGATAGTAGAATAGTAAAGACACCAGGATTAACCGCTCTCCGGAGTTAAAATAAAAAGAGCAACTGTCCTTGAAAAACACCAAAAGGAGACTGGAGGATTAGCGTTTCCAGAAAAGATATCAGAGACAGCAGGAAATTTAGAACACAACCCTGACTATAATACCCTCATTACCAGGGAACTGCAACTTAGAGGAAGAGAAATGACAGCAATAGTTCTGGGGATTGAAGAGTTCACTCCAACATCAGGGACCCTAGCTTCTGGGAACTGCATTAGAGAGGTATGGGAAATGGAGACTAGGGCTCTGGGGGAGCAGAGACGGAGACAGAACATTGGGGAGCAGACAGATGAACCATGATTGAGGGATTACATTTGGTGAATCTGAAACTCCAGGAGGAGTAAGAAAGAGAAATAGTGTCCCAGTGAACAGATGCTACTGGGCACCTTCTTCAGACTCTTTTTTGGTTGAGAGGGAAGGGTAGACATCCTACGAGTAGAAATCAACCAGGGGGCCAGGGTTTAAAGGCCAAGAATAAATTTTATGTAAATAAAAAATAAAAGAACATTTCTAGAGGGAGGTTAGCAGTACTACTTTTCACATACAATCTATCTGGATATACAACTGACCCTTGACCAACAAGGGTTTATACTGAGCATTCACCCATAAGGCAGATCATACAGAACTGGCCAATACCAAAGAACTTAAGCATCCTTAAGACTGTTAGTACTGCGGAGCACCCTGAAATCAAGACAACCCACCAAGGGACTTTTTGGGGGAGTCAACAGGTCTACCTGGGTTTCCCATTGGGGAAGGTAGATGTCAGTGCCCCTAAACACCCACCACTCCCATACTGCTCAACTACATTTTTTATATTTGTTAAAAAGAATATTACTTTAGAGTCAAACATCATATTAAAACCTATTAAAATCATCAAATACAGTATGTATAGTTTACTGTTTATTAATTATATCTGAATAAAGCATGAAAATTTAATTCTAAGTTTGCATCTTAGAAAAATGTTAAAATAGAAATTATCAGGCCTGGGCCTCCCTGGTGGCACAAAGGGTTATGAGCAGCACTATGAAGCTATCTGCAACCTCTGCAGCACGAGTTTGATCCCCTGGCCAGCCAGGAAGCTACCCACATGGTGCAGCAGACCTCTCCTGACTCACCCACTGCTCCCCTCAGCAGTGTATTTCAGTCAGCCTGCCTGTCCTGTTCCCCACTCTGTCTCTGGTGAATCCTCTCACTCCCCATCCACACCTCTGGCCTGTACCCCAGTTCTTGTATGCATAAATCAATCTCCTCAGTGGCACAGGGGTTAAAAACAGCGCTATTAAGCTATTGCCTGCCACTGCAGCATGAGTTCAATCCCCAGCTGGCCAGGGAGCAACACACATGGCACAGCAGACCTCTCCTGTCTCGCCCACTGCTCCCCTCAGCAATGTATTTCAGTAGATCCACCTGTTCTGCTCCCCACTCTCTCTGGTGAATCCTTTCACCCCTCACACCTCTGGCTCACATCCCAGTTCTTGTATGCATAAATAAATAAATCTTTTTAAAAAATAGCAAATCGTTACGACAAAGTGATGTGAATTAAAGTATTTAAGGGTTTAAACTTTACACAGAAGGAATGAATAGCATTAGGCAGATCTTCCAATGCCAGAGGTCAAGGTTTCAAAATGATATATGTTGAACACAGTGATCAAACAAAAAACCAGGCTGGAGGTCACAGTCTACAGACAGGAAGTTAGGGTATGGAATTTGAATATTATTCTCTCTGAGGAGCCACGTGTATTTCTGAGATGTGCTGGAAACAAGAGAGTGAGAGTCATGGCTGTCCAGCAGTCATATACAGGAATCAGAGTGTAGACTGGTATGGTGGCAGAGAGAACTGAAAAAAAAAAAACATTTTAAAGGGATTGGTGATCAACAGACACAAGGGCATAACAACACTAAAATGGATTCAGGCACATACCTGAGTAAGCTCATAAGCTCTATAAGCCAAAAGTGATGTAATCCTATTGGCATTCTTCGACATGTGGCATTCATGCTTTGGTGTTGGATCCAAAGCACTTTTACTTAATGTAGGTTCCAAACTTTTTGCACCCATGGAGTCATAAATGCTCTTTATTTTACCCTAAAAGAGAAAACTTTTTAAGTTCACCTAAACCTAATTTTGACTACATCAGATTTAATATTAGGGAATACTGCTTTGAATATAAATCACCTATAGATTTCCTTACCTTTAATTCCTGGTAATAAAGTAACCTAACATTTTTTATAATAAAGTAGTAAGAGGGGCCTCCCTGGTGGTGCAGGTAGTTAGGATGCAACCTATGAAGCTGTCCACAGCCACTGCAGCACAAGTTCGATCCCCGGCCAGGGAGCTACCCACATGGCGCAGCAGACCTCTCCTGACTCGCCCGCTGCTCCCCTCAGCAGTGTATTTCAGTGGATCTGCCTGTTCTGTTCCCCACTCTGTCTCTGGTGAATCCTCTCAGCCCTCCCACGCCCACCTCTGGCCTATACCCAAGTTCTTGTATGCAGTGGCGCAGCGGTTAAGCGCTGGGCTGCGAAGCTGCCCGCAGTCTCTGCAGCGCCGGCTCGATCCCCGGCCTCTGGCAAGGCCCACATGGCGTGCAGACCCCCACCCCCAGCCCCCACTGCTCCCCTCAGCAGTGTACTTCATCGGTCTGCCTGTCTGCTCCCCGGTCTGTGTCTGGTGAATTCTCTCACCCTCCCATGCTTCTGACTGTACCCAGTACTTGTATAAATAAATAAATAAATCTTAAAAAAAAAAAAAAAGCAGTAAGAAAAAAAGTTAACCATGAAAAAAATGTCTAAAATACAAATTTTATGTATAAGCCTTTAATTGTGCCATAAATCAGTCACAAAAGCATCCCCATATATCAAATATAAGAAATGATTTTTAATTTAATCAAACTCCCAAAGTCAAAGTTGGTACCAATTAAAATCCCAACCAAAGGTTGTCTCTGAAATAGAAAATGTAGGGGCCTCCCTGGTGGCGCAGGAGTTAAAATCTCAGAGCTATCAAGCTATCACCAGTCATTGCAGCATGAATTTGATCCCCAGGCAGGGAGCTAACCCACATGCCATAGCAGACCTCTCCTTTCTCACCTGCTATTCCCCTGAGCATTGTATTTCAGTAGATCTGCCTGTTTTGCTCCCCACTCTGTCTCTGGTGAATCCTCCCAACTCCTCACACCTCTGGCCTACACTCCAGTTCTTATATGCATAAATAATAAATGCTAAAAAAAATATGGAATTTAAAAGTTTGAAATTACCTTCATTATTTTAAAAATAACAACATCGCCCATGGCCCCAGCTTCCAAAGGATTGGCCTGTAATAAATCAGCATATCTAGAAAGATAGATACCTACATATAGAGGAAAAATTAAGGAATTAGAATAAGAACATGAATATCCCAAAAAAAATCCAAAAATTTAACCTAATGATAAGGAAAAAAAAGGTATGACATCTTTTTAAAAAAAATTAAGGACAGTAAAATAGCTAATATTTAACCAAGGCAAAAAATGAAACCAGAAGAAACATGTAACTAATCATTTTTTAAATCTCTAGGAATAAACCTAACATTTACAAAGGATACTTTGATCAATTTAAAGGCAAAATCAGAAAGAAAGGATGGAAATGGTTTAACACTGCAGACCCTGAAACTAGTCTCCTTTTCTAGCCACGACAAAGCATACATGAAATGAATGACAAGGACTGCAGCAAAATCAGATAATACACTTTTAAATGGCAACTTAATTTTAAGAAAATGAAAAAAGAAAAAGATTACCCAAGGAAGGACTGCCAAGAATTGTTATTTTGGACTGGCCCACCTGTAATCCTTTTTCACATAAGCTTTGAACCTAAAAAAAAAAAATTTCATCCTGCATTAATACATTAAAAACACAAGATAGGGGCCTCCCTGGTGGTGCAAAGGGTTAAGTCTCAGCACTACGAAGCTTGCACCAGTCACTGCAGCATCAATTTGCTCCCTGGTCAGGGAGCTAATCCACATGGCGCAGCAGACCTCTCCTGTCTTGCCTGCTGCTCCCCTCAGCAGTGTATTTCAGTCAGCCCACCTGTTCTGCTCCCCAACCTGCCTGTGGTGAATCCTCTTACCTCTCTGCATCTCTGGTCTACACCCCAGTTCTTGTATACATAAATAAATATTTTTTAAAAAAATCACAAGAAGATAACCGGTAATCTGTTAAGTCTAAGTTTTTAAACTACTTTATCTACTACATTACAGAAAGTCATTTTGTAACTAAATGTTAATATGAAACGGACTTATCCTTCCAATATAACCATAGTTAGAAATACATTTGTTCTTTATTCTACATGTAACAGATCTTTACAATCCATGCCACTCACATATACGAATATTCCTTTTTAGAACTAGACAGAGAAAAACATTTAAAAACATGGGAATTCCACCTAGACATCTGTTAAAGGAAAAAAAAAAGTTCCCAATATATGTCAGTAACAGAAGAAAATTATTTTACCAAAGGAAAGATTATTCATTATCAATATCAAGCACATTCTAAAGGAACAAAACTGAGGAAAAGATATACACACTAAAAATATTTACAAAATAAAGTAACTTACACTACCCTAAATCATTTCTCCACTTATACGTCAAGGAAATGTTAGTTTATAATTATCAAATATATTGTTGAATAGTTGCAAAATTAGGAACTAATGGAAACATAAATTATTTTTTTGTAAAATGGGTTTTATATAAGTTTAACTCACTTGGTATCGATCAACCATCAGAAATGCATAGGATTCTGAAAGTTCTTTGTCTAAACGACCGTCAGACTTCAGTTCTCTTCGCTTTTCTGTAAACTAAACGAAATTAAATCTGTAACAACTTCTCAGTGCGATTATATTTTTCAAGCTAAAAGTTCAAAGAATTTTATTTTCAAGAAGTCCTAAACCCACCAAAGTAGAAATTATTTTTCTCCCTATAGTCTCAGCACTTTGATTTTTTCCCCCGTTACAAATGGTTCTTAGCCCTTACCACATAATCAAATCAGCATCTGGTCTTTATGAATTTTAAATAAATTTCTACTAAAATTTTACCACTCCAACACGCCCACAGATTATAAATTCATGTTTTAGTTAACTGTCTCATTTTACTTAACATGGTATATTGTATAAAGTAGGCAGTTTAATAAATCTCTGTTGCATAACCAACTTTAGACTATAAAATCAATTGGACATGGAAAAATTTAACCTCTTTGTAAGTGTACTGTCAGTACCAAATACACAGACTGCTTCACAAATATTTCTAGGATAAGAGTTGGTCTAACTAAACTATGTCAACTTAAGTTACTGCTTTCACTTTTAGTCACAAGCAAGTATGTGTGTGTTCAAAATGTGGGGTCTATATCTAACACATTATATACATTATTCAGACTATTACTAATCTTCAGTAATTAATGAATCTTTAAATATTCATATTAAATTAACAAATCCTTATCACACCATGAAATCATATCAAACTATCATAGCTTTAATTTTTCTCTGGGAGGCAATAACATCCCTTTCCCATTCTGGGAGCCTCCCTGGTGGCGTAGGGATTAAAGCCTCAGCCCTATGAAGTTATCAGCCACTGGGGCATGAGTTTGATCCTCGGTCAGGAAGCTAACCCACATAGCATAGTAGACTCTTCTGTCTTGCCCACTGCTCCCCTCAACAGTATATCTCAGTAGAGCTGCATGTTCTGCTCCCCACTCTGTCTCTGGTGAATCCTCTCACACCCCACACCTCTGGCCTGAATCCCAGTTCTTGTATGCATATATAAAAAATACATCTTAAAAAAAAAAAAACCCACAAAATTAAATTCTGGTAGCACTGGGCAGACCAACTGATAAAAATACAAAATAGTATTTCATGTTCATTAGAAAGCAAGAGCACACCAATTTCTAAGCATTTCAAGTGCATTAATTCACAATTACACACACTGGCTTTTCCTAAATCAAAACTCAAAGAATATACTAATGTGTACATGAAACTTAAATTCACTAACACAATCAACCATTCCCCTTTTCTTGGTGCCTTTTCACTAAGAATTTCTAATGATATTAAAATAATTCAGTCACCAGGCAATAAATTAGAGTGGGAAAGAGAATTATGGATATCCTAAAGAAAAACACATTTGATCTCATTATCTTCCAATTTAGACATTAACAAACCCATTTAATTAGATACACATGTACTCGAAAGCAAAAAGCTTTATTATTTTGCAAGTAACTCATAAGCTATACTCATGCTAAAGAATCATTTTTAGTAAAAGTTTTATAATCACACAGTAATAGAGCAGTTAAATGTAGTGCTATACCAATGTTTAGGGAGAAAATGTTACCTAAAACTTGTTTTCCCTTCCAAAATTTCGCTTTCCTACAAACTTTAGCACTTTTAGAGGAAAGGAAGTAAAATAAATTACAAACTATTGATTCTGAAGAATCTTATAGCCACAAATTAAAACATACCTCCTTTTCCAAAAGTTCATTATGTATCAAGCAAGCTCGTTTGTAGTTAAAATTTCCTACTGAGGTTGGTTCAAGGTAAGATGAATGGAGAATATTCAAAACATCTTCAAATTCTCGAGAGCCTGGAGTTAATGGCTGGAAAAGTGCTAAAATAAAAAAAATCATTAATTTTAAGATTCCACTTCCTTTTTGTTTGCTAGCTTTTTTTTTTTTTTAAAGTTATTTATTTATACAGGCACTGGGTACAGTCAGAAGCGCGGGAGGGTGAGAGAATTCACCAGAGCTAGAACGGGGAGCAGAGCAGGCAGAAGGACCGAAGTACAATGCTGAGGGGAGCAGCAGGCAGCAGGAGAGGTCTGCGTGCCATGTGGGACCCTCCTACGGTGGCCGGGGAGCAGCTGGGGATCGAACAGGCACTGCAGAGGCTGCGGGCAGCTTCGCAACCCAGCGCTCAACCGCTACGCCACCGGGAAGGCCCCTGTTTGCTAACTTTTAAATAAAGTTTTTTAAAACAGCCTCAAGGCTATCTTATTTTATGATGTGCACAGAGATACTTAGTAACTGGCAGCAGAAAAATTAAAACCAGTTGCCTACAATGACCAGTTCCTTCAGCAGTGAGCATCTGGTAAATCACATGCAGTAAAGAGGTTACAATTTTGCAAATCTTAGGCTGCTACAGTAGGCATCCTAAAATGTTTATTAAAGATTCTGAGGGCCTCCCTGGTGGCACAAGGGGTTGTTAAGATGCAGCCTGTGAAGCTGTCCACAGCCTCTGCAGCAAAAGTTCGATCCCCGGCCAGGGAGCTACCCACATTGCGCAGCAGAGCTCTCCTGACTCGCCCGCCCGCTGCTCTCCTCAGCAGTGTACTTCAGTCCATCTGCCTGTTCTGTTCCCCTCTCTGTCTCTGGTAAATCCTCTCACCCCCCACACCTCTGGCCTGTACCCCAGCTCTTGTATGCACAAATAAATAAATCTTAAAAAAAATAAAGACCGATATCAAAGAACTTGTGCATATACTCAGCTTGTCTCAATTATGTTACACTGAAGTATTGCATCTAGTATTGAGATGCATAACTGCATCTCAGTTATGTTACACTGAAGTATTGCATTCTAGATGCAATACTAAATGCTAACCGTAAGAAAAAACAAAAATATTTAAGACACTTAGAACAATACAGTAATTCTCTTTGGTTTTCAGTATGAAAAGTAGAATAAAATATACTGCACCACCTTTACCAATATAAAGCACAGGACGCTTATGAAGTGAAGTGGAAAGTTGTGGGGCTTTGGAGTCTAACTTGGAAGAAATTACCACATCTAACATTACTGGCTTTGTGAGAGACCCTAAATGACTTAACAAGCTCAGTTCTCTCATCTGTAAGAACTTTAGCTATCCTAATAGCCTTATACCACATGCCACACATGAGACACCACCTGGAGAAAGCTCTAGATATACCACATGAGGCAAAGAAAATACAAATTTTTATTTCCCAGTCCTCTAGCTATTCCAATTGGTCATGGAGTCATGGACGAGTAGAATACCGGCCTAATAACCTCAAATTTCCACTTTACATGAAACAGTTTAACTCACTAATAAATTTCAAACATCAACTCTCTATATATATCCATTTTCCCAAACCCAAAAAGGAACCACTTATTTTTCACTGCAGATAGCATTCATAGAACTTAAATTCTAGGGCCTCCCTGGTGGCTCAAGGAGTTAAGACACAGATGCTGCAGCATGAGTTCAAGTTCAATCCTGGCTGACCCATATGGCGCAGCAGACCTCTCCTGCCTCGCCAGCTGCTCCCCTCAGCAGTGTATTTCAGTAGATCTGCCTGTTCTGTTCCCCGCTGTCTCCAGTGAATTCTCTCACCCCCACCACCTCTGGCCTGTACCCCAGTTCTTGTATGCATAAATAAATCTTTTTAAAAAAACCTAATACAGGCCTCCCCTGGTGGCACAGCGGTTGAGCGCTGGGCTGCCAAGCTGCCTACAGCCTCTGCAGCACCACTTCGATCCCCGGCAGAAGGCGAGGGTCCCACACGGCGTGACACACCTCTCCTGCTGCGCCCACTGCTCCCCTCAGCAGTGTATTTCGTCAGTCTGCCTGTTCTGTTCCCCGCTCTGGTGAATTCTCTCACCCTCCCGTGCTTCTGACTGTACCCAGTGCTTGTATAAAAAAATAAGTAAAATCTTTAAAAAAAAAAATCCTAATACCTTAACTTCTTTCAACATACTACTTAGTAGTCAGTAAGTAGCAGTCAAAATACTTGTAGGCCATTATTGAATATTCATATTATTGGATATTCCTATTTCCTAAGTGTTCCACTTGCCCTTAGTCTTAAGGCTACTAGATAAGTGCCAATAAACTGTTCTCTATTTTGATAGTGATTAAGTTTTAAAGGATATGATACCAAATGACAGATCTATTCAGTTGCCAGACCATGTCTGCATTACAAAAGTATCTGTAAAAATGTAGTTTTTCAATGACAATGTATATAGAAAAAGTGGTTGGGATCACACTATAAAAAACCAAAAAGGAAAAAGATCAAGTCAACATCTTCATAATGCAATAAAGACACTACTAGAGGTAAGATAACAAGTACTCAAGTATAAATTACTAAACACAAAGTGCCCTATAATCAAATTTGCAACAGATGAATACACTCAATTGATTGTAAGCTTCACGAGAGGATGAACAATATATGCCCTGTTCACTACTTTATTTTTACCATATGCCAGTAGCTAGAAAAGTGTAAGCATTAAGTTGAATCACAGGGTGAGCGAAAATGAGTATAAACTGTCTTAATATTTTTTATATTGAATACAAATTCTACCACCAAATTACTGTAATTTAAATTAGGTCTCATACTGTTACATGCAAAAGAATGAAACTAGACTTCTACCTCACACCATACAAAGACCAACTCAAAATGGATATAAGACCTGAATGTAAGACCTGAAATGATACAATACATAGAAAACATAGGCAAAACAGTCATGACATACAACTCAGAAACATTAAAGATCTTTAAAGACATCCCCTGAAGCAAAGAAAATGAAGGAAAGGTAAACAGCTGGGACTACATCAAACTGAAAAGCTTCAGTACATCAAAAGAGACAATAACCAAGATGAAAACACACCCTATTTGCACTCCACACAACTGGTAAGAGACTGATATCAAAGATCTACAAAGGGCTTACCCAATTCAACAAAAATGAAGAATCCAGTCAAAAAGTGGGCAGAAGAGCTAAAAGACACTTTTCCAAAGAAGAAATGCAGATGGCCAACTGACACGTGGAAAAATGCTCTACATCCCTCATAATCAGGGAAATGAAAATCAAAACCACAATTAAGTATCACCTCACACCATTAAGAATGGACCACATTAAAAGAACTAACAACAAAAGGCGAGGCTGTGGAGAAAAAGGAACCCTTTTTCATTGCTGATGAGAATGCAAACTGGTCCAACCACTATGGAAAACTGTGTGGAGAACCCTCAAATTACTAAAAATGGAGCTACCACATGACCCAGCAATTCCACTCGTAGGAATCTACCCAAAGGACACAGAAACATTAATTCTAAAGGAGACCTGCACCCCTATGTTTACTGCAGCACTATTTACAATAGCTAAGATATGAAACCATCTAAATACCCCAAAACAAATGACTGGATCAAGAAAATGTACATATACCCAATGTAGTACTACTCAGCAATCAAAAGATAAACTCATGCCATTCACAGAAACAAGGATGGAGCTGGGAGTATGCTAAGTGAAGAAAGTCAGAAGGAGAGAAAAATATCACATACTATCACTTATAGGAGGAATACATGGAAGCCAAACACGGGTTAAAAAAAGAATAGACAACTCATAGGCAAATATAGATGTGAGGCTTAAAGCAGTGGAGGGAGAGGAAAAGGGATCAAAACAGGGTGGGGGAAGAGCACAAGGGACTATGGTGATGGTTCATAGGTAATGTGGTGGTAGGATATTTACAGGGACTAAACTGAGGATAGAAATCAAATACTGTAAAAATATGAACAATGTCAAAAAATTTTAAAAAGGCAAAAAAAAAATTAGGTCTCATAAATTCAACAATTCAGTAATAAAAGCTAAAAAAAGTGAGAAAAATATACCCTCTAAATTCAAATCTATTTTATAGATACAGAAGGATAAAAACATTTTATCTTTGTGACTTGTACTCAACCCAACTGAGAAAAACTTGGTAAGAAAAACAGCACATGGAATAGTCTAAACAGGCTTTCACATCTAATATGGACAAAACATGAGTTTAAAAGTTTTCTCTGTATGACTGATTTTTATGCTTCTAAACTAAGTGACTTCAGTTATCTAAAATGTACCAAAAAGTATCACATGGCTTCAAATCTCTATTAAATTTTACAAGTCTAACAAACTATTTTCCTTGGTTAAGTTGCAAACTAATCATAATTGGAAAGTTAAAAGTTAAATCATATAAATTTTAAAATTATTCTCCAAAAAGTATTGAATGTACACTCCCTGGTAGTCCACTGTCCTTGATTCTTTTAACATTGGGAATATCCTGATCAACATATCCTTTCACTACTTTTATAGAAAACATACATCATAATCTTAATTATGGGCCCTTATGAGGCAGTAATAAACGTCACTATCCAATTGGGGAATAGAACCGTTTTATATGTTAAATCACCCATTTAACCTAGAAAGTCATTATCCAATATATTGTTCTCCAGATTCTGACAATTATTTAGTCTAACAACCACTAATGGGTTATTACTACTTTTCAGATACTATGCTAAGACATATATGTGCACTCTCATTTAAACATCAAAACCACTCTGAGCCTCATTCCTATTTCGCAAATGAAACCAAGAAAGCTAACAGTTGACTTGACTCTAGATTAATGAATGAATGAATGAATGAATGGGGCAGCTGAGATTCAAATCCCTGTCTTGTGGGTTTGGACCACAAATCTTGTATCCTGTAGTATAAATACATGTTTATAAAAGCTGGAAAAATTATTGTTTCCTTATTATGTATCAGGAAATCAAAGAACATCTATGATTATTTCTACTTTTATATCTTTTCTTCTTAAATATTTTTCTTATTGCAAAGGAGTTAACAAGGTCCAAAAGTTATAACACCCTTGTTTTATAACAGTTAACTTTAATAGCAATAGAAGTTCTTCACACATTAAGAAACATAATTTTGCTTATTTACAAAATTTCCATCAAATGCTTGGTAGAATGAGGGTTCTTAAGTTCATTTCAAAGACTTCATAAGATTTCCTTACTGATAAAAACTAATTATAGACACTTTATGGACCTTAACAGATTTTAAAAGGTACTTGAAAATTGTTAATTCAGAAAACTAATTACTTCACAGAACCAGAACTAGAATTCAGGTTTCATGACTCCCTGGTTTCTATTGTCATTAAATATTTTTTTATTACTGGAAGCATACAGGCTATATTTCAGAAATTCATGTTATATTTTAGCAGTTAAAAAATCAACATAAAGGGGCCTCCCTGGTGGCGCAAGGGGTTAAGCACCACACTATGAAGCAATCCCCAGCCAGGGAGCAACCCACATGGCACAGCAGACCTCTCCTGTCTCCCCACTGCTCCCCTCAGCAGTGAATTTTAGTCAGTCTGCCTGTTCTGCTTCCCATTCTGTCTCTGGTGAATCCTCTCACCCCCCACATCGCTGGCCTGTACCACAGCTCCTGTATGCATAAATAAATAAATCTTAATCAAAAAAATCAACATAAAATTTAGGTCATCAGTGCCAATTTTTGTTTGTATTCTGATTATGAAGACAAAGAAAAAATATACACACTTGTAAAATCAAGCTAAGCTTTTAAAAGATGGACCACTGTTATCAAAACATACAAATGGATAATATGAAATATACATTCCAATTTAAATTAACTAATTCATGGAAGAAAAGGATATAGAGTAGATTGGGGACCACATATGACCTGCAATTCTCTCTGATCCATCTCTGATTACTGCTGGTATGAAAAATTATAATACAAGGAAAATCCATTTGTTCCTTACAGCAATTTACTTAAGACATCTTAAACATCACTTCAACCTAATAAAATCATTAGATGTAATACTTCAGGAATGTGTGTTCCATCTCTAAACCAAGGTTGATCATAGTACAGAACAAGTAATGAAGATACTGGCAGATTTCTAGAAAGACAAGTACAAATACAAACCTTGACTATTTTTGGACTGGGGAGTGAGTCAAAGAAAATTTTATTTCCAGAATTTATGTGCACCTATCAAATGTTTTATATGGATGCCTGGGTTCTATGTACACATTCCTGACCAAATTTACTTCTATGTAGTAAATTTACTTCTATGTAGGTAAATCTATGGTACTTAGAACCCAGTCATTCATATACCACTACTGAAACACCATCCAAATGAGGAGATTGCTCCAAAGGCTTCTAAACAACTGTAAAATTTGTGGCAAAACTGCAAAAGTCAGGAAGAATTGGCCATTCGTTCTCTTGGACTAGATGAGTATGGAATTTGTAATGAGATTTCCTTATGTATTAACCATTAAACATTTTCCAGAAAGTGAATCATAACTATTTCATTCCCCATTAAGTTTGGAAGGAAAAAATTTATCAAATAGTTATCAATTTTAATTTATGTTTGATGACTTATGAGTAAAATAAGGCAATAATGAAATATTGCTGACAAAATACTATTCTACAGTTTGAGTAAATGTTAAGAACAGTGCTTTTTTTACACTATAGAAAATAGCCCGGCCAATGAATAACACAACATAGATAAAAGAGTAAAATTTTACTCTTCCAGTCAATAAAATGAGTTAACCTGTCAATAGTAACTGAATGTACTGATTTTTTATAATGAACTTAATTTCTGAATCAAAAAATTCTCCAGGGACAAAGACATGTTAAATATTTCTGAATTTTAACGGAGGTAAAAAGTCAAAAGCTAACTGACACCCGATTATTACAAAACAGAAAAGCCTTGCTATAGAGTACTCTATAAGTACTCTATAGAGTACTCTATAAGAAGTACTCTATAAACTTAGGTTCAAATTCCAACTCTATCATTTACTAGCTGTGTGACCTTGGGCAAGTTATTAAACCTCTCAGTTCTTCAGTTTCCTTATCTGTAAAATGGGAATAGCATCTGCTATGTAAGAATTTTGACATTTAGTTAATACATGTAAACTGTTTAGAAACAATGCCTACAGTTTATTAAATACTATGAAGTGTTTACTAACATCGTTAGAACAACAGTATTTTGAAAGTCATGGTATTAAGACCAAAAGAATGAATCATCATAGTCACATATTTAAAGTAAAACAAAAAAAGTCCTAATCTGAAATTTCACTGGAAAAGAATAGTCAAAAGTAAAGGTCTGCCCTATAATATGAATGCAACAGAACCTTTGAAACTAAAATGTTGACACATCTACTGAAAATGATGTAATTAATATTCATGACAAAAACCTCAATCAACCACAATATTCAGTCAAATCCTCTAATAGTGATTTTTTCAATTCTTCCAAGAGATATTGGGATGAAGTGTAAAACTAACATTGCCTAATGCAATGTTTCTGAGATAGCATCCACTAAACTCTCACCAAGTACTACCTACTCTCAGCTTGGACAGTTAAGTTCATGGTGGTAAAATAGTAGCTTTTCTAATTTTTAAAAGCCCTTTTTAAATTACTGCCCTACTTAACAGCTACTGCTCAATGTAGATTTAGACAAGTTAAAAATTACCCATTTTCAGTAAACAATAGTCAATTTTATTTTCTTATGACCTCCCTACTGGAGAAAGGCAACAACCTTTTTGCCTAGTAAGTAAAATTGGAAAACAAATTTTCCCCAAGGAGCATCAGACTCAGGGGAAAAAAAACTAGGTTTTGTATTTCCTAATTCCTCAATTATATTCACTTTTAGTATGTTCAACTTAAGTCTACTTTACAGCATCCCCTACTTAATCTAATTAAAAGGAAAAAAAAAAAAAACATACAACAGTCTCTTTCAACATTTTCTAGTGCCTTCCCTTTCAGACCTGAAGCTTTTGAGGTCAATCTTCTGGTCTCATCAAGAGTTAAAAGTCGGTACATTGTGACTTATGATGCACATAAACCTCGTTATTGCGTTTTGTTTTTTAAATGGACTTCAAAATTTTATGCTTAAAAAACTGTTATCTCCTGTGTCAAACCAATGCCCATCTGAATGCACTTCAATCTTATTGGTACAAAACTAGCGCCACAGGTTGGGCATCTAACTTCCCTATTAGATTATACCATATATCTCACTTAAATAAAGCAAAAGAATTGACAACCTTGTCCAAGTATCCTCTTGAACGCTAAAATACACTTTACACTAACTCAAAACGATTTTTCTAGAAACACTCTCATGCTTTTGGACAAAAAGGTAACTTCATTTTCATCAACACAGTTTCTCACATCCAGCATTTCCATGGCTTTTGTCATCCAAATAGAAATTAAGTTTGATTTTATTTGTATCTTACTGATTAAAAAGCTCTAACAATGTCACTTGTGCTAAAGGAGTCGATTATTCACAAGAGGAAGACCATGCTTCACTCAAGATTGTCTTTACTACAGATTCAAATCACAAGCAATAAAAAAGCTTTCGGCAAGTAAAACTTCCTATTATTTTCCAAAGTAAATCATGAGAACTTGGAATTATGCCAAAAATGAAAAGGCTTTAGGTTGACTGAATCTAGAGTATGCCAAAATTTGACTGGATAATCAAAAATAGTATAAAATGGCAGTTCTAATCTTGAGCTCCCTTAGTAATGTGTCACAATATAACATCCAATTTTAAAGAAGTTCCCATTAACTGTTCCAAATAATGGTTCCCAAAACTAGTCTAGATTCGACTTCTAAAATCTGAAGTTGCCTCATCTCCAAGATCAACTTGTTGAGTCTCGGGCACAAGCTAACCTCTCGCTATTTTCTTCATAGGGAAATTACTGCACCAAGAACCTACCTTCCCATTCTTCCCAAATACGAGAGGAAAAAAAAAAAAAAAACATACTAAGCTTGGATTGGAAGAGATAGACCTATTTACTCTAACGCTTCAAAAACAAGGAAAAAAAAAAATCTACATGGAAATGAAGTGTGATGGCAAAAAAGGCAGTGTGCAATGGATCACATCTAACGGAGATTTCTAAACAAGGGAAGACGCTGACATCAAGCCCATTTCAGGTAGACACATAGAGCTGAAGAATTTCCACAGGGAGAAGCACTCGTGGTCCTCTGAACGCAAAGGCCTTGGAGAAAGCCCCAGAATTCATGGCCCAGGGCTATTTCCACAGTGAGACTTCTCAGAAGCATCCTCAGGAGGACACACCAGCTTCTCTGCCTTCAGGGGCTGGAGGGGAGGGGCGCCGAGCACCATCTTTCCTCTCTGGGAGCTGCAGCCTTACGGACAAGCTTCCAACCTGAGCTACTTGCCACTTCCAACTTGCACGGGGAGAGGGGAGCAGGGGAGCGTGTGGTTCCACCGCCTTCCTCTCGCCCCGAGCGCAGCAGCTGGGCGGCCGTGGCCGCGCGGGGAGAGGCGGCCGGCGCTGCCTGCGTGTTTACGTGTCTCGGATGGGTGTGGGGCGCGGAGACAGAGAGGCTCTAATGAAAAGATGGAGGGGGGGAGAGAGAGAGGGGTTGGGGGGAGAGGGGAAGCACCACCTTTCTTTTCTCTGCTCTTCCTGGGGATCTGAAAACTCCTCCTAACGGGTCTTTCGGGCTCTTCCGGGCCTCGGGGCAGCGTGGCCGCGCCCGCCTCAGAGAGGTCCTGAGGCTGCTCGTGGCTGAGGCTTGGGGCGGCCTCGGCCGCTGCGGTCTCCTCAGGTCCGGGGCCGACGCCCGGCTCCGCGATGCTGAGGCGGCCGCCGCCGCCGCCGCCATTTTGTGGGGAGGACTCAAGCTCCGGAAGCGACTGCTTCATCTCGTCGTCGCCGCCGCCGCCACCGTCCCAGCTCGCGTCCGTCGGCTGAGAGGCCTCGGGCTCCGCGGCAGCCGCCATCGCGCCGGCGTGGGGAGCTCCGGGAAGCTTCTACAAGGTCGACGGGGGTGGGGGGAAGGGGCGGCGGGCCGGCCGCGCCACCGAGCTGTTCTCAGCCCACCCACCCCTTCCCCCCCGGGGCCGCGGGCCGCGCTCCCGACCCAGCAGCCTTTCGAGGGCCCCGAAGCGGGCGCCCCAACCCCGTGCCCAGCCCCAGGAGCCGCTCCTCGCTCGGGCAGTTCTTCGGCCGGCCCCCTGCCTCTCAACGTGCTCGCGTCGGGGCCGAGAAGGGGCGGGGCTATCTCGGGCCGCCGGGCCAATCGGAGCGCGGTTTCCGCCTTCGCGGATGCGGAGAGACTGCGCTTGTGGGCGGAGCCTCGGGGCGCCCGAGCCCGCCAAAAGGGGCGACCGCGGCGCGGGGCGAGTACCTCGACGCCACGAGCGGCTGCCAGGTGAAGGCACCTCCAGGCCGGGCGAGGTCCAGATCAGCGCTGCAGGCGAGCGGGGGCACGCTTGACCAAGGCCCGGAGCGCAGGTGTCGCCCGTTCAGGGCAAGATTCCTCCTCTCTGCTCGCGAGTTCAAGAGGCCAAAACAGGATTCCAGCTGTAGAGGGTGTGAGCCCTGTTTTCTGAAATAATTTGCATACGAAGACCCGGAGATTAGAGAACAGCTGCTGCGTGGTGAGCCTGAAAGCCTGGGGCAGGCTTCTGAGGCCTACCATTCCCACCGGATTTGCATCTTTAGATTACACCCACCCCCCACCCCGTGGACTTTTATCTTAAAGGCTTGGATTCAGTAACATGCCCCCAGCGAGCTGCCTGTATTGGATTCCCTTGATAAGGATTCATAGCCCAGTGTTAACAAGATTTGGTTCTGGCGAGTTCAAAGGGAGGCGGGCTGCTGACTTAACACACATTTTTCCATGGTGTTTTCAACTTTCCTATAGAAACGTTTGCAGCCACATTTGAAAAATACACGGCAAGTGGTCGTTCTCGCTTAAAAACCTTTAAGGTCAAATGGAAGGCCTTTCAAAGAGTTTTCAACCCATACTATCTTAGGTTATCGGGAGTACAAGAAATAATTACTGAGGATGGGGGGGCCTCCGCGGTGGTGCAGGAGTGAAAGTCTCAGTGTTACCAAGCTATCACCAGACACTGCTGCATGAATTAGAGCCCCAGCCAGGGAGCTAACCCACATGCGGCAGCAGGCCTCTCCTGTCTCCCCAGATGCTCCCCTCCCACCCCCAGCAGTAAATTTTTATACATATGCCTCTTCTGCTCCCCACTCTGTCTCTGGTGAATAGTACCCCCACACCACCACCTCTGGCCTACATCCCAGTTCTTATATGCATAAATTAAAAAAATAAATCTTTTAAAAAAAAACGATATTTACTGGGTGCTGCCTGTGCTCCCAGCAGTGGAGGAGGTGATTTACATACATTATCTCCATTTATTCCTCACAACAGATATCAAGGAAATACTGTTAATACACAATTTAAAACAGGCATTGGAAGATAATTAAATCCAGTTAACAGTCAGAATTTGAAGCCAAGCCTATTTAACTCTGACATAAAATACTTGCACCTGACCGCTCTTAAGACCTAATCTTCCAGCAATCCTGCACGATTACATATTTTATCAATTAAAAAATGAGGATTCACATTTTGCTCAGTCTCCAAGAAACAGGATCAGCCATGCGACCGAGACCACTCTTTTCAAACTAAACTCCAGCTGTTTCCCAAAAAGTTGACTGGTGAAATCTATTCTTATAACTATATAGACCTTACCACATGACTGCTACTTAAAGAGCATTAAGGACATCAAGAAATTTGGACTCCTATGTCCTGTGATAAACATCTGTTGATGCGTTGATAGCTCAGCCTATTTGAATCAGCTCAGTAAATTTGTAAGAAAGTGAGTATAAAACAATTACTCTTTTTAGTAAATAAGGTAAAAGTAAATATTAAGGTACTGATGAAAAACTGCAGGCTATCTTAGGACAAATGCTGTATATTTTTTAAGTTATAAGTAATTTTAAATTGGGGGGGATGAGGGCTTTACGTGACGTGAAAGCGACTATGGAAGATCAGAAACTCAGATATTATCACTTTATTTTTTGTTGGTTTATTATCAGTTTAAAAGAAATAGGGACTAATTGCATACTAAGCCTTTCCTCATTTGCTCATCAAAAGCCAATTGGGGGCCTCCCCGATGGCGCAGTGGCTGAGCGCTGGGTTGCGAAGCTGCCCGCGGCCTCTGCGGCGCCGGTTCGATCCCCGGCTGCTCCCCGGCCACCAGAGGAGGGTCCCACATGGCGCGCAGACCTCTCCTGCCGCCCGCTGCTCCCCTCAGCAGTGTACTTCGGTCCCTCTGCCTGCTCTGCTCCCCGCTCTGGCTCTGGTGAATTCTCTCACCCTCCCGCGCCTCTGTACCCAATGCATGTATAAACAAATAAATAAATACATAAATAAAAATACATGCCTCTTTAAAAAAAAAAAAAAAAGCCAATTGGGATAATAGAAGATTCAGGCTATGAATAAGGCAAACACACCAGTTGGTCATGGAGTATCTAAAATTAAGGCTAGAGACAACCATTAGTCCTCTGCAGACTGAATCTTAACTTTTGTGAGAAAAAACACTTTTTTCAATTCCAAGTCAACATTTTTTTAATTTTAATAAATTCAGTGTACTTTATAAGATATTAAAAACCAGAAAGTGATAAGATCATTTTATATATACAATTAGCGTAAGGGCAAAAAATTTAGATTCAGCTGGATAACATTACTAACATACAATGTCAGAAATAACTTTTCATTATTTATTGGGAACTAATCACTACAATGAGCTGAAGCTATAAATCTGAAGCAAACAGACATTATTACTTCAGGCTTACAGTTCTGTAGGGAATATATCTAAAACAAGGATCTATGCTGATGGTAGCAGAGACTTAAAGTTTAAGAAACAAGTCAGCTATGTGAGGGGGCATTAATTTTCTAAATCTCACCTATTTCAGGAAAACTAACAATCTAAGATCAAATACAGAGAACGTCCATGAGTGTCTATTTATGTATATGCTATATAGCTATATGAAAAAATATATATAAATGTGTGTGTGTATTATATGGGGGGAAGTGGGGAAATGCTACCATATATACACATAGTTCTGAACTTAGGACTACCAAAAGTTAAAAGCTTAAAATCTATGTTGCACCCCACTATTGGTAATGCACCAAATAGCAACATAAGGAACATTAGAGGATAGTATGAAATGGCATATAATTAAATATCCAGGGACCACAATCACCTTTTCAAACTTGGAAATATAAAAATAATCCAAACTTCTCATTTTTAAAATAGGAAAATACAGTGGCCCAAGATTGCTTAGCAAGCTAACAAGAAGAGTTAACATTTATTGCGCATCTTCTGTATATCAGGCATTGGTATAAAAGTGTTATACATACTGTCTCATTAACTCCCACAAAACATACTGTTATCCCCATTTTACAGGTAAGGAAACTGACACAAAATGGTTAACTTTCTTAAAATCATTTAGATAAAGTGGCAGAACTAAGAATCTAACCCAGATAGTTTGCCTCCAAAGCCCATGCTCTTAATAACCACTATGTGCTAACCTCTCTTATTAGGGCAAAACAAATTCCAGAACTCAGCATTTTCCACAACGCCATTTCATCTCCCTTCTTTCAAACAGTACTTTGAAATACAGGATTTAAATGGTATAACTTGGCAATAATTATCAATATTACTGATGCATAAACCTTTGACCTATCAATTTTACTTCTAAAAATTTATAGTATACTCATTCACATTCAAAATGTTTATTCGAGGATAGCGACTGTAAAAAAAGACAAGGATATTGATTGTTATTTATAATGGGATATTAGTGGTGTTTGTAATAGTGAAGGGTCGGAAACACCTCAATATCAGTGGAGTATATCCATACAATGGAATACTATGAAGCCATATAAAAAAATGAAGTACAGTCATGTGTCACTTAATGATGGGGATACTACTGAATGTGGAACCAAGAATAAGTATTCATAGCCATTGCTTTGTGTAACTGCCATTTTACAATTTAAGGTTTTGCTGGGTAAAGACTGCATTCCAGAGATAGTTTGGACCCTCACTCCACCCTTACTCTCTGGTCACCAATGAGGGCGAACTTGCTGTAATTGGAGCTGCAAGTTGGAGCTGCATCTTGGCCTGGCCAGTCAGCTTAGAATGATAGCAGGGCAAAGTTGGAGAACGCATCCTTGTAACCAATGAGTAACTGCCAGCATAATTTAACCTTATTAAAAGACCTCTGCTTCCTTTGTTCGGGGCTCTTGGTATCTGCCACTGTGTTGGTAGGTGCCATGAACCCGGACTCGAGTCTGAAATAAACTCCCTTTTGTGTTTGCATCAGCTGTCTTTGGGTTCTTGGAGGCTATGCTGGCCGAGCCTGCTGACCTTGGGCACAACACTGAAAAATGCATACTTAGGCAATTTTGTCATTGTACAAACATCATAGAATATAACTACACGAACCTAGAGGGAATGGCTTGCTGTATAACTAAACTATAGGACATAGTGTATTGGGATCACGATTGTATATTCAGTCCATTGTTGACCGAAATGTCATTAAGTGATACATGACTATACCGTGACATGCTACAACATGGATGCACCCTGAAAACATTATGCTAAGTCAAAGTAGCCAGTCACAAAAGGTCAGGTATTGTGTTATTCCATTTATATGAAAGTTCAAAATAGGTAAATCAATAAATGCGGAAAGAATTTTTGGGGCTGGGGAGAGAAAAGACTGAAGACAGACTACTAATAAGTAAGAAATTTCTGGGGGAGGGGTGATAAGAACATTCTCAAATATGATAGTTGCACAGCTTTGTAAATATACTGAAAGCACTGAATTATATACTTTAAAAGGATGCCTTTTATGGTTTATGGATATCTTAATTTAGAAAGAAAAAAAGGACCTACACATGTTTTGAGCACAGACTTCAACAGCAGAGACTGTCTTTTACCAATGCCTTTGAGGAAGCAAGCTGTCATGAATTCTGTAGCTGCCAACAACTTCAGAGCACTTGAAAGCCAGTTCTTTCCCTAGGGATTCTCCAGGTTAAGAATGTAGCTCAGCTGACATCATGAGTCCAGCCTTGTGAAATCTACACACAGAAGCATGGTAATCCATGCCCAGACTCTGACCTACAGAAACTGTGAGATAA